CAGAAGTTGTCGTCGGAAGTTGTGGGAGCTTCATCACTGGAGGCTTTCAAGAAGAAACTAGACTGCCCTCTGTCAGAAATGGTGTAGGGTCTCCTGCTTGGGTGGGGGGTTGGACTAGATGTCCTACAAGGTCCCTTCCAACTCTGTTAATCTGAATCTATCTAAAATGATCAAAGGCCTGGAGGCTCAAACATACAATGAATGGGTTGCAGGAACCGGGCATGGCTAGTCTAGTGAAGAGAAGGACCAGGGGAGACATGAGAGCATCTTCCAATATTTGAGGGGCTGCCACAGAGAGGAAGGGGGTCAAGCTATTCTCCAAAGCACCCGAAGGCCAGACAAGGAACAATGTATGGAAACTGACCAAGGAGAGATTCAACCTGGAAATAAGGAGACATTTCCTGATGGGGAGAACAACCAACCCCTGGAACAGAAGTTTCCTTCAGAAGTTGTGGGAGCTTCATCACTGGAGGCTTCCAAGAAGAAACTGGACTGCCCTCTGTCAGAAATGGTGTAGGGTCTCCTGCTTGGGCGGGGGGTTGGACTAGATGACCTCCAAGGTGCCTTCCAATTCTGTTCATCTGTTATTCCAGAAGAGTTCTCAGCCCTGCATTAGCACATCCTCCATCCTGGTTTAGCCATTCACTTGGATTCGCGCACAATGAAAGCCAAGAGAAGCTAGCGAGATCAGGGTGGCGGTGTGGTCGTGAATCCTGATGCCAGAACTGGATGACAGGTAGCCCTGGACTTACGACAGTTCATTTAGTGACCGTTCGACGTTACCACAGCATTGAAAAAAAGGGGTTTAGGACCGTTTTTCACATTTACGACTGTTGCAAGTTTCCCCGTGGTCACGTGATCGGAATTCAAACACTTGGGAAGTGACTCATATTTATGACGGTCGCAGTGTCCCGGGGTCATGTGGATTCCCTTTTGCGAAGCAAAGTCAATCGGGAAGCCAGATTCACTTAACAACATTACTAATTTAAAAACTGATTCACTTAACAACCATGTTACTAATTTAAAAACTGCAGATTCACTTAACAACGGTGTTACTAATTTAAAAACTGCAGTGATTCACTCAACAACCGTATTACTAATTTAAAAACTGCAGTGATTTACAACAACCACATTACTAATTTAAAAACTACTGATTCACTTAACAACCCTGTTACTAATTAAAAAACTGATTCCCTTACCAACGGTGTTACTAATTAAAAAACTGATTCCCTTAACAACGGTGTTACTAATTTAAAAACTGCCTTGATTCATTTAACAACGGTGGCAAGACACTAGTAAAATGGGGCAGAATTCCCTTAGCAAATGTCTCACTTAGCAACAAAAACGTTGGCCTTCAATGCTGGTCGTAAATCGAGGCGATTAAGCCGAAAGCCAGCTGCTGCGTATCTGCAAGGAGCGACTATCCTGCAAAAATTCTAAAAGCACGTTGGAAAAACCGGCTCATTGTTGACCTCCAGGCTGAGACGGGCCCAACTCCAACCTGGTGGAGTTTCTGGAGCCAGCAGTGCGAAGCAGACGCTACTTTGAGGTTCCTCCTTCTGTCATCAGGGGATCTGCTCAACAAAAGCTTTAGACATTGAGAGATTACCGCAGCCCGGAGTGACATGTCACAAGAGGAAAAAGTAGCCGGGAGGGAAGAGGAAACGGGCAAGGGGAAAAACAAAACAGCTCAGAAACAAAACTTTTGAAAAGAAGTTTCTACTCTTTTTTTCTCAAGCCAACCCCGTTCTTTGGAATTCCGCCCCGAGATCTAATTTTGTGCTGTTGTTTATTGTAGCTCTGCCCCGGGTGCTCCTTTCTCCCGAAATCTTCTGAATTAATGTTGACGCAAGTCTGTCTCTCTTTTTTTAAAAAAATTGTTTTGTTTTCTCCAACCGCATGTTGAGAAGCTGCAATTTTCAACCCAAAAAGGCCCAGCAGAGACAAGAGGAAAGTGGGGGGTGGGAGAGACAGAAGACAAAACATCTGTGCTGGACAGACCAGCGTCCGAATGCCACCCCAATCAGGGCTGATGGACAAGACTCTGGGGACAGTTTTTAGGGCAAGTTGATCTGGGAAAAAAACTGAGAATTATTTTTCAGTTCTTGGAGGAACAACCCCCCCCCCCCCAGATTTTCCCAGGAGGGGAAAAAAAATAAATCTGGTGATAGATTTCCCCAGTACTCCATCTTTCCAACCTCCGTCGGAGTCTCAAAAGACCATTTTTTTATTTCCCACGGTTTGAAAACTTCTCTCCACGGAGCTCAGGCCAGAATTAAAAGTTGAGTCACGACTCCAAACACATCGGTGTCCCCCGAGCGGAGAAATCAACACACCACTTTCTGTTCTTCATTTTCCGAGCCAATCCCGGAAGACAACAAAGCCCATTTTCCACTGGTGTGTGTGTGTACTGTTGTTTTCTGCAACGCAACAGGCTGCTGGTGGAGATGTTGGGTGGATGGGTAGGGGGGGGAAAAAACCAGCTCACGGGTTCTACGTGTTACATGCATGTTAATGGTGGGTGGTCTGTGTTTCGGTGGTGTGGGGTTGAGCTTGTCCCCAACAGTGGCACATGTCATGCCTCAGTTTCTCTGGGAGGAAACTACTGGGTATCTATTTCGAGTTCCTGGTGACGAACACGTATTTATGGAAGTTTATTTTCTCTTGGGGGAATTGACTTTCCCTGCCAAGGAGCAGCCTGTTATATGGAGGAGAAAGAAACAGAAATTTAGAATAGAATAGAATAGAATAGAATAGAATAGAATAGAATAGAATAGAATAGAATAGAATAGAATAGAATAGAATAGAAGAGTTGGAAGGGACATTGGAGGTCTTCTAGTCCAACCCCCTGCTTAGGCAGGAAACCCTCCACCACTTCAGACAAATGGTTATCCAACCTCTTCCTAAAAACTTCCAGTGTTGGAGCATTCACAACTTCTGGTGGCCAGTTGTTCCACTGATTAATTGTTTTGACTGTCAGGAAATTTCTCCTTAGTTCTAGGTTGCTTTTCTCCTTGATGAATTCCCACCCGTTGCTTCTTGTCCTGCCCTCAGGTGCTTTGGAGAATAGCTTGACTCCCTCTTCTTTGGGGCAGCCCCTGAGATATTGGAAGACTGCTATCATGTCTCCCCTGGTCCTTCTTTTCATCAAACTAGACATACCCAGTTCCTGCAACCGTTCTCTATATGTTTTAGCCTCCCGTCCCCTAATCCTCTTGGTTGCTCTTCTCTGCACTCTTTCTAGAGTCTCCACATCTTTTTTACATCGTGGCGACCAAAACTGGATGCAGGATTCCAAGTGTGGCCTTACCAAGGCATCATAAAGTGGTATTAACACTTCCCGGGATCTTGATTCTATCCGTCTGTTGATGCATTTACGTATTTATTCCTACCAAACCTGGTATATAATATATATTTTGGGTGGTGGTAGAACCTTCAGCCATTGTCCTTTGCTGCTTCAACAATTTAGGATCGTTTGGCTATTCTGAAGCCAGAATAGCCAGGATTGGGAGAAAGAAAGGAAAAAAAAAAGACACCGAAAATGTTAAAAAAAAAAAAAGTTGAAACACACCTTCTGCAGCATAATCACACCAGCTTGTTGGAAAGGTTCAAAGTAACTCTCTTGAGACAGACCTACAAAAAGAGTTTTCTGGCCATTTGGCAAGGCAAAAAACACCCCCCACACACACAATTTGTTTTTGTTCTCGTTTCTAAGGCCACCAGGCTTTGTCACCTGAGCCCCAAGTGTGAAATGTTTGTATTCCCTCAACTCTCCATGCATCAAGCAATCAAGATGCATCAGCCCCTCGAGATGCATCAGCCCCGGGGCCAGGCAACCCCTTTGCCCCTTTCCTCCAAATTACGCAGCACAGAGGAAATTTGGGTGCGCAGGGATCCGGTGGAAAATCTCCAAAGATGGAAGAACAGGGCAACCAAATTAGAATTAGAATAACAGAGTTGGAAGGGACCTTGGAGATCTTCTAATCTTCTAATCCTTGTGCACGGTCACTCATGCCCTCGTCACGTCACGCCTGGACTACTGCAACGCTCTCTACATGGGGCTCCCCTTGAGGAGCACCCGGAGGCTCCAGCTGGTGCAGAATGCGGCCGCGCGGGGGATTATGGGAGCGACGTGGTGCTCCCATGTGACACCTCTCCTGCACGAACTGCACTGGCTCCCGGTGGTCTTCCGGATGCGCTTTAAGGTGTTGGTTCTCATCTTTAAAGCGCTCCATGGCTTAGGGCCAGGGTATTTACGAGACCGCCTTCTGCTACCGATAACCTCCCACCGGCCAATACGCTCTCACAGAGAGGGCCTCCTCAGGGTGCCGTCGGTCAGGCAATGTCGGCTGGCGGCCCCCAGGGGAGAGCCTTCTCTGTGGGGGCACCCGCCCTCTGGAACGAGCTACCTCCAGGAATACGACTGATCCCGGACCTCCGGACCTTCCGTAAGGCCCTGAAGACTTATTTATTCCATCAAGCCGGCCTAGCCTAAATGGTTCTTAATTGAGATTTTAAATTTTATAGACTTGGGGGTTTTAAATTGGGAAGCCAATGATTTAATTCTTTTTAATTATCTTAACTTTTGTATTTGTATGCATTTTTAATTTTGGCTGTTCACCGCCCTGAGTCCCCTCTGGGAGAAGGGCGGTATACAAATTAAATAAATAAATAAATAAAATAAATAATCTGACCCCTACTCAGGCAGGAAACCCTGCCTATACCATTTCAGACCGATGGGTCAACTCTTCCTTTGATGGAGCTCCCCAAATAAAACCCGATGGCCCTTTGTCCCTTTTGCAAAGAGAGTTTTCTTGCAAACCCTCAGTCAGATTTGCAAACTTTCTCCAAGCACGGCTGCATTCAATCACAACACACACACCCCCTGCTTCTTCCCCAAATGTCATCAACTCTCTTGATTTAGAGTCCGGCAGCACCATTAATATCTGGCTTAAGAAAAAGGTATTTCACAAAAAAAACCCGAAAATTCTCCACAGAGGTAACTTGACCCATGAGGAGACTGTTTAATCCCGCTACAAACAACTGTAGAAGAATGTTTTTTTTCCCCTAAACACTAAAAAAACAAACAGTCGATTTACTAAGAAATGTAAAACTCTCGATCAACGTTTTTAGGGAACGTAGAACAGTTCACTTGTTGGATAGCCTTTCTGGTAAACAAACTTCCTTATTTTTCCTTCTTTTTTCCACATAAACACAAGAAGGACCTCAAGCGTCTCTTCCTTCCAGAATGTGACTCAGTTTTTTTCGGTCTCTCCAGGGACAAACCGAGAAATCTAGCATTAGGACTGCTTCGGATGGTCTCCGGTTGGTTACTCCAATCTTCTTCTTGGTCTTGAGGACAGCCTTGTTGGGCATAGCGAGTAGGTCTTCTGGAGGAGCAAACTTCTTGAGAACTTCTGAGGATAAACTCTTTCCGTTGTGCCCATAATGTGTTGAGGGTGAGGTGTAGGATGTCTTCATCAGGGTAATAATGGAACCGATTCGAATGAAGGTAGCTTTTTTCTCCTGTCAGACCTTCCTCCTTGTAGGACCTCAATGTCTTGAAGTCCTCGTAGACTTCCTTCACGGCTTCCTCCAACTTTAGGAGATCGAGGTGGCCTTTTTGGTCTTGAACACTTGCCCAAATCACTGCGGCCCCAATTCTCTTCTTCCTCGACCAGCTCTCGGTGACTTCTGTCAGCTGCAAACGGCCATTTCGGCTCAACCATCTTCCACACACTTCCATTCTTCCAGTTTTTGCAAGCATTTCTTCAAAACATTCAAGGGATGGATGGAAATTAGCCATCCTGGCTGTGCCTGGTGGAAGGAGAAATGGGGTGGTTGGAATCAGGAGGCTGATGTAGACTGGTGACCCCCAGGGGGAGAGTCTTCTCTCTGGGGGCCCCTGCCCTCTGGAATGAATTGCCCCCGGACATACGAAGGATCCCCGACCTCCGCGCCTTCCGTCATGCAGTGAAGACCCTGTTATTCCAGCAAGCCGCTCTGATGGGATAAACAATTTTAATTTGGTTTTAATGGGGTTTTAAAATTGGTTTTAAAATGAGAGTTTTAAATTTGGCCTATGACTTAATTATTTTAATCTGCTTTTAAATTCTATTTTTGTATATTGTTTTTATTATGGCTGTTCACTGCCTTGAGTCCTTCGGGAGAAGGGCGGTATATAAATAAAATAAAATAAAATAAAATAAAATAAAATAATAAAATAAAATAAATAAAATAAATACATAAAATAAAATAAATAAAATAAATAAAATAAATAAAATAATAAATAAAATAAAATAAAATAAAATAAAATAATAAAATAAAATAAAATGATCTTGCACCCAAAAAGCAAGAGCGTCCCCAATAATTTTATTTATTGACTTAAATCAGAGTTGTAAGGCTGCCCCCCCACCCCACCAGAGTGACCCTGGAGTGCGCGTGAAACTTTCTTCCCAAGCAACCCATTTTTAAGAAGCAGGTAAAGGACAAACCAGGATGAAAAATGACCGGAAAAAGTTTTCCAAAGCTTTCCAAAGTTTGCATTAGTACATTATTCGCTCTTAAACTAATCAAATCATGATCGGCGCGCTTGCACAAGCCGTTGCATAGCCAGCAATGGAAATCAAAGGTTTGCATTAGCCGGGTTTTGCAGGCCGCGTGCTAAATTCGGGATCTGACCTGGTTAAGAGCGTCGTCTGAACAGCGCCGAAGCGCAGGAAGGGCTGCAAAGTCGAGTCAGGCGTGGGAATTTGCAAAAAGGTTTTGCAAAGCGCTTTTAAGCGGCCAACAGGCGCCTGAAAGACGTGGCGTGACTGCCATCTAGTGGTGGCCGGGAGCCTCGCAGCCCAGAAAAAGAATTGATGCCCACGACTGCTAACCAGCATGAAACCATGATTAGAGTAGAGATAACGAAGGGGAGGGAACTCAGGGGAGGAGAAACAGGCGGGTACCAGGAAGAGGAACCTAATAAAGAAAATTCAAAGCTCCACAGGGAAGAGAGAGGCAGAAGGAGGGAATGGTGGGGAAAGGAGGGTTTCCAAGCACATGGTTCTGTTTTTCAACCCAATTCTTGGTTTTTCCACCTGTCTGTTTCTAGGATTATTATTTTTTGGCTTTAAAACCTAATTTCTTTCATACATTGTTTGCCTAAACATCATAAAACTGGTTTATGCACCAAAGACAAATTCCTTGTGTGTCCAATCACATTTGGCCAATAAAGAATTCTATGCTATGCTATGCTATGCTATTTCTTATTCTATTCTATCCTATTCTTTCCTATTCATTATTTCATTCTCTTCTCCTCCTATTTCATTCCATTCCATTCCCTCCTATTCATTATTTATTTATTTTATTTCCAATTTATATACTGCCCTTCTCCCTGAGTACTCAGGGTGGTGTACAGCCAGAATTAAGAACATGAAATACAAATATTAAAAAAAACAATTAAAATATATATAAATTTGGCCCAAAAATTAAAAATCACAAACCAATTTAAAACTTAAAAATTTCATATTCCATTCCATTCCATTCCATTCCATTCCATTCTATTCTATTCTGCTGTTTTTGTTATTTGGGGTTTTTGGGTGCCATCTGGGTTTGTTTTGCGCGCGACACCTTGGTTTTTTAGGACACCCTGTTGCCCACCTTGTTCTCCTCGCCCCCCAGCACGTTGCAGTGCTGATGATGACAAACCACGGTCTTTGCAAAAATTAATCCTGGTTTTTAGCAAGCTCTATAAAACTGGTCTCAGGTCTGTCTGTGTAGCTGGGTTCCTGCAGCGGGCTGCCGCGTCGCCAGAGGGCGCTGCTTGATAGTTCGCGCTTTCCGCGCTCGGGGATGACGACATCGGTTGGCGCCTCAGCGGGGCAGCCCGTTGCCACGGCAACCGCCGCAGGGCGGCCTGTAGAACCGGGGAGGGTCGCGTTAGGCCTGGCCGGGGACCCCCCCTTTTTTTTTTAAACCCCCGGGATGTTCGGGGACGCGTCGACCGGCGCCCTGGACGTGGAGTCGGTGTGGAGGAGGGACCAGGGGACCCGATGCGAGGAGGTGGGAGCTGCTCTGCCCTGCGGGGGCGTGGGACTACAAATCCCATCCTCCCCAGCCGCAGCCCCGTTGGCGTTTGGGGCGCTTCTCTCTCTTTTTTTCCCGGCTGGGCCCCGCGCGGGTTAGAGATCGCCGCCCCTCCGTTCCCTGTTTTTTTGGAGGGAGGGGGGGGACTACAAATCCCATAGTGCACAGCGGCGCAGAGGAAGGTGGGTGCGTGGGTGGGTGGGAGACCTCCCTTTGGCCTGGCAGCCTTTTGCATTGCAGACCCTTCCCATCGCCCTCCACTTGCCTTGGCTGTGGATGATGGGCTATGGTGCTGCCATGCCAGCACAGGGGATGGGAGTGAGTGATGGGTCTGAGGATATTGAGGATCCTGGTGAACCTCATTGTGGACAGTGGATGATGGGGCTTCTATTTGGAACAGCCAACCTCATTGTGGACAGTGGATGATGGGGCTTCTATTTGGAACAGCCAATCTCATTGTGGACAGTGGATGATGGGGCTTTTGTTTGGAACGGCCAACCTCATTGGGGACAGTGGATGATGGGGCTTCTGTTTGGAAAGGCCAACCTCATTGGGGACAGTGGATGATGGGCCTTGTATTCAAAAGATCCCCAACTTCTGCCCTCTTCCTTCCCGCAGAAGACTACCCAGACCGTCTCTGTCCCCACGGCCGAAAGGGTGATCCAGACCCGCCACAGCCACGAGGTCGGCGTCCAGGCGGATCCCGAGGCCAGTCCGGCCCAAGCCCTGCCTCTCCCACCACCCCCGTTGGTGGACTATGCCGGCCTGCGGGCCTTCCTGCAGCGGGTGGAGGAGCCGGTCATCCGTGAGCTGGACAAGAACTGGAAGAGCCACGCCTTCGACGGCTTTGAGGTCAACTGGGCAGATCCCAACGAAACGGTAACGGCTCCTCCCAACGCCGCCTCTTCTGCGACAGGGAGAACCGTCAGCCGGGGGGGTTAGGGGGATCCCCCCCCCCCGCTCCAAGGACGTCCCTCACCTTCTGCAGAAGGGATCAGGCAGGATCTGCTGCCCAGGCCAAGGGGCAGAAGGGTTTTCCAGCCCTGAGATATAGGTTGTTCTCGGCTTGCAACAGGTCACACTTAGTGACCGTTTAACGGTACACTGAAAGAAGTGACTTGGGACCAATTTTCACTCTTCTGACCGTTGCAATTTCCCCACGGTTAGGTGACTTACATTTGGATGCTGAACTGATTCGCTTTGATGACGGTCACAGTGTCCTGGGGGTGTGTGTGTGTGGGGATGTCATGTGATCCCCCTTTCTGATCTTCTGTCAAGCAGCGTCAATGGGGAAGCCATGTTACTAATGTAACAACTGCGCCGGTTTGCTTAAGAAACGTGGCAAGCAGAGTCATAAAATGGGAGCAAAGCTCCCTGAACAAATGTCTCACGTAGCGACATCAATTTTGGGCTCAATTGTGGTGGTACGTTGAGGGCTACCTGTAATCTCCAGAAGTGGCTCAGCAGACACTTCCCTGCTTCGTCTTGAGCATAAGAGGGGGGCAGAAGCTCTGGCACAACCAGACTTGTGAGATGCTGTTATTGTCGCCCGTCTCAAGCCTTCCGGCGGGAGAGATTTCCTAGCCATGACGGACCAATGCTTTTCTTTTCTTTTTTTAAAAAAAATTGATTTATATGCCGCCCTTCTCCGGAGACTCAGGGCGGCTTACAATGCGTTAGCAATAGCCTTCATACTTTTGTATATTTATACAAAGCTTATTGCCCCCACAAACTGGGTCCTCATTTCACCTACCTTAGAAAGGATGGAAGGCCGAGTCAACCTTGAGCCTGGCGAGATTCGAACCAGCAGTAATTGCGGACAGCTGGTGTTAATCACAATGCTATCAGTCTGCTGAGCCACCAGGCCCTTTTCCCATCCTCACTTGATCTGCGGGGGCTTCTTCTCTGCCAGTCCCCCCTCATGCCCCCTCTTCCTCCTTGCAGGTGTCTTGTGTGCACAGCTTGTCATACCCGGAAGCCCAGGAGCGCAACCTGCAAGTGACCAGCATCGGCTGGAACGCCACGGGGGCTGTCCTCGCCTGCTCCTATGGCAGGTGAGCCGGAAGAGATGGGCAGGCATCACCTCACAATTGGGGTGTATGTCCCCCTTTCAGTTGTCCCTCTAATGCAGTGGGTATCAACCTTCCTAATGCCGCGACCCTTTAATACAGTTCCTCATGTTGTGGTGACCCCCAACCATAAAATTATTCCTAAGACCATTGAAAATATGTGTTTTCCAATGGACTTAGGCGACCCCTGTGAAAGGGTTGTTCGACCCCCAAAGGGGTCCCGACCCACAGGTTGAGAACCACTGCTCTAATGGCTCTGCCTCCCTTCCTTTCTCCCTCCTTCCTTCCATCCCTCCCTAATTTCTTCCCCCACTTCCTCCCTTCCACCATTCCTTCCTTCTCTCCCTCCCTCCTTTCTTTTTCTTTCTTTCTTCCTTTCTACCTTCCTTCCCTCCCTCCTTCCTTCCCTCTCCCACCATTCTTTCCTTCTTTCCTTTCCTCCCCTCTTCCTTCCTTCCCTCCCTCCCTCCATTTCTTCCTACCTTCCATTCTTCCCTCCCTTTCTTTCTTTCTCTCTTTCTTTCTCTCTCTCCTTCCTTCCTTTCTTCTTTCACTTCTCTTCTTTTTCTTTTTTCCTTTCTTCCTTTCTTCCTTCCTTCTCTTCCCCTTTCCTTCCTTCCTTTCTCCCACCCTCCTTCCCTTCCTTTCTTTTCTTTCTTTTTCTTTCTTCTAGACTGGATGATGGAGACTGGAGCTCTGAAAAATCCTTCCTCTGCACCTGGAATCTGGACCGTCGAGCACTGAATCCCCACCGCCCAGATCTGGTGGTCGAAATCCCCAGCGCTGTCATGTGTGTGGCTTTCCACCCCCAGCAGCCTTCGCTCATCGCCGGCAAGTGCTTCTCGACGGAGCTCCCCCTGGGCCAGGACAGGAAGTGGACCAGGGTTGAACATCCTCCCTGATTCCTAAAACTTCCTGCTAGCTTCTCCATTGTTTCTCTTCAGGAGGCCTGTTCAGCGGAGAGGTCCTGATCTGGGACACCGGCAGGCAGGAAGATCCCTTGATCTGGAGGACGGGCATGACCGATGATACTCATACCGACCCTGTGTATCAGGTAGGGACGGGAAAGGGATGGAGTCTGGCTCCCTTGTGATTTCCTCAGCTCTCTAATCGTTCCTTCTGGGCCTCAGGTCAGCTGGCACCGAGACCCCCGGCAGCCGCGCGCCTTCCGTGTCTTGAGCGTCTCCACCGATGGGAAGATCCTGGTGTGGCAGGAAGAGAAGGACGGCCTACTCCGCCCCGCCAGCGGTTTTGCTTTCGTCCAGCAGCAGATTCCCCGGAGCACAAAGCTCAAGAAAGTAGGTGGTGGGAAGGATCCTGACGGGGAGAACCTCCACAGCCCTGGGCAGTCCTGGAAAAGGATCTGTGGCCCGTAGAGTTGGAGACACGCAACAGCCTTAGGCGTGGCCTGCTGGTCACATCAATTTGGTGGGTCTCCATCCGAGGTCGCGTCTTACGCAGAACGGAGTCTTGCAGGAAGGGATGTGTATGTTGTAGCCCGCCGGTGACCGGTGGAACTGGCAGCAGAGTCAGACAGTGAGGAGGTTGGGGAGGAACATGGGCCAGTCCTGGGGGCTGGGGAAAGCTCGGACGAGGGCTCTGCATTGGAGGCAGAGAGGGAGATAGACAGCAGTGAGGCAGAGGAACAGCTGGAGCCTGTTTCTAGTGTCTGCATGCGCAGAGCTGCCAGAACAACTCAGAAAGCAGGGTCGATTTAGGAGTAAAGCCACACCTTGGAGGTGATTGGCCCCTCCCATAGGAAACAAAAGAGGAGCGAATGGGGAGGGGGCTTTTACAGGAAACAATTTGTTCATTCGGTCGTTTCAAGAATGGAAAGTTCTGTTCGTGACTCTAAGAGACTCTGTGCCAAGTTTTGCCTTGTACTGCATTTGGAAACAAGTTACATGGCAGCTTGCCAAGCGAGATAAGGTCTGTGTTGATAAATATTCCTTTGAAAAACTGTGAACTTTGATTGTGAATGAAAGTAACTCACAGTCGTGTAAATAAGAGGCTTTGCTGGGACTAAAACTCTTGCTTTCCTGCTTTTTAACGGAGCCTAGGTCAGAACAGTGTATTTTAAGCTGAATCATAAAATAATAATCGTTATATTTTATTATCTTTGCAGAGACTCATCAGTAGGTTGTCAGAATGGCCAACTTCTTGATTGCAGGGCCCCCAATTCCCACTTGATTTTCCTGGTTCCTGTTTTTTTTCAGTGTTGTGTTTCTGCTGCAATGATGCATAAGACTTTTTTGTCTCTCCCCTCCACCCCCAGCATTCTCGAGGAGACACGGTAGTGGGCGTGACGTGCCTCTCCTTCTCCCACTTCGAGCCCAGCGTCTTCGTCAGCGGCACGGAGGGCGGCTATTTGATGAAGTGCTCGACCGCAGTGGACACGGCCGCCCACCTGCAGAAGGGCTGCTCCGTTCCGCTCAGGGCCCCCGCCCAGTTCAGCTTCTCCTCTCATGGAGGCCCCATCTACAGTGTCAGCTGCTCACCTTTCCACAGGTAAGGCCTGATTGCTGTTGCTGCAGCTGCTACAACATCTGGAGCACGGGAAGGTTTTCGGGAACCAACGCAAACAAAAACACGTTTTGTTGGGTGCGTTTCTGGGATCTGCGAACTCAAATCTGGCGTCTTGTAAACGGGGGGTTAAAATTAACCATGTTGTAGTAATCCAGACAAACGTGGTTTAAGGCAGTAGGTAACCGTGGCCTAGGGTTTCTGGTCTCCCTTTCGAGTGGAGGGTTAGGGTTAGGATTAGAGTTAGGGTTAATAGGCAAAATTATAACCTGCCTATTAAGGTGTCTTTTTGAGTGAAGGGGAAGGATACACCTGTTTTAAGAGTAATAACAAAACCTGGATTTGAACTTCTGGCCCCAACACAGCCACGGTACAAAATTTTTCTTGATTCGAGATCTTTTAGCCTGTGATTCTAGGCCATAAAAACTACCCGGTTTCCCCAAAAATAACACCCAACCGGAAAACAAATCCTAGTATGATTTTTCAGGATGCTCGTAATAAAAGCCCTACCCCAAAAATAAGCCCGTTAAGATTGTCAGCCAGATGGATGCATTTAGTACCGTATTTCCCCCCAAATAAGACCCAACCAGAAAATAAGCCCTAGCATTTTTCAGGATGCTCGTAATATAAGCCCTACCCCAAAAATAAGCCCCAGTTAAGATTGTCAGCCAGATGGATGCATTTAGTACTATATTTCCCCCAAAATAAGACCTAACCAGAAAATAAGCCCTAATGCATCTTTTTGAGCAAAAATTAATATAAGACCCGGTCTTATTTTCGGGGAAACACGGTATCAGTTTCATTTTAGTTCTTTTAATGTGCAATTAAAGAGGAAGAGTTGGGGGTGGGAGGCACCGTGTTACGGTGGTTCTCCTCCTTTCTCTCCGACTGGTCGCAGTTTGTGTTGGCAGGGGGGCAGAGGTCGACCTCGAGGCCTCTCATTTGTGGAGTGCCGCAGGGATCGGTCCTCTCGCACTTTCTGTTCAACATTTATGTGAAGCCGCTGGGCGAGATCATCCGTGGCTTTCGGGTGAGATACCACCAGTACGCTGATGACACCCAGCTGTACATCTCCACCCCAGGCCACCCCAATGATGCCCTTGAAGTGATGTCCCGGTGCCTGGAGGCTGTGCGGATCTGGATGGGGAGGAACAGGCTCAAGCTCAACCCTTCCACGACTGAGTGGCTGTGGCTCCCGGCATCCCGATATGGTCAGTTGACTCCATCACTGACTATTGGGGGCGAGTCTTTGGCCCCCACAGAAAGGGCTCGCAATCTGGGAGTCCTCCTGGACATGCAGCTGTCCTTGGAGGAACATCTGACGGCTGTAACCAGGGGGACCTTTTGTCAGGTTCGCCTGATTCGCCAGTTGCGGCCCTTTCTTGATCGGGATTCCCTGTGCACAGTCACTCATGCCCTCGTCACCTCTCGCCTTGACTACTGCAACGCTCTCTACATGGGGCTCCCCTTGAAGAGCACCCGGAGGCTCCAGCTGGTCCAGAACGCAGCAGCGTGGGTAGTGACGGGAGCAGCCTGGCGCTCCCATGTAACACCGCTCCTGCGCGAGCTGCACTGGCTCCCGATGGTCTTCCGGGTGCGCTTCAAGGTGTTGGTTATCACCTTTAAAGCGCTCCATGGCATAGGGCCTAGCTATCTGCGAGACCGCCTGCTGCTACCGACGACCTCCCATTGACCCGTGCGCTCCCACAGAGAGGGTCTCCTCAGGGTGCCATCAGCCAAACAATGTAGGCTGGTGACCCCCAGAGAAGGCCTGTGGGGGCTCCTACCCTCTGGAATCAGTTGCCCCCTGAGATAAGGAGAATCTATGACCTCAGTGCCTTCCGCCATGCCCTTAAAACCTTCTTTTTCCAGCAAGCTGGGCTGGCTTAAGAAGAAATTTTTAAATGTTTAATTGGTAGTGAGTTTTAATTGGACCAAATTTATATATCTTTTGTTTTTTAATATTTGTACTGCATGTTTTTTAATTCTGGCTGTACACTGCCCTGAGTCCTCAGGGAGAAGGGCGGTATAGAAATTCAATAATAAAATAAATAAAATAAATAAAATGATTAGAGACACACCTTATGAATTATGAGCCCTTGCAGAATAGCTGGTATTCCAGTTGAGTGGTAAGCTGTTGGCTCTAAATCAGGGGTCTCCAACCTTGGCAACTTTTTAAGACTTGTGGACTCTGCTGGCTGAGGAAGTCCACAAATCTTTAAGTTGCCACGGTTGGAGACCCCCTGCTCTAAATGCTACTCTCTCGGATTTTGGATTTGCTTCCATAAAACCTGCTTTTTTCCTTTTCTTCTTTCCCGTCTCCAAGGAACCTCTTCTTGAGCGGAGGGACTGACGGGCACGTTCATTTACACTCAATGCTGCAGGCTCGCCCACTGCTGTCCCTTCAGTTGTCCAAGAAATATATTTTCAGCGTCAGGTGGTCACCAGTTCGGCCCCTGGTGTTTGCAGCTGCTTCCGGGGAAGGTACGTTTGTTTTGGCTAGCTGTGGGGAGGGGGGGGTTTGTCATATCTGGTGGGTTCTGGACGTGGTTTTATTTGAGCCTCCCAGTTGGCTCACCTCATCCGGGTGGGGTAGCGAGTTTGGTACTTACACCAGGGGCGAAATCCAGCAGGTTCTGAAGAACCGGTAGCGGAAATTTTGAGTAGTTCAGAGAACCAGCAAATACGACCTCTGGCTGGTCCCCGAGTGGGGTGGGAATGGGGATTTGCAGTATCCTTCCCCTGCCCACCAAGCCACGCCCACAGAACCGGTAGTAAAAAAAATAATTGAATTTCACCACCGACTTCAACCTACAATTTTTCTTAATTTTCTGATGATCCCTACAGGCTGGGATCGTTCCTGCTTTTCAGTGAATCAATTTACTGTATTTTTCGCTGCATTAAGAGGCATTTTTTTGTCTCCCAAAAGTGGGTGGAAATATCTGTGCGTCTTATGGAGCGAATATTGGCAAAGCCCCATCCACCCGCTGGTCCCCACTTTTTGGCCGTTTTCGGCCTCCGTGCGTCCCGTTTTCGGAATGGAGCGCTCGGAGCCCCAAAACAGGAATACGTCTTACGGTCAGGTGCATCTTATAGTACGAAAAATACGGTAATTAATTTCGTTCTTTTGCAAACCTGCAATGATTTTAAACATTGGTGTCAGCCCTGAATCATTGGAGGAGGAAAAAGCAGGATTCGGGTGGGGTGAGGTGGGGGAGCCCCTGCAGGATTGTTGTGTGTGTTTAATCTTTGGCTTGGTTTCCAGGGGAAGTGCAGCTTTTCGACTTTGCAAAGAGCTCCCAAAAGCCCTCCGTCTCAATCAGGCAGACGCCCAATCAGGCCCCCGTCCACTGCTTGGAGTTCAACCCCCGGCAGACTCAGCTCCTTGCCGCTGGGGACGCCAGCGGGACGGTGAAGGTTTGGCAGCTGAGTTCGGATTTCACCGAAGAGGGCCCGCGAGAGATGAGCCATCTCGATCAGCTGGCAAACGAGGTCACCGATTAAGACACCCAACCCTTGCTGGGCGTCTTAACTCAAGAGATGCTTCCAGGCAGGGAGCGGAAGTCTTTTGTTCATGCAACTGTTGTCAATCCTCCCACAAAGGGAATGTGTGTGTGTGTGTGTGTGTGTGTGTGTGTGTGATGGAGAAGGTTGTAAATAAAGACTAAGTAAAAGCACAATTCTGAGCGGGATTTCTCTTAAGACTTAGCGGAGGGGGCTTCGCGTTTTGTCGACGGGGATTTCTCTCTTTTATGCTCCGGAAGGCGTGAAAGAAAACCCTCAATTTGGACTAGCAACTTTTATTGAAGCACACACTGTGACATATTTTTGTTGTTGTTGTTTGTTTGTTTCCTTCGACCTAAGGACGGAGGCGTTAAGCGAAGCGTTTTTATAAGGTTACATGGGGATCGGTTTTCGAGCACGAGAGGGGAGACATGCAAAGAGCGAAGGAGCCAAAGACACGCAAGCACATTCTTGGGATTGCCAGGGTGGGGGTGGGGGGGTTGGGGCGGGGGGGGGCGAGCGCTGGCGATCAATTCACAAAGAGGGAGCGTGTGAATTCGACGTAGTCGTAGGCAGAGGGAAGTTCTCGACCTTTGCTGTCCATGTAGGGCTTCATGTGCGAGATGCAGTAGTCCGCCTGTTCCCGGGACAGATTCTGGAAAGGCAAACGAGAGACAAAAGGCACTGTGAGGGTTGGGTCAGGAAGCCCAAAACGAGAGAGAAATATTTTGAAATGTTGAATTCAGACAACCAAATGCCTGCCTGCCTGCCTGGGTAGAAAACATCAAACCTCTTCAGCAGGAGGAAGGAACTGTTGTGACCTAGGCTTACTGAGTCATTACAAGACACAATTAGTCCTAAACAAACCTATTTTATTGTAACAGCTGAGAATTACGTTCATTCCCAGCTGAGTCCCAATTAGTGGCAAAACAAGTCCTTCGGGATAATCACCAACCTTTGTCTTCTTTGGCACCCTGCCAAAGGGCTTACTTGGCAAAGCCCCATGAAGTTCAGAAGCAACAGACACCGACAAGAAACAAATGTAGCAACGTTGCTTTCCTACAAAGATCCCAGGAGCCGTTGCTGCTCTTTTAAGCCGTCTGGGAGGGGCCAATCATCTCCTGGCCTTACTCCTGAGTCGTCCATTTTGCTTTAGCTACTCTTGCCTTCTGGCAGCTCTGCACATGCGTGCACTAGGAACAGGCTCCTCCTGTTCCTCTGCCTCTTGGCTATCCGCCTCTGGAGGCTCCGGAGTCCACGCATCGCTCCCAGATGGACCTGGCCCCATCTCTGCCTCCGACAGAACCCTCGTCCGGGCCTTCCCCTGACTCCAGGACTGGCCCCTGTTCCTCCCCAGCCTCCTCACTGTCCGACTCTGCTGCCAGCTCCACGGGGAACATTAAACAAGCACCGAAGAAATGATACTATCCTGGACGGTGACAATATCGGGAATGGTTTCATCCATTTAGTGACATGCTCCTACTACCTCATTCAGGTTTTTCTCTCAATCGTTTTTGGGGTGGGCCTCTTCAGCTTCTATGTTAGAGAAGCTGTTGTGGCCCGCCAGCTGCAAGTGGAGCTGGCGGCAGACTCTGACGATGAGGAGGTTGGGGAGGAATTTGGGTCAGTTCTGGAGCCTGGGGAAGGCTCTGATGGATGCTCTGCATCGGACACAGAGATAGAGCCAGGGCCGTCCGGCATTTCCCAGCCACTGGCAGCTGCCTTTGGAGGCTGAGATAAGTAAAGAGGAAGAACAGCTGGGGCCTGTTCCAGACGCAGGTATGCACAGAGCAGTTAGGAGAGGTGAGCAACGGAGGACAAGGAGTCAACTTGGGAAGCAAAGCACACATGGACGCTGAATGGCCCCTCCCTGGCTGGGAAATAAATAGAAGGAAAGGGGAGTCGGTTGTCGTAGGAGACAAATGTTCGTATTTCTGAAGATTTTGCTCATTTTTCGGCTGGGATCGCAAGGAACTGATAAAGTCTGTTGCTGCCATTAACTCCTTGAAGGACTTTTGCCTGGACTTTTCGGTGGGTGAATGCAATTAATTCACAAGAGGTAAATAAAGAGGGGTTTTTCGTGACCAGGAGTCTGTTTCTTGCTTCTGCTAAGGCTGGGTCAGAACAGAAGCTACAAAATTATCTGCACTGACGTGGGGTTTCTAGCAAATTAAAGTTTCGTCGAAGGGGCCAGACAGCACATTATTTCCTGGAGCACCGCTATCATATTGCATAGTCGTCACACTGGTGCTGATAGTTTGGCCTTGCAACTCTGTCTAATGGTGGTCCTCGGCTTATGACCACAATTGAGGTAGTCCTCGGCTTATGACCACAATTGAGCCCAACGTTTTATCTTGTGGAGACATTTGTTAAACGAGTTTTGCCCCATTTTACAGCCTTCCTTGCCAACGTTGTTAGGTGAGAATCACTGCAGCTGATCAGGGGAAATCTGTCTTGCCCATCGAGTTGGTTTGTCAAAGGGTCACAAAAGGGGATCACGTGAACCTGAGGACACAGCAACGGCCGTAAGTATGAACCAGTGGCCAAGCATCTGAATTTTGATGAGGGGGATATGCTTCAAAAGTCTTAACTGAAAAATGATCGTAAGTTATTTCAGCGTTGTAACTTTGAATGGTCACTAAGTGAATTGTTGTAAGTCAAGGAACCTGTAGTAGACGCTAAAAAGGTAAAGGTTCCCCTCGCACATGTGTTCTAGTTGTTCCTGACTCTAGGGGGCAGTGCTCCTCTCCGTTTCAAAGCTGAAGAGCCAGCGCTGTCCGAAGACGTCTCCGTGGTCATGTGGCCGGCATGACTCAACACCAAAGGCGCACGGAGCGCTGTTCCCTTCCCACCAAAGGTGGTCCCTATTTTTCTACTTGCATTTTTTTTTTACGTGCTTCCGAACTGCTAGGTTGGCAGAAGCTGGGACAAGTCATGGGAGCTCACTCCATTACGCGGCACTAGGGATTCGAACCACTGAACTGCCAACCTTTCGATCGACAAGCTCAGCGTCTTAGTCACCGCGTCTCCTTGTAGTAGATGCTAAATCCCCCCCCAAAAAAGCTTCCCTTACCTGGTAGAGTTCTTCCTTGGTCACGTAGGGCTTGCCCTCCGAGCTGAGGGCGCGGAAAGCACTCTCTATCTCCTCGCTGGACTTCACGTTCTCCGTCTCTCTGCTGATCATGAAGGCCATGTACTCCTGCAGAGAGACGTGTCCATCCCTGCCAGAAAGAGGGGGGGGGAAACAACGTTGGAGGTGACCAGAGAAGGAATTCTGGTAGTTGAAGTCCACCCACCTTCAAGTTGCCATGGTTGAGAAACGTTACCGTAAAGCTTTGGAGTGAAAAACATACGGGGTTGTCCTTGAAAGCTCTTACCGATTTGGATCCACGGTGTCGAGAATAGCTTCAAATTCTGGATCCGGTTCTCCTTCCTCCACCATGGGGAGATCATAACCCAGGGAGCGCAGGCAGGATTTAAATTCTTGGTGGTTCAGACGGCCAGATTTATCCTTGTCGAAGTGCCTAGGGTGAAGGAATTTATTTTACTTTTATTGGCTAAACCTTTTTAAGACAGGCTTTGAAAGAATCGCCAAATATTGCTGTCAGGTTCCAGGTATTTCTACGGTGACGCTGGCAGTTTTGGGGGAGGAAGTGGGGAGAGGAATGGAGTGATCTATATACGAAGTGTCCGTTTCCTGTTTCTGTTTCCTGCATTACTGTGCTAATCTCTATTATCAGTGATGGCAAACGTTTTCAAAGGTGGCACGGAAACGTCGTGCGCACACACAAACGCTTGTCGGGGCCACGCTCCGGAAAAATCGAATGTCCGGGTTCTAGCAGGCATGTGTGCCCGACGATCAGCAGGCCGACGTCCATGCGCAGGCTGGTTTTCAGGACTGCCATGCGCACAATGGGATCACGCTCCGGAAAAGCCTTCCGGGTTCTGGCACATATGTGCACCTGACCATCAACTGGCTGGCATGCACACAGACGCTGGTTTTCTGCACTGCCGTGCATGCCAAGGACAGCTGATTGTCACGTACACATGTGCGTCAGAAACCTGAGAGACAAACAGGCAAGGCTGTGTGTGCCGAGCAACATGGCTTCACGTGCCACTTTGGGCACACGTGCCATAGGTTGGCCATCCCGGCTCTATATGAAGTTTCTGTTTCCCTGCAATGAGGTAGTGTGGAAGGGGTTTGGTTAGCATTGCTTTTAAATAGCTGGTCTTAAGTGAGGAGCTTCAGTTCTTGCCTAGATCTCTTGTTATCACAAACCCTTTCAATAAAAAGCTCCTTTTGGAACCACTGCAGTTTCAAGAGTCCTGCTTTCTTGGGAAGATTGGAGAGGTAAGCCCTTACAGTTGCTTTAATACTCAGAAAGATTTGCTGGGATTTGAACAGGCTGCTTCACACATATATAACCGGACTCCAGTCAGCTATGACCAGTGATGGGATGCTGCCAGTTTAACAACTGGTTTGGTGATCGTGTGCTTTGCATGAGCACGCTTCACGCATAGTTTTACAAATACTAACCTTCTGTGTTACCACTTGGGAGTAACACAGCTGAGGCGCGGCAATCTGCTCTGCCGCGCGAATCAGCTGAAAAGATATAGATCAGTAAAGCGCAGGGGCAGGCAGTTGAGCCCACCTGATTGTCAGAGCCCACCGGTTCGCTCCCAGCTGATCGTCAGAGCTACCGGTTTGCCCGAACCGGTAGAATCCCACCCCTGGCCATGACGCTAAAAGCCACTGCCTCTCCCCAACTTAAACATGGCTCAAATTTAAAAACAGGACAGAGGGGGTTTTTTTGGCACCCAGGAGGTGGTTTGCAGGCCAGGACGACCACCCGAAAAACCACTGCAAAACTTACTTAAACATCATACTGAATTCCTTCAGAGCCTCTTCGGTGACACCGGTGGTGTTTCTGAAAAAGAAGAGAAATGTGTTCACTCGGTGAGAGGTTGACACTAAAAAACGGCGCCGAAGGAGCGCCCGTTTGATCGATCGGAAAAGATCGATGGAGGAAATCTCGCTCCCCAAAATGGAGAGAGTTTCTGCCTCTTCGACTTTAAATCAGTTGTCCCAATATGGTGGTTTGAGAACCGTTTTTCCGTGGGGGTGGGGTGGAGGAAAATAAACCTGAGAGATGTTTTCCCGCCCCCTCTACCTCTTAAGGAGAAATATGCTTGCCAAGTTTACGGTCAACCTCCTGAGTGTCTCTGGAGATTCTCAGTTATCCAGATCATAGTTGTTCCAAAGATGTTTTTTTTTTTCAAGAGGCAACTAGACTTTCTGCTTTTTAGAATACAATAGAATAGAAAATAGAATAGAATAGAATAGAATTCTTTATTGTGTGTGTGATTGGACACACAAGGACACACAAGGAATTTGTCTTGGTGCATACGCTCTCAGAGTACATAAAAGAAAAGATACATTCGTCAAGAATCATAAGGTACTTATTTTTCTTTGAAGGCGTTTCACTTTTCATCGAAGAAGCTTCTTCAGTGAAACGTCTTCAAAGAAAAAACCCAGAAAGTCCAGTTGCCTCTTGGAAAAAAAACACCTTTGAGTCAATCCACCTGGGGTTACAACATTTGAAGAACTGCCAGAAACTCCCCAAAGGGAGACTCCAGCTAAGTAATAAATGTTGCGGGCCGCAACGTTTATCACTCGGGACGATGAGGAGGTTGGGGAAGAACTTGGGCCAGTTCTGGAGCCTGGGGAAGGCTCTGATGGATGCTCTGCATCCGATGCAGAGATAGAGCCAGGGCCATCCGGCATTTCCCAGCCAGAGAGGCAGCTGCCTTTGGAGTCAGAGATGAGTGAGGAGGAGGAGGAACAGCTGGGGCCTGTTCCAGATGCACATATGCGCAGAGCAGATAGGAGAGGTGAACAACGGAGGACAAGGAGCTGACTCGGGAGGCAAAACAAATGTGGACGCTGACTGGCCCCTCCCTGGCTGGGGAATAAATAGGAGGAAAAGAGAGGGGTTTGGTTGTCGCAACTGTTTGCATTTTTGGAAAGTTTGCTCCTTGTGTGTTTCGTGCAACAAAGGCTGCCTTGCCAGAACTGAGATTTCTCTATTTCTCTGTTTGAACTGACTTAATTTCAGGCCTTGCATTTATCCTAATGAGCTGATAAGGACTATTGTTTCAGTTAAACTCCTTGCAGGATTCTTGCCTGGACTTTCTGTTGGGGAAGGCAGTGAATTCCCCATGTGTAAATAAAGAGGAGGGCTTTTATTTGCGGGGTGTCTGTTTCTTCCAACCCACCTCCCACACCAGTGATGGATTTCAAACATTTTTACTACCGGTTCTGTGGGTGTGGCTTGGTGGGCATGGCAGGGAAAGGATACTGTAAAATCTCCATTCCCACCCCACTCCAGGGGAAGGATACTGCAAAATCCACATTTCCTCCCAATCAGCTGGGACTTGGGAGGCAGAGAATAGATGGGGGCGGGGTCAGTCAGAATTTTTACTACCGGTTCTCCGAACTACTCAAAATTTCCGCTACCGGTTCTCCAGAACTGATCAGAACCTGCTGAAACCCACCTCTGTCCCACAGCCAACCTTTCTCTGCAAAGCTAATCCCACCACCATCACCCATTCCAGAGTGGGTGCCCCCACCTGGCCTGTATCTGCTGCTCCAGATTGTGCTGCATTCTCATGCCGAGCTGATCCAGTTGGTCCCATTGCTGGGCCAGCCCCACCGTGCTGTGCTCGGTGTACTTGTTATCCAAAATCAGAGCCTCTTCCATAGCCGCTCCGAGGTCTTCGATTTTCTTCAGCTGGCTTCTCATGGCTCGGATCTCCTGGTGTTTGCGCTGAAAGGGGAAAGAGGGAGAAGCATGCATGAGCCTGCACAAACCCCCAAGGACCCCCCTCCCTCTCTCCACCCCCAAAATAGTGCAAAGGTCTGGAAGGGACATCCTATCATCTCTGATGGCTGCATAATTCCCGGCTATGAATTGTCAAAGAGTCATCTGAACTGAACTGAAGCTTCCTATGGAGGTTATCCTTGACTTAATGTTCGTTTATTGACTGTTAACAACAGCAACTTATGACCATTTTTCACCCTTATGACAGTTTGCAGCATCCCCGTAGCCAAGCGATCCAAAATTCAGAGGCTTGGCAATTGCTTCATACAGCAGTGGTCAAAATTGTGAAAACCTTTTGGGAAAAGTGCATTTTTGAGGTTTGATGGCTAATAACACTACTTTTTTTTTTTTTTTTTGAGTTTCAAGATAACCCTATTCCACTGCTGGAATGGCCTGGGAATAGCCCAGACCTTCGCCCAATGGAAAATCTATGAGCCTTGGTGGCACAGCAGACTAAAGCACTATTAAGTAACACCAGCTGCCTGCAATTACTGCAAGTTCAAATCTCACCAGGCTCAAGGTTGACTCAGCCTTCCATCCTTCCGAGGTAGGTAAAATGAGGACCCGGATTGTGGGGGCAATAAGCTGACTTTGTATAAAAAGAACACCGCTTAGGGGGGGCCTGAAAGCCCTACTAAGCAGGTATATACAAAAGTATGAAAGCTATTGCTTAATGCATTGTAAGCTGCCCTGAGTCTCCGGAGAAGGGCGGCATATAAATAGAACCAATAAAGAAACTTGTTAGTCAGAAGTGTCGCAGCAATAAAACCCAGTTAATAAAAGCCATCATTCAATCTTGGTTTCACAGTGTAACAGCTGCAGAACTAAAAGACTTGGTTCACTCCATGGGAAGATGTTGTAAGGCCGTAATTCATGCTGAAGGTTACCCAACGAAGGATTCACTGACATGGGGATCATTTTTGCATATCTCGTTTTTTCTACGTGTTTCACTTTTCTTCTTTATACTGCAACTGCTATTCTAATAACAAATCCTTCCTAAAAGTAATTGCATTACGTTCTTGATTCAATTATCTTTCCATTGATATATGATGTTATGGCACTACTCCCCAAAAAAGTGGTGTTATTAGCCAAGTTTTAAAAAATACACTTTTCTCCAAAAGGTTTTCACAATTTTGGCCACTACTGTACTTATGACCGTTGCTGAGTCCCCAGAAGTCACGGGATCTTCCTTTTGCGACCTTCCGGCAAGCAAAGTCCATGGGAAGCCAGATTCACTTAACAACCGGGTTACTAACATGTCAACACCAGTGAGTCGTTTAGCAACGGTGGTGGCAAAATCCACTTAACAAATGTCTCACTTAACGACAGAAACTTTGGGCTCTGCTGTGTCTGTGAGTCGAGGACTACTGTATTTCAACCCTGATAGGATTCTTCCCCCGTGTTTTGTTCCACCAAAATACCCACCTTCGTTGCTTCCAGCTGAGACTCCAGAGTGCCCGATTCTTCCACCATGCAAGACCTGAAGGAAGAGTTGGCATGAGAGAGGGGCCTTCAGCCAGTTAAAGAAATGGGGCTCGGAATTAACCCACTAGCCTCTCTTAAGGACGGGGTCTGTTTAGTGAAATTAAGGCGCTGATACACTGAGAAGCAGCGGGGTAGAATGGCTGCAGGCACCGGCCTAGAGAATTGTGAATTCTAGTCTTGCTTAAGGCACGAAAACCAACGCCTAGCAGCTCTGGGTTGCTGACAAAATGATTTTTAAACATAAAGGTAACACATATGTGCTAGTCGTTCCTGACTCTAGGGGGCGGTGCTCATCTCCGTTTCCAAGCCGAAGAGCCAGCGCTGTCCGAAGACATCTCCGTGGTCATGTGGCCGGCATGACTCAATGCCAAAGGCGCACGGAACGTTGCTACCTTCCCACCAAAGGTTGTCCCTATTTTTTCTACTTGCATTTTTTACGTGCTTTCAAACTGCTAGGTTGGCAGAAGCTGGGACAAGTCACGGGAGCTCACCCCGTTGTGCGGCGCTCGGGATTCGAACCGCTGAACTGCCGGCCTTTCGATCGACAAGCTCAGCGTCTTAGCCACTGAGCCACCGCGTCCCATAAAAAATGATTTATTTCATTTTAGAAACCGTTAAAAACAAGGAAACTACATGAAACAAAAGAAACACGGAGACGCACGCCCACCACTCTGTGGTGTTTTTTCAACAGGGAAAAAAAAGTAAGATGCTTATACACCGAATTTTGGAATATTTATCAATGTAATCCAACCCACTTATTGCCCATCTGACTATTCAAGTGTCTCGGGAGTGGTTTACAAATCCAAAAACCGCAAAATCCAGTTAAAAGTCTTTTCATCTTGATATCAAAATATTCTCTTGGGGTACATAGTGAAGACCCCTAAGGAGAAGCGGCCACTGATTACACACACTAGATTTGTGTGTGTGTGTGTGTGTGTGTGTGTGTGTGTGTGTGTGTGTGTGTGTATCCAGGGGTGGGCTGCTGGGGGTTTCGGGAGAACCTCTAGCTAAGATTCTGTGCAGTTCAGAGAACCCCCAAATCCCACTCCTGGCTGGCTCCACCCACCCTGCCCCTCCCTTCCCAGGAGTCCCCACGCGGCCCATTTTGGATGCAGGTAAGTGCAGGGCACACACGGAGGCATGAAAAATGGGCCTCCCGGAAGTTCGGGAAGTTAGGGGCCTGGTGGCTCAGCAGACTAAAATCATTGTGATTAACACCAGCTGTCTGCAATTACTGTAAGTTCGAATCTCGCCAAGGCTCAAGGTTGACTCAGCCTTCCATCCTTTCTAAGGTAGGTAAATTGAGGACCCAGTTTGTGGGGGCAATAAGATGACTTTGTATAAAATATACAAAAGTATGAAGGCATTGTAAGCCGCCCTGAGTCTCCGGAAAAGGGTGGCATATAAATCAAATTAAAATTAAAATAATTAAAAAATTAAAATAAAAAAAAGGCCGGAAACGGCCCCTTTTCCAGCCTCTAGAGGGCCTCCGGAGCCTGGGGAGGCCGTTTTCGCCCTCCCAGAGGCTCGAGGAAAGCCACCAGAGCCCAGGGAGGGCAAAAACAACCCCTCCCTGCTGTGGTGCAGGAGGGCGATTAGGCCACGCCCACCCAGCAACCGGGAAGAGAACCCCTTCCTCAAATTTATAAAGCCCACCCGCATGTGTATCCATGCAGATAAAATGCACCACACAATCTAGAAACCCCGATCTTGCAACCAGAGTGACACAACCCCTTCCTCTTTTATTAATTGCTTCTGAAGAATTCCTCTCTACATGAATAAAAAAAATTGGTTTTGGAACAGGCGATCTTGTAAAGATGGGGTGGGTGGGGGAAATCCTTTCCAGAACCAAAATCTGAATCTGAATTTTTGGGCAGAGGGAGGGGGTTGGATTACAAGGCCTTCCAAGATCCCTTCCAGTCCTAGGACTCTATGGTTAATTTCAAGCCCCATTTCGCCAACCTAAGTTAAGGGCAGCAAAAATAAAAATAGGAAAATAACATTCATGCAAATTCTAAAGCGCCGGATTTCTTGACAATCTGGAGGGGAGCGGGGGGGGGGTGTCCGCAGCCATCCCCTGGAGCCTGGCAGACACACACACACACACAAAAGCCGCAAGTAAATTGCTTGAGATGAGTGGGGAGGCTTGTCAATGAGAGGCACAAGACTTGAGCGAGGCTTTGCACACACAGCGTGGCAGGGATGGGAAACTTTTGCACAAACGACTGGCTCGGTTTGCACACTCCCTGCTTGGTAGGGCAGCTTCTTTTCCAGCAAAGAAAAAGCAAAAATGCCTTGGCGTCCGAGGTGCAGCTGGTCAGGGCTCTTTTTAAAGTGACCCAAAATGATCCCATTTTAAGCGTTGCTCTACGGCAATTTAAGGATTTTTCATCCCCGGGGTTCTTTTTGATCCAGAATGATCCATCTTTTGTGTTAAAAGGTAAAGGTTCCCCTCGCACATACGTGCTACTCGTTCCTGACTCTAGGGGGCAGTGCTCATCTCCGTTTCAAAGCCGAAGAGCCAGCGCTGTCCGAAGACGTCTCCGTGGCCACGTGGCCAGCATGACTCAACGCCAAAGGCGCATGGAACGCTGTTCCCTTCCCCCCAAAGGTGGTCCCTATTTTTCTACTCGCATTTTTTACGTGCTTTCGAACTGCTAGGTTGGCAGAGGCTGGGACAAGTCACGGGAGCTCACCCCATTACGCGGCACTCGAACCACTGAACTGCCGACCTTCCGATCGACAAGCTCAGCGTCTTAGCCACTGAGTCCCTATCTTTTGTGTTACTTTACTACAATTTCAGGATTTTTTCTCCCCCCCCCCCCCAAAACAAACATCTGAACTGGGTTTTAAACTTTGGAAACGGACAAGAGCGAAACTGAGCAAGATGGACAGAGTCCCAAGGGCAGCGAGTTTTGGTTCACTTTGAAGTCAAGAGCCCCGTCCTGAAACATTCGCGGTGAAAAAAAACCCACAACGGACAACTCGGTGCACACAAAAACAACACATCTCGGCTACTGTGTGGGCAAGCTTCACTTTCTCGGTGCCCCTGTGAAGTGGAGGGGATCTGGCTGGGGAAATCAGCTGGCAGGCTCACCCCACCCACCCACCCCCAACCGTACCTGCCCTTCTGCAACCTGGGGGGGCCCAGACTTTTCATTTTGCATGGATTATAAAGTTCCTGGGTGCTTGATTTTTAACAGGTGAGTCTCGCTAGCCAAGGGGGGTTAAGCGTCATCGTCAGCCGTGGCAGGTAAGTGATCACAAAGCAGTTACGTGGCCTGTTTCAAGGGAGGGGGTGCTTAAGGGGTGGGGGGAGCCCCCCTCCCACAATCCACCCGCCCTTTCTTCCCGCCAAGAGCATCTCACAGTAGTGATCGGTTAGTTCGGGAAAAAAACAAAAAGGAAAAGGAAAAGAAAAAGGTAAGCCGAGCTTTGGGAAATTAGGAGTGTGCAGTTAAAAAAAAAGAAAAGAAAAGAGAAAGAAAACGAAAGGAAAACAAAAAATCAAAACAAAACACAGCGAGGTAAGAAAAAAAGGAGAAAAACCTTCCAGACAGATCATCCCCAACTTCATACTGATAGACGCGAACGACACGACGGTAGGCTATGCTATTCAAAGGAAAGAAACCGTGTGAAATTCCAAAACAGGAGAAGGGAGAACATGGAGCACACGCAAACACACAAGGGAACAAGTGGCTTACAACTCTTGTCCAAGATCAACACTCAAGTGGGGTTTTTTTTTAGACGTAATCTATTTCGACTTCTCCCATCAGGACGTCGCTATAGAGCATTGCATGCCAAAACAACCAGACATATAATTTTTCCCTCCCCCTGCCATCGCTCTGGTGAACGCTTAATTCTCACAGCACTTGTGTCTCATGTCTCATCTTTCCTACTATCTTCTCCTATTGGTTTATGATTGATCAATGGTTGTTTCTAACTTATGATTAATGATTGTAACTATGATTTATGATCCATGACCCCTCATTTTGTTCTTTGCATGTACACTGAGAGCTTCTATTCCCATTCCGTTCCATTTTGAATTCTATTCTATTCTATTCCATTCCATTCCTATCCTATTCCATATTTTCTATTCTATTTTGAATTCAATTTTACATTCTATTCTATTCTATTCTATTCTATTCTATTCTATTCTATTCTATTCTATTCTATTCTATTCTATTCTATTCCATTCCATTTTGAATTCTATTCTATTTCATTCCATTCCTATCCTATTCCATATTTTCTATTCTATTTTACATTGAATTTTACATTGTATTCTATTCTATTCCATTTTGAATTCTATTCCATTCTGAATTTTATTCCATTTTGAATTCTATTCTATTCCATTCCTATCCTATTCCATATTTTCTATTCTATTTTACATTGAATTTTACATTCTATTCTATTCTATTCTATTCTATTCTATTCTATTCTATTCTATTCTATTCTATTCTATTCTATTCTATTCCATTTTGAATTCTATTCCATTCTGAATTCTATTCTATTCCATTCCTATCCTATTACATATTTTCTGTTCTATTTTACATTGAATTTTACATTCCATTCCATTTTGAATTCTATTCCATTATGAATTCTATTTTATTCTACTCTTTCCTATCCTATCCATCTTATCTTACCCTATTCTTTTTTTTAAAAAAAATACAGGCAATAACCACCTGTCAGCTTGAAGGAGTCTCTCTTCATGCGCCCACAGACTCAGTCTAAGCTGGTAGAGAGGTCTTTGTCAGTCGTTTCCTACTAATCTATGGGGCTGCAGGGTCTGGTTTCCACTCAGAAACGGACGTGGCTCTTTTCATGAGCCACATCCAAGAGACGTGGCTGTTTGTGCTGCCAAGCATCCCTGAATTCTGCCTCCTTGCCTGGTTGCTGATAGTTGCTGCTTTGAACCCGGACAGGCTAAAGGCTTATCTGCATGCATGTAGAAGACACCCCTAAGTTTTACTTTTGTCCCTGAGCCGATTAAGATGCAAGGGGCAGCCATAACTTCTTTCTTTCGTGGGTTGTGCGAGGGAGAGAAAGAGAAAGAGAAAAAAGGAGGGGGGGGGGGAGAGAGAAGAGAAAACAAGGAACACAACAAGAAAGGTATATAATAACCAAGTCACAATTTGGCTGTTTTGGTGGTTGAGTCTCTGCTCTTCTACTCTCCCCGTCTGTTTCCTCCAGTTCTGTAATCCGAATTCTGGTTTGGAGGCAAATCGTGGTTTGTACTGCTAAGAGAAGCAGCTCAACCCAATCGGCGCCAGAGGCCAAACCTTTGGGGCATCAGAAGCAGGTCCCAGACCACAAAATGCAAAACAGAGGAGAACGGGTGTGTGTGTGTGTGTGACTTTTCCATGACCTCACTGGGGAGGGAAGACCAACTCCTTAACATCAGAAGAAGCCCAAGGAGCTACAGCAGGGGTGTCGAACTCAAGGCTCGGGGGCCGAATGCGGCCTGCAGGGTGCTTAGATCTGGCCCGCGAGGACCATCATGGAAATAGCGAAGGACCGGCCCACAGTGCCTCTGCAAGCAAAAATAGAGCTTGCAAGGGCCATGTGTGGCTCCCCGAGCTCCGTTTTTGCTGGCAGAGGGTTGCAGGAGGCCGTCGCAGCCGAAAACGGAGCTCGGGAGCCCGTTTTCGCTGGCAAAGTGCTCGGGCCGCCTGCCCACCAGACACAAGTGACATCATGCTGGCCACGCCCACCCCAGACCCCTGAGGTCAAACACAACCCTGACGTGGCCTTCAATGAAATCGAGTTTGACACCCCTGAGCTACAGCGTCTTTCTTTCCATGGTGGCAGAAAAGGGAATAAATCACTTAAAAGAGTCAAACCCACTACCCCGTAGCAGATGGACAAGTGAGCTGGTCGGGACAACGGAGAGACAGAAAATGAACCCTGAAATCAGGTGATGATGGGTTCCTCCTCAAGATGTCTGGTTTGGGGTGTACCAGCAGAGTCCAGACGAGGAGTCAAGTGTCCCCTGGGGAGATGGATGTGTTGTGGTCCGTCAGCAGCCTGCGGAGCTGGCAGCAGAGTCGGACAGTGAGGAGGTTTTGGGGAGGAACATGGGCCAGTCCTGGAGTCTGGGGAAGGCCTGGACAAGGGCTCTGCGTCAGAGGCAGAGAGGGGGCCAAGGCTTGTATGCCAGCTATCAGCTGCCTTTGGAGTCAGACATCAGTGAGGCAGAGGAACAGGGGGAGCCTGCTCCCAGTGCGTGCATGCACAGAGTTGCCAGAAGGCAAGAACAGTTAAAACAAAAGGGACAACTCAGGAGTAAGGCCAGGAGATGATTGGCCCCTCCAATAAGACATAAAAGAAGAGCAAAGGCACGTGGGCCTTTGCAGGAAGCAACGTTATTCATTCTGTGCAGTTTAAAGTCTGAAGCTCTGTTTGATTCTGGTCTCTGTGTGGCTTTGCCAATTAGGTCTTTATCAGCCTTCTCCCGAAGGACTCTTTGGGGACTCATCTGTGAATGAATAGAATTCACAGTTGTTGCAATAAAAGAGGTTTTTGGGACTACTCGTGGGTTTTACTGACTCAGGAAGCCTAGGTCAGAACAGGATGTCCTCAGTTTATCGAGAGGCATAAAATGGAGGAAGGAAGCTTGGGCTGACATGTTGGAGCTGAGGGTAGTAGGTCAACAAGGAACGGACAGAAAACACCACGATGCCAGTACAGTGGTCGAGAAAAGCTGGTCTGTGTGAATATGTCGAGAGGGGAATGGGACAGGACGATCTCTGTTTCTCAGGGCCTGTGAACTAACCCCAAATGTCGGATAAGGGCCTCCCTGCAGAGTCCAGACATCAACGCCCAAACCAGGTGGAACTCTGCTAACACAGTTGCCTCCAGCACAGCAATGGCATGAAGAAGCGAGAGCAGTTGGGAGGGGGAAAGGGGGGGGATTTATACTAACCCATCGAGCAGGTAGGTTCTGTGGAGCGTGAACATTCGATCGTGGCGCCACGGGAGAAAAACGAGGAACGGGACAGCCAGGAGGAAGACAACAAAAAGAAGGCATGTCAGTTAAGAGTAGGCACAGTTGATAATTCAGCATCAAATCAAGTTTGTTACCGTCAAAGACCAGAGATTAGAACAAATAAAATCATTGAGGGAATAGCCAGTTAAAAATTATAGAATAAAGTTAATAAATAACAGATAAAAATCTGTATTAAAATCACAATTTTAAGGTTTTGGTTACCACCTTTAGAGCGCTCCATGGCTTAGGACATGGTTACCTACGGGACCGCCTACTACCACCAATAGCCTCCCACCGGCCAGTACGCTCTCATAGAGAGGGACTCCTCCGGGTGCCGTCAGCCAAATAATGTCGACTGGCGGCCCCTAGGGGGAGAGCCTTCTCTGTGGGGGCACCTACTGTCTGGAATGAGCTCCCCCCGGAGATACGGAGGATCCCGGATCTGCGCACCTTCCGCCGCGCTGTGAAGACCTTTTTATTCCACCAGGCGGGCTTGGCTTAATCTTTTCCCTCTTTTTAATATGTAAATTTTAATCTGCTTTTAAATTATTGGGGTGTTTTAATTTGTCTGGGCCAAAATCGTTTAATTCGATTTTATCTGGTTTTTAAATTTTTTGTATCTATGTATTTTAATGTTTGGCTGTTCACCGCCCTGAGTCCTTCGGGAGTAGGGCGGTATACAAATCAAATAAACTAATTAAAAACTAAAAACTAACAATTTGGCATCCAATCTGTCAGTTACACAGGGCCCAACTATGCCATAATATCAATCCTGAAACTGTGAGGCCCACAGTCCTTGAGCTAAGGTGTTTCACATTTGGAAGAAAAACTACCAACAAACTTCTCCCTTCAGAAAATAAGTTTTTTCCAGAAGAAGTGGAGACCGAGGAACACTCAGGGGGCTTGGAGATGTTACGCTGTCAATCTTGGTTTAAGGCCTATAGTGTGATGGGCAAACCCAGCTTTATTAATTCAAACAAGCCATGGCTGGATACGGTTAAGCCGAGCCAGCCCTGGAAGCAGCACCTGGTCTCCTGAATCCACTGGTGGAAAGCGTTGGCGTGCTGAGCAAACTCCTGGCGCAGTTTATCGTTCTCCTCCTGCCTGCGTTGCTCCTTCTGAAGCTCCAATTCGCGTTCCTGGAAAATGGAGAAGGGTGCCACGGTGTCAATCTTAACATTTTTGAAGGAAAGGCCTAAGTAAGGAAGGAAGGAAGGAAGGAAGGAAGGAAGGAAGGAAGGAAGGAAGGAAGGAGAAAAATAGGTAGGTAGGTAGGTAGGTAGGTAGGAGAAAAATAGGTAGGTAGGTGGGTAGGTAGGTAGGATGGAGAAAGGTAGGTAGGTAGGTAAGTAGGAAGGAAGGAAGGAAGGAAGGAGAAAAATAGGAAGGAAGGAAAGAAGGAAGGATGAAAGAAGGAAGGAAGGAAGGAAGGAAGGAAGGAAGGAAAAAATAGGTAGGAAGGAAGGAAGGAGAAAGGAAGGAAGGAAGGAGAAAGGAAGGAAGGAAAAAAATAGGAAGGAAGGAGTGGAAGGATGAAGGAAGGAGAAACATAGGATGGAAGGAAGGAAAGAAGGAAGGAAGGAAGGAAGGAAGGAGAGAGAAAGGAAGGAAGGAAGATCCCTCTCCACAAAGGAGACCAGGAAGGGAGAATGACCTTGATGATTTTCTGCAGGTTCCTCCAGGTCTCCTCTAGAGCTTCCATCGTGAACCAGGTGTACGGGTTGGAGGCCACACGGAAGCTCTTGATCTGGCGGTCCAGCTCGGCCAGCTGGTTGAAGTCGGCCTGGGCCGAGCTGAGCGAGGACCGGAAGGCGTCGTGAGCTTCTCGCAGCGCCTTGATCTCTTCCAGTGAGTTGCAGCGCACGGGGTCGGTCAGGTCCTCTTCCGCGTTCTCAAACCAGCTGTTAAAGGCCGAGGCTTTCTTGGCGAAGGTCAGGAAGAGGTCCTCCACCTAGAAAAGAGGACAACCCTCAAACATCTACCAAGGATCAGAAGGGAGTTATCCTGACCCAACTCCCCAAGCATGACCAACCCTCCGAAGTTCACTCAAAGATTCCTTTATGAGGTGGAAGAGCCACTAGCAGCAGTGGCTCTTCTGTCCCAAGGACCGGCCCATAGATTTCCACTGCTCTCCTCTCCCTTCTGCTCATCCATGCGTCAGCCACTGGGCTTAGCTGTTCCTTCTCTTCCTCATGGTTCCTGCAGACCTGGGGGCTGTTGACTGTCCATCTGAGGGCTGGCGGAGGGCCCAGGCTCTGCCTCCGTCTCTCTCTCTCTCTGACAGCTCCATTCCCTCTTCCCCCTCCGAGGTCTCAGGTTGCCCTGAGGCTGACCCTGACTCCCACGCCTCCCCCTCCTCCTCCTCTGCTGGAGGGGCTGGCGGCCGACAGGCCACAACAGGAGCAGCTAAGGATCAAGTTGCCCCATGCTGGATTCGTAGGAGGAAACACTCCTGGGGTGTACTAGAGATAAGACTGATTGGAAGCTAAACCTCTATGCGGAAATGGCTGGTCTACAAAACAAATTGGCTAAAAATCAGGGAGAAGCAGAATACCCAATGATCAAAAGTTAATTTTTTCATTTTTTTTCATTTTATTAAATTTAAAACACAGGAACTAATTTAGGAACTTATTAAATTTAAAACACAGGAACAATTAACTGATTTTAATTTACGATGCCTGGATTCTAAATCCTCCCAATTGAGAGACAGAAAAAAAAGAGTTTAAGATTAAAGATCGTTCTGACCCACGCAAGTATTGTTTTAAAATCCTCCAAGATCACACGTGTTACATGTGCTTTAACAACAGCAAGAGTAAGTAGCTGAACGCAAGGAAGGGAGGGGGCTTACTTTTGATGAACCCAAAATAATTCATGTTATTAATTTCCATATTTTTACACAATTAATTTTTTTAAAAAAACCAGAAAACAGGAAATGGAGGGTTACAATTATCTTGAGGCTTTTGAAGCAATAAAAGCCCTGGAGACTAACACATAGGAAGAACATTTGCAGGATTTGGATTTGGCCAGTCAAGAGAAAAGAAGGACTAGGGGAGACATGGTAGCAGAATTCCCGTATTTGAGGGGCTGCCACAAAGGAGAAGGGGGTCAAATTATTCTCCAAAGCACCAGAAGGCAGGACAAGAAACAATGGATGGAAACTAACCAAAGAGAGAAGCAACCTGGAATTAAGGAGAAACTTCCTAACAGTGAAGACAATTAACCAGTGGAACAGCCTGCCACCGGAAGTTTTGAAGGTTTTCAAGGAGAGATTGGACAACCATTTGATTGGGAATGGTGTAGGGTCTCCTGCTTAGTTGGACTAGAAGACCTCCAAGGTCACTTCCAGAGCTATGCTGATTGAAGCCCTTAAATCAGGGGTGAAATGCTCATGGTTTGGATCCGGTAGCGATTGTGACGAGTGGTTCGGAGAACCGGTTGTCGTTACTTCCTGGTTTTAACCAGGAATTAGTGTGTTTCATACCCTCTGCGCATGTGAAGAAGGTTTTGGTTTTTTTGCTTTCAAAAGTTAAAAAAAAAAAAAGCTCTGATGATCGCACTGCTCAGCTGTGATCGTCAGAGGCTTTTTTTTTTTACTTTTAAAAATATTTTTTTACAACTTATTCAGGTGAATAGGTTGTAAAAAAAATGCTTTAAAAAGGTATAAAAAGGCTCCGACGATCACAGCTGAGCTGCGCGATTGTCAGAGCCTTTTTTTTTTTTACTTTTAAAAGCAATTTTTTACAACCTATGAATAGGTTGTAAAAAATTGCTTTCAAAAAAAAAAAAAAAAAAAGATTGCACGTCACAGCTGCTCACACCCCTCTTTGCGCACTGTTCTACTTACCCCATGCCTCTTTTGGGCATGCACTGTGCGCGCACATGCGCCTCGCATTTGGTGCATGGTGCGCAGTGCGCCTGCACACCAGGTGTGGGTTCTAATTTTTTTTACTACCGGTTCTGTGGGCGTGGCTTATTTTGTGGGCATGGCTTGATGGTCATGTGACAATTATTTAGGATTTAGCAGAGGTACTGGTCTACCAGGCTTTTAACTGCTTGCCGAGCTGTACCGGTCTACCCATTTATTTTTTGCAGGCCCTGATCTACTCATGTATTTTTGCAGGCAAATTTTTGCGCCGGGTGGAGGCAGAACCGGTTCGGTGACGTCATATCGTCACCGCTACCGGCTTGGGAGAACCGGGCGGAACCCACCACTGATGCACACGCAGCCAGCAAACCGGGAGTAAACCGGTTCAGATTTCACCACTGCCTTAAATTCAGTTCCCCCGAGCCTTTTGCTCACTCTTCCCTGGCTAAAGGAGATTTCTGAAGATTTCTCTGGGGGAAGCTGATTGGCCGATTTCGGGAGGGGGGTACCCGGCGCCTTCCCTCACCTTTCTGAAATGTTCTTGGGCCTCCAAGAGTTTTTTCTTCCGGGCAGCTGAGTTGGCCAGCAGCTGGTTCCAGCGTTTCATTAGCGAGGCGTGGCGAACCTCAATGGCTTTCGACTGGATGTGCTTGGCAGCCAGCAGCTGGTCTTTCAGGGTGGTGATGTTGGCGATGCCTTCCTGGGCGAAGGCGTGGAGGCCAGCATCAAAGGTTTCCTGCAACGTTGAGTTGGAAGGTTAAGGCTTTGGGTACTTTCCTTGTTGCGGCCTTCAGCAAAAATATCCCCCCCCTCCCTCCCTTCGCGGCCACACACCTGTTTGGTGAGAAGGGTCTGAACGGAGGAGAGGTCTCGCCCGTAGTCATCCGTCTTCAGGCTGTTTTCTTTCTCACCTAGGAGATTTGGACTTTTGATTTATTTGTATCCCTCTTTTATTGTGATTTTTTTTACAAATAACTCAAGGCAGTGAACATCTCCAACGCCCCTTCCTCCACCTAGTTTCCCCACAACAACCAGCCTGTGACGTGGGTTGGGGAGAAAGAGAGAGAGAGAGAGAGAGAGAGAGAGAGACTGGTCCAAAGTCACCCAGCCAGCTTTTATGGCTAAGGGAGACTAGAACTCACCATTGCCTGGCCCAAATTCACCCAGCTGGCTTTCATGGGTAATGTGGAACTAGGACTCACGGTCTCCTGCTTTCGAGCCAGGTACCAATAGGTTTGTTTTCACATTCTATATCTATCTATCTATCTATCTATCTATCTATCTATCTATCTATCTATTATCTATCATCTATCTATCTTCTATCTATCATCCATCCATATCTATTTATCTATCTATCTGTCTGTCTGTCTGCCTACCTATCTATCATACCTATCTACCTACCTACCTTTTCATCCATCCATTCATCCATCCATCCAACATACCTATCTAACATATTTCTACCTACCTACCCTTTCATCCTTCTATCTATCTATCTATCTATCTATCTATCTATCTATCTATCTATCTATCTATCTATCTATCATCTATCTATACCTACCTACCTTTCATCCATCCATCTATCTGTCTGTCTGTCTGTCTGTCTGTCTGTCTGTCTGTCTGTCTGTCTGTCTGTCTATCTATCTATCTATCTATCTATCTATCTATCTATCTATCTATCTATCCATCTATCTATCATCTATCTATCTATCATACCTACCTACCTACCTACCTACCCTTTCATCCATCCATCTATCTATCTATCTATCATCCATCCATTCATTACCTATGTAGCCCCATTGGGGTTTCTAAGCATTCCCACCCCTCACCAAGTCTCTCTGTCCGTTTTCGGAGCGTGGCCCTCCCTCCCTCCCTCCCTCCCTCCCCTCCCTCCCTCCCGTGGTTACCTATCCAGGACTCGACCACGTCTGCTTTCCAGTTGAACTGGAGGAAGGCGGAGTTCTCATCCAACTTGGCCTTCCTCTGAGAGGCTGCCCTCTCCAGATCGGACACTTTGCCCTTCAGGCTCTTCATCTTGGCTGTGATGTTCTCCTCGTGGTGATTGTTCTGAAGGAAAAGGGAAGAGAAACGTAGCCCATTACTTGTGGCCAATGGGTGGGCTTTCCAGACCTTGCGGAAATCCTTTACCCAGAAAGACAAGTGGTACCCAGTTTTTTTTTTTTTTTAAAAAAAGCTAGATTTGGCAGGGTATAGAAACGGATAGACTTGGCAAGGGGACAGGAAGTGGGGTGCATTGATTTCTTGGTGCTCTCTGAGTTTGGAGACGATGTTTCATTACCCAACTAGGTAACACCATCAGTGCTAGAAGGGAATGGGGTTTGTGAGGAGGAGGAGAAAGAGAACGGCTGTGGGGTGCTTGGTGTTCTCTGACCTGGGTTGTTTTCTTGGAGACATTTTATTACCCAACTAGGTAACATCATCTGTGCTAGAGGAGAATGGAGCTTGAGGAGGAGAAGGAGGATGGGGTCCTTGGTGCTCTCTGAACTTGGGTTATTTCCTTGCAGATGTTTCATTACCCAACTAGCTAACATGATCTGTGCTAGAAGGGAGTGGCGTTTGTGGAGTGGAAGAGGCAAAGTGGAGGAGGAGGAGGACTATGGGGTGCATAGTGATCTCTGAACTTTTCTTGGGAGACATTTCATTACCCAATGAGGTAACATCTTTAAGTGGGAAACTTCCAACCACAGAAGGTGCTTTTTTTCAAGAGGCAACTGGACTTCCTGTTTTGCTTTCATGAGACGTTTCAGAAGAAGCAACTTCCTGAGATGAGAAGCTAAACGTCTGAAAGGAAAACCAGAAAGTCCAGCTGCCTCTTGAAAAAAGCACCTTTGGGACAAGCATGACCTGGATGACGGAGAATCCCCATAGACTTCCAGCTACGAGGCTCCCCTCTGATCTTAGCAGAGGCGACTTCCGCAGCCTCGGTCCTTATCTTGGAGCGCAAGAGAACCAGGGATGGTGCGAGACCCTCAAAGTCCTGCCGAGTTCCTCTCACCTTCTGGATTAGGTCCTCGCCGTTTGCACAGACGTCGTTCACCCGGTCCTTGTGCACGGTGAAATCGGACTCAAACGCTTCGTGTTTCTTCAGCAGGCCCTGCAAAGACGGGAAGGAAGGAAGGAAGGAAGGAAGGAAGGAAGGAAGGAAGGGAGGGAGGGAGATGGGAATAGGAAGGAAGGAAGGAAGGAAGGAAGGAAGGAAGGAAGGAAGGAAGGAGGGATACAGGAAGGGAGAGAGGAAGGATACAGGAAGGAAGGGAGGGAGATGGGAATGGGAAAGAAGGAAGGATACAAGGAGGGAGGGAGAGAGGGAGGAAGGAAGGAAGGAAGGAAGGAAGGAAGGAAGGAAGGGAGATGGGAATGGGAAGGAAGGAAGGAAGGAGGGATACAGGAAGGGAGAGAGGAAGGATATAGGAAGGAAGGGAGCGAGATGGGAATGGGAAGGAAGGGAGGGAGGGAGGGAGGGAGGGAGGGAGGAAGGAAGGCAGGCAGGATACAGGAAGGAAGGGAGATGGGAATAGGAAGGGAGGGAGGGAGGGAGATGGGAATGGGAAGGAAGGAAGGAAGGAGGGAGGGATACAGGAAGGGAGAGAGGAAGGATACAGGAAGGAAGGAAGAGAGATGGGAATGGGAAGGAAGGAAGGATACAGGGAGGGAGGGAGAGGGAGGATATAGGAAGGAAGGAAGGGAGGGAGATGGGAATAGGAAGGGAGGGAGATGGGAATAGGAAGGGAGGGAGATGGGAATGGGAAGGAAGGAGGGAGGGATACAGGAAGGGAGAGAGGAAGGATACAGGAAGGAAGGAAGAGAGATGGGAATGGGAGGGAGGGAGGGAGGGAGGGAGGGAGGAAGGAAGGAAGGAAGGAAGGAAGGAAGGAAAGGAAGAAGGCAGTTACCAAGATTGGACCATCCAGGGTTGAGTAACGGTAGACAAGACCACCCACAAGGAATCTGGGTATTACAGCTTCTTCATAGCACACGGAGAAAAATAGCTACGTCGCACCAAACGCCTTCCAGACGGGCGAAGTGGAATTGTAAACTTTTCATATAATCCGTTCATAGTATTTATACAGGTAGTCCTTGACATACGACCACAATTGAGCCCAACATTTCTGTTGTCTCATTTGTTAAGTGAGTTTTGCCCCCATTTTACGACCTTTCTCACCAGAGTGTGAATCACTGCCGTTGTTCAGTTAGTGACATGGTTGTTAAGTGAATCCGGCTTTCCCATCAACGTTGCCGGTCAGAAGGCCGCAAAAGGGTTGTCACGTCATCCCAGGACGCTGCAGCCGTCATAAATATGAGTGACTTGCCAAGCGTCTGAATTTGGATCACGTGACCACGGGGAGGCTGCAACAGTCGTTAAGCATGAAAAAACGTTCATAAGTCGTTTTTCCCCCCAGTGCCGTTGTCATTTTGAATGGTCACTAAATGAACTGTTGTAAGTCGAGGACCACTTGTATTCACTCATGGCACTGAATGAAGTCCAGGTTGACTGTACAGAAGACTCCCCATTTTATTTAATTATTAATTATTAAATACTTAATTATTAAAATAATTATTTAATTATTAAATAATCAATGATTAAAATAATTATTTAATTATTAATTATTATTAATAACTTTATTTTAATTTGTTTTTATTTATTTTATTTTATTATTTTATTTTCATTCATTCATTCATTCATTCATTCATTCATTCATTCATTCATTCTCTCTCCCCTAAGAATAAAACTCTACATTCTGTGATGAAGCCGCCATTCGAAGAGGCATTTCCCCCCCCTGCTCAAATCAACAATCCCACCACCGCACGAGGCTCACCTGGGCTCACCCTGACAAACCCAGGCCTGTCTTGCTCACCTGTATGGCTGCGAGGGTGTCTCCATAGTCCTCGCTGGCCACCAGAGTCATCTTCTCGTTAATCCAGGCCTCCTCTTCTTCCACGTTGGCCACAAACTGTTGATATTCGAGAGACTCCTCCAGACGCTGACCCCTGGAAGAGGAGGAGGAGGAGGAGGCAGGGAAAATGAATATGCATTAATTTATATATATAAATTATATATAATTTATAAAAATATAAATTATATATATATAATTTATATTTCACTGATAAAGAAATAAAGGGAGACTAGTATAGATCTATTTCAAGGTACATATCATGTATTCATGTATAAATGCTGCATATCCGATGTTAAATAGAATTGTTACTATATTTTATGCATGTATATAAAGTCAATAAAGAATAAAGAAAACCCGAATAACCAAAGACCTACATACAAACACCCGCGAAAACCTCAGAAAACAAAAAGTCAATAAAATATCTATATATATAAAAAAAGATCTGTTTCAAGCTATTTAGCTCTCATCAGCTAGCCATACACCTACCTGGATTTGAACTTGGGCTGCCTGCATGTTAGGCAGTTGTATTAACCCCTGAACCACAAGTTCTCCTCCCTTCATCAACTTGAGTCAGGGGAGAGATTAAGTGTTTTTCTATCGAGACACCTGGTCTACCCCCAATATGTGGGAGGGAGCATACTGCATCCCTTTCGCCTTTCAGCTCCAATCCAGGAGCCCTTAAGCAGTCACATCAGCTATTCAGCTGATAAGAGCTAAATAGCTTGAAATAGATCTATACTAGTCTCCCTTTATTTCTTTATCAGCGAAATATAAATTTGGTATAAAATGGTTTGTCGTGAATGCGACTGCTTGAGGGCTCCTGGATTGGAGCTGAAAGGCAAAAGGGATGCAGTACGCTCCCTCCCACATGCTGGGGGTAGACCAGGTGCCTCGATAGAAAAACACTTATATATATGTATAATTAATTAATTATGCAGTCTGTCTATCAAAAGAGCCTTGGTAGCAACAGTGGACTAAAGCACTGTTATTAACATCAGCTGCCTGCCATTACTGCAAGTTCAAATCTCGCCAAGGCTCAAGGTCGACTCAGCCTTCCATCCTTTCTAAGGTAGGTAAACTGAGGACCCAGTTTGTGGGGGCAATAAGCTGACTTTGTATAAATATACAAAAGGATGAAGGCTATTGCTTAACGCATTGTAAGCCGCCCTGAGTCTCCGGAGAAGGGCGGCATATAAATCAAATTTTAAAAAAAAACAAAAAAAAAGGAAGGAGGGCCCTTTTTCGTTCCTGGGTGTTTTCAAACCCCAGGAGGGGCTCACTGGTCCTTCCTTTGCTGCTTCCTTTTTTTGTGTCGTTTATTGACCCTTGTGGGGTGGAGTCTGGGCAACTGAATAGAGCTGAGTGTGTTTACCGGCCGGATGCCCTTCCTGTCGCCAATGCGGAGTTTCGTTCCAGCAGCGGATAAATTCTCATCGACCCCAAAGAGAGAAATATCAGCTTCTACGTAGGATTGAACTCACAGCAGCGGTGGGTTTCACATATTGTGACCACTGGTTCGCCCCGCACACGCCTTCCGCACATGCGCCCAGCCTTAAAAACATGGCTAAATAGGACGGCATTATGCTGGGTCGCCCTAACCGGTCCCGAACCGGCTGAAAACCACCTCTGACTCACAGCCTCCTGATTGTGAGACGAGAGCTCCACCTCTAGGCCACCTTTGGTACTTCTTGCCTTTACAAATTCTGCCACGGGGCCATTCGGGTCTTAGTTCAAGAAGGCCACCAACATCTGGGCTCTTACCGTGCAGCTGCCAGCCGCTTCAGCTCTTGCCAGTGTTCCACAAACTGAGCCAATCGCTGCTGGATTTCCTCTTTTCCAATTGTGTTGTCATCGGACAACTTCTTGCCTGTGTCCAGCACGCCCTGTTCAAGAAACACAACCCGCACGTTGGGGCAGCACTAAACGGAGTAAATTCCGCCCCCTACCCCTGCTCCGCTGAATGGTGGCTTCCAGGTTTAAGTTTTCTTCGTTTAAACATGCTGTGATATATTTTTTTTAAAAAAATATAATATTTATTGAGTTTCCAAAAGTTAAAATACACAACACAAAAAAAAGCACAATACACAAAAACAAAAGACAACAACAAAAAAAAACTATAAAACACAAAGACAAACGCATCAAAATTACATTACTTTTCCTACAGCTTTTCCTACATCGGTATCTCTTATCCTATTTAACCTCTATATACAGATTCTACTTCTAAGTATCTTTATAAACCAACATTCTTATTTAAATTATTCTAACCTCTATTCAGAATTCAATCTCATGACAAAAATCTCCCTTAAGTTTTATGCTTTTATGCTCTTTTCTTCTTCCTCCCTCCCTCCTTTCCTTCTTCTCATTTCCACCTCCCACCCTTCCTTTTCCTCCCTTCCCCCTCCCTTCCTTCCTTCCCTCCCTCCTCTCCTCATCTCCCATCTCCTCCCTCCCTCCCCCTCTCTCATCTTCCTTCCTTCCTTTCATCCCTCCCTCCCCTTCCGCTCATTCCCACCTCCCTCCTTCCTTTCCTTCCTCTCATTCCCACCTCCCTCCCTTCCCTCATTCCCATCTCCTCCCTCCCTCCACTTCCTTCCTCCCCGCCTTTCCTTATTCCCACCTCCCTCCCTCCCCTCTCATCTTCCTTCCTTCCTTTCATCCCTCCCTCCCTTCCTCATTCCCATCTCCTCCCTCCCTCCACTTCCTTCCTTCCTCCCACCCTTCCTTATTCCACCTCCCTCCCTCCCTCCCGTCTCATCTTCCTTCCTCCCTCCCTCCCTCCTTCCCCCCTCCTTTCCTTCCTCTCATTCCCACCTCCCCCCCTTCCTTTTCTCTCTCCCTCCCTCCATTCCTCCCTCCCCCCCCCCTTCTTCCTCATCATTCCCATCTCCTCCCTCCCTTCCCTCTCTCATCTTCCTTCCTTCCTTTCATCCCTCCCTTCCCTTCCTCTCATTCCCACCTCCCTCCTTCCTTTCCTTCCTCACATTCCCTACCTCCCTCTCTCCCTTCCCCTCTCATCTTCCCTCCCTCCCTCCCTCCCTCCTCCTTTCCTTTCCTTCTTCTTAAATTTACATAGCTGCCCAACTCACCACACAGTGACTTTAGGTAACATTTTCATTATTCCCAGTGGAATTCTCACTCTCTCCTTGCCCTGCTTTTAAAGCGCCTCCCCCCCCCCACTTCCTTACCTGGATTGCAGGTTCGTGTGCAGCCAGTTCTGCTTCCAGGCGCTTGTGTTTCTTCCTCAGGTTCTGCACCCCAGTGAGGTCCCTCCCATAGTCATCCGAGCTAACCAGCAGCTTCTTCTCCCTTGAGTATCAAAAGGGGAAAAAAGAAAGAAGTCAACTGAAGGTCCTTCCAGAGGGGATTCAAGATTCCCCACGTGGCCAAGTCCGTACTTGATCCAAGATTCCTCGTCGTCCATATCTCGGAAGAACTGGTGCAAACGATGAGATTCATTCAGTTTTGCCCGCCGGCCGGCCGCCATGTTCTTAATCCGTTGGAAACGCCCGTTGATGGTGTCGCGCTTGTCCTTGACTTGGGAGGTGTCAAAAGCACTGCTGGTCATCAGGCTATCAGCTTGGCCGTTGAGGTCCTTCAGTCGATCCTGAACATGGGCAGAAAAGAGGACAACCCCAACCCCACAAGACATGAGGAGCTTTCCAGGAAGGAATGATAGACTAACTAGAGTTGGAAGGGAGGGACCTTGGATGTCTTCTACTCCAAACCCCTGCTCTATCAGGAGACCCTACACCATTCTGGACAAATGGTTGCCCAATCTCTTCTTGAAAGCCTCCAGTGGTGGAGCACCCACAACTTCTGGAGGCAAGTTGTTCCACTGGTTGATTGTCCTCACTGTTAGGAAATTCCTCCCGAGTTCTAGGTTGCTTGTCTCCTTGATTAGTTGCTTCTTGTCCTGCCTTCTGGTGATTTGGAGAATAGGTTGACACCCCCACCCCCTTTTCTTTGTGGCAGCCCCTCAGATATTGGAATCCTCTATCATGTCACCCCTTAGTCTTTCTTTTCACTAGAGTAGACATTATTCTTTAATTCTGCCCTCCCTTCCTGCAACTTTCATGGAAAATAAGGTTTAGTCCCTGGACTAGACCCACATTAGGCTGTGGTTAGAATTAGAATCAGAATAACAGAGTTGGAAGGGACCTTGGAGGTCTTCTAGTCCAACCCCCTACTTCGGGAGGAAATGCTACACCACTTCAGACAAATGATTATCCAATCTCTTCTTAAAAATTTCCAGTGTTGGAGCATTTGCAACTTCTGGAGGCAAGTTATTCCACTGATTAATTGTTCTCACTGTCAGGAAATTTCTCTCCTTGATTAGTTTCCATCCATTGCTTCTTGTCTTGCCCTCAGGTGTTTTGGAGAATAGCTTGACTCCCTCTTCTTTGTGGCAGCCCCTGAGATATCGGAAGACTGCTATCATGTCTCCCCTGGTCCTTCTTTTCATTAAACTAGACATACCCAATTCCTGCAACTGTTCATATATTTTAGCCTACAGTCCCCTAATCATCTCTGTTGCTCTTCTCTGCACTCTTTCTAGAGTCTCCACATCTTTTTTACATCGTGGCGACCAAAACTGGATACAGTTAATCGATGGTTAATCAAGCAGGCATCATTTTAGATCAAGAACATGTCATTCCCTCTGGGGATTCCTACCTCATGGGCAGAGATGTCCGCTTCCAGCAACTGGTGCTTTTTCAGGAGGTTGTTTATGGACGCCAGGTCTTTCCCATAATCTTCCGATGCGAGGAGAGCTTCCACCTGCAAAGAAGCCCGACATGCTAACTGAAGGAGGGTCTCCCTATTTCTCCAGGACAACGATGGGTTTCCAATATTCAAACATGCCCAAGGCCTCGACTCCCCCCAAAAGAGGACGAGGGGGGCGGGGGAAGGGAGCTACCTCGGAAAGCCAGAAATCGAAATCCTTGATTCCCGTGTTGAAATTCTGCTGCCTGTTGGCTTCCTTCAGCTTCTGGCTTTTCTCGGCCGATTTCTGCACCAGGAACTCCCACTGGTCAGCCAAGGCCGCCAAACGAGCCTGCCGATGGGATGGAAGGAAAGGAAAGAAATCCAGGCTCAGGGTGGGACAAGGAGGCTTCTCCCTTCAGGCTCCCTGGAATCTGTTCCAGGCAATGGAGCTTGGCAGCTTTATCCACAGGGAGGAAAAGGGAACTTATCAGCTGGACGCTGACTTTCCTGCCAATGCCAGTTCTCTGTTGGGGTTCCCATTCTAAAGAGAGCTATTTTCTGACCATTCAAATCATCCTCTACCTCTGGGTGGTCTAGCATAGAAGCACCAAGAGGTTGAAAGAGGCGGTTGGGTCAACTGTCCCCTGTAAATCGGATTTATATTTTTTTTAAAAAAGTGAAGAAATGGGGACACCTTCTCTGCAGCCCAACACGTAGTAGCTCTCCAGAAGGATGGAGGATAGGGCTCTGAGAAGTTAAAATTAGAATAAAATAGAATAACAGAGTTGGACAGGACCTTGGAGGTCTTCTAGTCCAACCCCCTGCTTAGGCAACCCTAAGGCATTTCTTCTTTGTGGCGGCCCCTGAGATATTGGAAGACTGCTATCATGTCTCCCCTAATCCTTTTCAATAAACTAGACATACCCAGTTCCTGCAACCATTCTTCATATGCTTTAGCCTCCAGCCCCCTAATCATCTTGGTTGCTCTTCTCTGCACTCTTTCTAGAGTCTCCACATCTTTTTGACATCGTGGCGACCAAAACTGGATGCAGGATTCCAAGTGTGGCCTTACCAAGGCCTTATAAAGTGGTATCAACACTTCCCGTGATCTTGATTCTATCCCTCTGTTAATGCAGCCTAGAACTGTGTTGGCTTTTTGGGCAGCTGGAACACACGGCTGGCTCATATTTAAATGGTTGTCCATTAGGACTCCAAGATCCCTCTCACAGTTACTACTATTGAGCAAGGTACCACATATACGGTACCTGTGCATTTTTTTTCTCTTGCCTAAATGTACAACCTTCCTTTTTTTCCACCCTTGAATTTCATTTTGTTAGATAGCGCCCAATGTTCAAGTTCCACCAGGCATAAAATTAAGTTCCACCGGGCATAAAATCAGGGAAACTTCATGTCTTAAGTAGAAAAACCACCTTTTATTGAAAGAGGCTCTCCTGACATCATTCTTATCGCCCCGTTAAATAGGAATTATTATTTGCATGCAATTTTACGCCAGGTGGACAAGAGTGGAGGGCAACGCCTACCTTCACGGCCTCTTCACTGCCGGCACAGGCACCGCGGTCGATGAGGGAATTCCCGACATCAATGACGCCACGGATTCGGTCCGCGTTGGCGTGCAGCTCGGCTTCGAAGGCCTGGTGCTTCTGATGCTTACTCTGAAGGTGGCAGAACAGCAAACGGTTAAAACAACTGGAGAAAGGCTCCTGAAGAGTTTTTAGAGATGGGGAGGACCAAGATGGTGATTTAAGCCAATTCCAAGAGCTGCCACTCCGAACTTAAATCCCCGTTTATCTCCCTGAAGGAGGAAGTGTCACAGGGTTTCTGCCTGCTCAGGAACAGGGGGGATTCATTCGCAAGGGGCTGCTGAACTTCTTGGAGTTGCGAGGGGCTGAGGCACATGGGCACTGGAGCTCATGATATTCCCAAGGATGAAAGGAATTATAGTGCCACCCATCAGGAGGGTTCTGGCGTGCCAAAGCTTCTTCCGTTTCATGCGTGAATTAAGAAAAAGGGGGTTTGGGCCATGAAAACTGAGGACAGCTGAGGTTGCCCGTGGCAAAATGGGTCGTGTCGTAAGCACAACAGAGCATAAAATCAAAATTGCAAAAGGCGACAGGGCTATTTTATGCTGCCAAACCACCTTTGTTGAAAAGCTGCTGGCCCACAGGCTCCCCTCCACACCCAGGGCCTGGTGGCTCAGCAGACTGATAGCATTGTGATTAACACCAGCCGTCTGCAATTACTGTAAGTTCGAATCTCGCCAGGCTCAAGGTCGACTCAGCCTTCCATCCTTTCTAAGGTAGGTAAATTGAGGACCCAGTTTGTGGGGGGGCAATAAGCTGACTTTGTATAAAATATACAAAAGGATGAAGGCTATTGCTTAACGCCTTGTAAGCCGCCCTGAGTCTCCGGAGAAGGGCGGCATATAAATCAAATTTAAAATTAAAAAAATTAAAAATTAAATCTGCTGCTTAATCATCAAACGATAAAAGCCCTCCTCCCTCTTCCCGCCCCAGTTTTTCTGGGCACTGCACAGTTACAAAGTTCCCCCTAACCCTTTCCGGACCCCGGCCATACAGAAGAACAAAAAGAGAAAGGGGAAGGAAGGAAAAAGACAGACAGAGAGAGAGAGAGAAAAAGAATGCACACACAGAGAGAATCATGAGTCGGGCTCACACATCACAGTCCAGAAAGTTGGGAGGTTTGAGGTTCACACAAAAAACCCCCCCAAAAGGCTACTGCTTTTCCCCCGCCCCTAATTTGGTCTCTTATGGGGACAGAGCTGTGCTGTTTCGTTCACTTGAAGTTTAGAGCAGGGGTCCCCAATTCAGTAGTTCATTCAGAAGCGGGCCGCGTGAGAAATGGGCCAGTGCGCGCATGGAGCTCCACTGGTCCAAGAGGTGCCCCAAAGGCTTCTCTTCTCTTGTGCGTGAGTGGAGCTGCCTACACGTGCAGGCTGGCCTCCCGTTCGCGCAACCCGGTTCCCCTCTCATCCCCCCCCCCGTCTCCAGCTGAGCTGCCGAGCCGCCTGGCTCCCCATGCTCCAAAAAGCAAAGCGGTGAAGAGGCCAAGTGTGACGAGCGCGTCCTGCTCAGCTTGGCTGACTCACCGAGGCTGCCTGCGCTGGACATCCAATCCGCTTTTGGGGCGCCGGGCAGCCTCGGTGAGCCTGAAGGAGCAGCACAAGACCATGCCCCCCCCCTTCTCCACGCCAAAAGCTTTTGCGAAGGGATGAAAGTGAGGAGCGATCTCGTGTTGTTTCTTCCGTTCCTTTGCAAAAGCTTCTGGGGAGTATTGTGGCTGGCCAGCGGATCTGGCAACTGATTCGAACAGTGAGGAGATTGGGGAGGAACATGGGCAGTCCTGGAGCCTGGGGAATGTTCTGACGAGGGCTCTGCGTCGGAGGCAGAGAGGGGGCCAGGGCCGTATGACAGGCATCAGCTGCCTTCAGAGTCGGAGATCAGTGGGGCAGAAGAACAGCTGAAGCCTGTTCCCAGTATGCACATGCACAGAGCTGCCAGACGAAGGGAACAACTAAAGAATAAGGGTTGACTTGGGAGTAAGGCCACAGGTGGACGACGAAGGGCCCCTCCCATAGGTAATAAAAGAGGAGCGAAAGGGGAGCGGTGTTTGCAGGAGACAATTGGTAGAGCCTTGGTAGTACAGTGGTCTAAGGCACCCTGTTATTAAGCTGGTTATTAAGACCAGCTGCCTGCAATTACTGCAGGTTCGAATCTCGCCAAGGCTCAAAGTTGACTCAGCCTTCCATCCTTTCTAAGGTAGGTAAATTGAGGACCCAGTTTGTGGGGGGGCAATAAGCTGACTTTGTATAAATATACAAAAGGATGAAGGCTATTGCTTAGCGCATTGTAAGCTGCCCTGAGTCTCCGGAGAAGGGTGGCATATAAATCAAATTAAAAAAAAAAAAATTGCACATCAAAGAATGCTCTCCTCTCTTGTGTGAGTGGAGCTCAGTGGACACCAGCCCATCGCTCCTACGTCCTCGTTCCAATTCAGACTGCAGTTCCCAATGGTTGGGTACCGCTGGTTTAGAGTATTGTGTGAACCCAGCTATTAGGTCAAAGGAAGAGTTGAGTGCAGGCATCTGGCCAGATGTTAGCTCCAAGACCAGGAGGGACGTGGTTTTTTTTTTTAGACCTCGCTGTTGATTGTCAAGGAAGGGACGCCATTTCCCTGTTGACCCCTCTCCCTCTCCCCAGTGTGGCTATTGGGTTGCTTTCTCTCAACCATAATGCACCAGTTCTGGCCATGTTTGCAAAGGGAAGGGAGATCCCATCCGGGGACACAACAGCAATGGACTGGGTTCAACTTCCCCAGCCTTCTGCCCTTCGGAAGGCTGATGGCTATGCCAGTTGGGGAGCATAGCTGGAGTTCAATCCGACATTTCTAGGGTGGGGGGAAGAGGACAGCCCAAACCAGGGGTCGGCAACCTGCGGCTCTGGAGCCGCATGTGGCTCTTTTATCCCTCTGCTGCGGCTCCCTGTCGCTGGTCGGCTCCACAATTGATAGGGCTTTCAGTTAGGACAGGGAGAGGAAAAAGGATGCTGTGCTAGGAGGAGACTCTATGGTGGGGGAACCGGACTTCCGGTCGGATGCAGAATTGAATGGGGGCTTCTGGTTAGGACCTTTGTGACTCTTTTAAGTGTTTAAGGTTGCCGACCCCTGGCCCAGACAGAAGACTTTGAAAGACAGAGACCAGAGAAGATTCAACTTCCTTCCTCTTGGGTGGAATAAATATATACATATATATATCCCCATATATATATATATAAGGGGATGCAGGCAGGTCACCAACAAACTCAAGCAGTTCATGCTGCGAAGTGAACAGGTTAATGGGGAAGAGGCACTTAACAAGAACCAAAAAGACAAGACAAGTCCATGTCAAGGCGGGGAAACGACAACGACGACGACAAAAAAAATAAAAATAAATCAAAAGCAATCACCGAGTGAGTGGTTAAAAAAAAAAACACGACGACAGCAACAACAACAACAACGGAAGAACGAACGAGGAGATGAGTGGATGAAACGTTAAGACTTCAACACAAATGAAGCCAAATCAAGCCGGGCACTTTTGAACTTACCAGGAGTTTGGAAAGCTATAAAAAAACAGACGGGGGGAAGAAAGAGAAGAACAGATCAGTGCCATCTCTGCTGATCCAGGAAGGGCAGTTTTAAATTTCGACTCGCTATTTTTTTTTTGTTTTAATTTTTTAAAAAGAAGATTTAGAGTGTAGACCTGCCTGTAAGCAGCTATGAGGATTGGCAAAAGGCAAATGTCGAGGGCAGTGCTGGTGAACCTTTTCGGCACCCAGTGCCGAAATGGAACTTGCGCGCGCACGTGCTGGAAATCGGAAGAGCAGCCACCTGGTGCTCATGCGCGCCACCAGGAAGGTGATCTTCCGGTTTTTGGCGCGCATTCACGTGTGAATACCAGCTGGCCAGTGCGCAGGCGTGCATGGGAAAGCAGAAGATCATTTTCTTAGCGTGTGCATGTGCACCGGCCAGGTGCTCTTCCGGTTTCCAACGCTCCCACGCATGTGAAAACCAGCTGACCGGCACACTGGAACCTGAAAGAGCAACGGGTGATGGCTTGCGTGCCCGGAGAGATGGCTCTGCGTGCCACTTCCGGCATGCGTCCCGTATGTTCGCCATCACGGGTCTAGGGAGATTCTCAGTCCTCCAGGTCATGGTTGCCCCAAAGGTGCTTTTTTTCAAGAGGCAACTGGACTTTCTGGGGTTTTTTTTTTTGGAAGTGGTTTCACTTCTCATCCAAGAAGCTTCTTCAGCTCTGGAACGCCTTCGAAGAAAAACCAGGAAGTCCAATAGCCTCTTGGGGGAAGTGGGGGAGAAAAAAAAAAAAAAGCATCAAATGGAAAGTATTATTTTGTAGGAGAGGCGAAGGGCCTGGAAAACTGGATTATCTATTGCCGGGACTCTTGAGTTGGTCCGAGGGAAACCATGCTGAGTAGCATTTTGGGTTTCGGCATTTGGGAAAAGTGGTTTGGAAAGAAAGGGTCCCACAATCCCCTCCACCCCCCTTTCCAGAAAACACAAGGGAAATTATCGGCTGTCAGGAAGGCTGATTCCTGGATGAGAAGGGCAGGAGGGAGGGGTTGAAGCTGATGGGGAATTCTGGGAGATGTAGTCCCAACAGGGCCGACAAGGATGAGCCATCAGGTAATGTTTAATAGAATCCAATTCAGTATTTCCAACGCTGAATATTTTAGGAGTTAAAATGTGAGGAAAGTTTTTGCTATTCTTAAAATTTTTCACGTTAATTCAATATACAGGGAGTCCTCGATTTACAACTATTTGTTCGAAGTTACAACGGTGCTGAAAAAGAGACTTACGGCCTGTCCTAAGGACGACCTGTTCACACAGGTAGTCCTCGGCTTACGACCGCAAATTGAGCTCAAAACGTCTGCCGTTAAGGCGAGACATTTGTCCGGTGAGTTTTGCCCCCATGTTACGACCTTTCTCACCACTGTTGTTAAGTGAATCACCGCAGGTGTTAAATTAGTGACACAGTTGTTAAGGGAGACGGGCTGATTGCAAAAGGGGATTGCGTGAACCTGGGATGCTGCCGACCGTCATAAATGTGAGTCAGTGGCCAAGCGTCCGAATTTTCAGCATGAGACCATCCAATAGGGATGCTGCAACGGTCGTAGCTGTGAAAAACGGTCGTAAAATCACTTCTTCCAGTGCTGCTGTAACTTCGAACGGTCACTAAATGGACTACTGTAAGTCAAGGACTATACTGTACCGCTCCTGTTTACCCCATAAGTCAGGTTTGAGGATCTTTCCTGGCCGGCCACAACCCACCTGTCTTCCTTCTTTGGGGTCCCAATCAGGGCTCACCTGAATATTGGTGGGATCCTTATAGGATTCATCGCTGGCTGTCTGGAGCTTCTCACTGATCCAGGCCTCTATTTCGTCCACGTCTCGGCTGAACTGCTGCAGGGTTTGGGATTCTCCGAGCTTAGACCTCTTTTCGATCATCTGAGCTTTCAGCCGACGCCACCTACAAAACCGAGGCACCGTCTTTAAAGATAAATCAGCTAAACGTTGGAAATGCCACCAAATACCTGGATCATACTATAGAACAGAACAGAATAGAATAGAATAAGGAATAGAATTAGAATTAGAATACAATACAATAGAATTAGAATAATAATTGTAGAAAATTTTGTAGAAACAATACAATATAGTACAATACAACAGAACAGAACAGAACAGAACAGAACAGAATAGAATGGAGAATGGAATAGAAGAGAATAGCATAGCATAGCATAGAATGCAGAATGGAATAGGATAGGATAGGATAGGATAGGATAGGATAGGATAGGATAGGATAGGATAGGATAGGATAGGATAGAATAGAATAGAATAGAATAATAGAATAGAATAGAATAGAATAGAATAGAATAGAATAGAATAGAATTCTTTATTGGCCAAGTGTGATTGGACACACAAGGAATTTGTCTTGGTGTATACGCTCTTGGTGTACATAAAAGAAAAGATACATTCGTCAAGAATCAACACTTAATGATAGTCATAGGGAAACAGTCAATATAAATCTTAAGGATACCAGCAACAAGGTTACAGTCATACAGTCGTAAGTGGGAGGAGATGGGTGATAGGAACGATGAGAAGATTAATAGTAATGCAGATTTAGAAAATAGTTTGACAGTGTTGAGGGAATTATTTGTTTAGCAGAGTGATAGCGTTTGGGGAAAAAACTGTCCTTGTGTCTAGTTGTTTTGGTGTGCAGTGCTCTATAGCGTCGTTTTGAGGACAGGAGTTAAAACAGTTTATGTCCAGATGCAAGGGGTCTGTAAATATCATATGTGGAGAAGCAAAGAAGTATTGGACAAAAATTAAGACATGGTTGGAAGAGATGATATAACAACGTATTGAATTGAAACCAGAAATATTTCTGCTAGAAATTCTATCTGAAATTTATGGTAAAGAGAATGTATGTTTAATTATTTGTGTATTAACTGCAGCTAGAATTGTATTTGCACAACATTGGAAAAGTGGAGAGATTCCCACTGATGAGAAGGTGATAAGGAAAATACTAAGAATGTGCAGAAATGAACAGATTAACATTAGCAATTAAGGAGAAAGAGCAAACTAAATATTATATGATATGGGGAGTATTTTATCAATGGTTGGAGAATAAAAAAGGAGTTTGGAAATGAAGGAGATCAAAGAAATAAGTAGAAAATAAATTAAGATAAAGTAAGATGAAAATTGTTAAGTGTATTTATGATGTGAATAATGATGTTTAATGTTATTTATTTTATTTATTAAATTTATATACCGCCCTATTCCTGAGGGACTCAGGGCGGTGAAACAGCGAACGATAAAAATACATGTCATACAAACGTTAATAAAAAACCAATTAAAATATACTAAACACTCTGGTCCTAGATAATTCAAGACATCCCAGTTTAAAATAAAATCAAAAGCAATATAAAGGGAAAGTTAGGCCAGGCCGGCCTGCTGAAACAGGAATGTTTATACGTTATACGTATAAATACGAATGTTAATACGGCATCGCTACTAGAAGATGTTAAGAAGAAACTGGAGACTTTTACAATGTTTAATTGTAATATTAAGTTTAGAGAAATAATGTTAACGGGTTAATTCATTAATTAATGTGAAAGATGTAGCAAACGAGGATGTCGCACAGAGATGATGTTTGTACCCAAACAACGCACTGCATAAGGGAAGATGGAATGTTTATCTTCGTAATTGAAAACTAAAAAAAACTTTTTACCACCAACCAACCCCCCCACCCCCGAAGCACTGTCGTTTACATCAGGGACGACTTGCAACAAGCCAAAAGACTAGGGGAACGACCCAGGCCCAGGAGCCACTCACCTGTCCAGCACCTCGTGGCGTCTGGTGGCAATGACCCCTTTCGAATAATGATCGGCGGCAATCAACTGGTCAGCAAAGGCCTGGAGGGCGGCGATTTTTTCCTCCTAAATACAATTAAAAGGACAAAGTTGGAAGAATGTCGGCACCGGGACAGGTTGCCTTCGCAGCAAAGCCAGAGCAAAGTTTGCGCGGTGGGGGAAAAAAAAAAAAGAAAAAAGATTGCACACAAATTCCTGGTGTGTCCAATCACACTTGGCCAATGGAAGAATTTTATTCTATTCTATTCTGAAAAGGAATCGCTGTCGTTCTCACCCTGCCTGGGCCAAAAACTACAGCGGCCCACCGTTCGAGGAGTGACAAATAGGTTCTAATTCGTTAGCAGAGATGGCTGAATGGTCCGCTTTGATTAAAGAAAAGAAAGCAATTAATGTTGTTTCCACTTGGAAACCGCTTCTGGGCTTTCTGCTTGAGGTGGGTGGGGGTGGGAGATGGTTTTGGGTTTCGCTGATTAGATAAACTGGTTGTTATAGAAGAAAAGGCTAATATGTATATATTACTAGTTGATAACCCGGCATTGCCCAAGTATTTCTTTATCCCAATCCTGAAATTGCTTGAGGCGCTCCTGAGTTATGCTGGAACATACACATACTCACACACACCGAGGGGCCATTGAGAGGGACCTTTCTTCCCCCTACTCCCATGCCCATCATCCCTGCCCTCTCCCTTCCTCCTCCCATGCGCCCCTCTTTCCCGCCCTGTGTACGATCCTGGCACTTTGCCCCAAATCCACCAGGGGGCGCCTTCTGCCAAGAGAAGGGAACATCAGGCGCTTCCGTCTGACTTTCCAGCGGAAGCTGCGAAGGAACTGACATCACAAACAACTGCCACTCTAGGACGTTGCACCCACTCTCCTTAACGGCCCAGGTGTTCCAGAGTGATGATGGAACACACATACACAGACACCCTCCCCCAGGGGTGTCTTTACCCCTCCCCCACCCCCACCCCCCAATATTTGTTTCCAGAGGATAAGTCATCTGTGTACCAAGTTTGGTTAAAATTGCTCTGAGGCGTACCAGAGTTATGCTGGAATATACATACATAGAGCAAAACAGTATTGAAAACCCTGCTTGTAATTATTTCTGTGTTTGTTATGGCTTCAAAAAGCAATCCCACCTGGACATTGATGGCCTTGTCGAAGTCTTCGTGCTTCTTGATCAGGGCCTCCACACTGTCCAGGGAGTCCCCCTTATCTTCGGTATTCAAAAAGGCTTCCCGTGCGGCCATCCAGTTCTCCGCTTGCTCACAGTCCCTGTGGAAAAGCTAAAGCGAAGGGAAAAACAAATATGTCAGTAAAACCAGAGTACCCACTTTAGCCCCAGGTGGCGTGTCAATCCCATGTTGTGGCCAATCTTCTCCTCTCATGCCAGAAACAAGTGTAAGTTAAATATCGATGGAGATTCTCAATCGTCCAGGTCATGGTGGCCCCCAACGGTGTTTTTGAAAAGGCAGGTGGGCTTTGTTTAGTCTTGGAAAACGTTTCGCTTCTCATTCAAGAAGCTTCAGAACTGATAGGCTCCCTAAACTATGTCTACTGGAGCAGATAAAATTGCAATCACACACCCTCTGGATTACTAAATTGACAAATTATATAAAGAGTTATGGCAGTGTTGGCGAACCTTTTCGGCACTGAGTGCCGAAACAGGAGTGCACGCATGTGTGCCAGAACCCGGAACAGCAGCCCTCCAGTTTCTGGTGCACACACACACGAAGACCAGCTGGCTGGCATGCATGCGTGTGCCGGAAACCAGAAGATCATCTTCCCGGTGCGCGCATGCGCTCCAGATGGCTGCTCTTCCGGTTTCGGTGCTCCTGCACGCATGAAAACAAGCTGGCCGCACGCCAAAACCCGGAAGAGCAACGGGAGATGGTTCATGTGGCCAGAGAGATGGCTCTGTGTGCCACTTCTGCCACGCATGCCATAGGTTCGCCATCACGGAGCTATGGTCTCCCTGTCCCGTGTAACAGGAGAACAAAAAAAAAAGAATTGCTCAAATTTATTTATTTAGCGTACGGCAAATACATGGACTTACAGTAGTTCAAATCTGAATGTCCAGTCCACCCAGCCATTCAAGGACAGGATGGTCTGTGTTGAGAAAAAATCAGACATTGGGCCGGTATAAACTCCTTTGTTGTCCTTTCGGCCTGACAGAGCCCGTTTTGTTGATCTGTTGCCATGAATTTAGAGAGCCAGGAGTTCTACAAAGATGTCTGACGGCCAACTGCCAAATTCTTCAATGTAGTCTGGCTGCAAATTTTTGCTTGTCGTTTGGTTCACACTTCTGTGCTATCCAGGGTGCACCACGAGGAGGCAAACTAGAGTTGCCCAAAGAATCATGGCTATAGAAGCTCAAAACGACATAGCCACACTTAGTAAGGCTGGTAGCCTGAAATGGCTGAGCAAATATAAACGCATCTTCCAAATGGACAACTATTTAAAGTCACAACAGCCAAAACATCTCAGGGAGACATTTGTGCGAGCAAGATTCGAACGGAGGCCCATATTAAAACAACATATACCTCACGTGTGGCCAGAATCTGAAAATGACGTTTAATACAGCACAATTTCTGACTAAAATGGTCCAACTGAGATAGGCATAGGTGGGTGGGCCTGATTGGGACAGATTGCAGGGGAAGATACAAAAATATAATTTTACGTCTTTTTAATTCTATTTTACATATTTTTGTATGAAATGATTGTATTTTAAACCTATCACTATTGTATTTTACCCTACTCATTTTAAAGATGAGAGCCTTGGTAGTACAGTGGTCTAAGGCACCCTGTTATTAAGCTGGTTATTAAGACCAGCTGCCTGCAATTACTGCAGGTTCGAATCTCGACAAGGCTCAAGGTTGACTCAGCCTTCCATCCTTTCTAAGGTAGGTCAATTGAGGACCCAGTTTGTGGGGGCAATAAGCTGACTTTGTATAAATATACAAAAAGGATGAAGGCTATTGCTGAGCACATTGTAAGCTGCCCTGAGTCTCCGGAGAAGGGCAGCATATAAATCAAATTAAAAAAAAAAAATTGTTTGTTTAGAATTTTATTGGTTGTGTGTCTGTATGTGTCTCTGTGTGTGTATGTGTGTACATGAGAAACTTTGTGGATAAGAAGTGAAACAAGAATTTTCTTTAAAAAATTTTTGAAAAGCACCTCTGGGACATGGCGGAGGCTACATTCCAGGAACTAACTTCTGCCACCAAAGGGGAAAGGGTTGGATTTTCCACTACATGGGCGTACCTGCAATTCCAGGCACTGGTCCAACATCATTCGGCGTTGGACCCAGGCTTTTTCCAAGTCCGCCCGTTCTTGGTCGAGGATGTCCAGCTTCTCCTTGATCTCAGGGCTGGCGTAATGGCCACGGGCCAGGAGCTGCTGTCCAAACTGCTCGAACGCCTGGAAGGTGCCAGCTCTGGCGTCAATTTCGGTGCGGTGTTCCTGAAAAGGGAGGGAGATGCAAGGGCTCAAATTGGGAAGATCTTCACAGGAAGGTCAGTGGTGGGCAGGCAGGTGGTTGAACTTGAGGGGGCAAATTCCTGGCTTTCTAGATTGCTCTAAGCGTTGTTACAAGCCTGGGTTGGATGTCACTCACCCAGCTTCAAATAGCTCCGTTTCACTCTACTGCACATCTCTTAATCCGGTTGTCCCAGCTTCGTGGCAGCCACCATGGCTGCCGCCCCCCCGCTGCCTACGCACAGAGGGTTCCCTCTGATCTCCGAGGAACTTGCCTGTTCCTCTTGGTCGTCCGAGGTACTCCTCTTTCTTCCCCATCCCTGCAGCACGGTTCCGATCCGAAAACCCATCGGCAGCGGTTCGGCAGCCGGGGTTTTCGCGGCGCTCATCAGAGCCTGCTATTTCCCCGACTGTCTTGCCGCGATGCCAAACTGGAAGTCATACATTTTTTTGATCCTAATTCCCAAAGACGTCTTAAGAATGCCCAAATTCTTGACCAAATTTGTCCCCACTAACAATGGGCAGTTTCAGGCCAATCTCCTAGGACTGGGGAGGGATCTGGTTGCTCCCTTGGTGGAAGAATAACAAGTAAAGAAAAACAGGAGACTAATCTGAAAGTCATCGAAAAAGCAGCAAGAAACGGGCCTCAGCTATCCTAGCACAGGTTTAAAAGTGGGTCTGGGGTCTTCACCCTGCAGGGAATCTTCACGTACTTGGTGTCTCTCCAGTAAGGCTTCTGCTCCCGTCACGTCCTTGGCCAGCTCATCGGAGGACACGAGGCCTCGGATCCCATTGATCCAAGACATGAGGTCCCTGGGCAAACAGAAGGTAGAGAGCAACCCGGTTACACAGGCAGGTCTCTGGGGACGTGATCCTGAGCCTTTGCCCCCAAACCTAAGCCCACCTGAAGTCGCTGAGGAAGCGCTGCAGGTCATGGGATTCGCCCAGCTTCTCTTTGCGCTGGTTGGCCCGTTTCCCGAGACTGTTCCAAGCCTGGTTCAGTTCTGTGCATTTTTCCTGGAGATCTTCCGATGATTCGGGGTGGGACTGGATCAGCCGCTCTGCCGTTTCTCCCAGAGAATTGACCTGAAGCACACAAACACACACAGAGAGAGAGAGAGAGAGAAAGGAGGAGAAGATCAGGAAGGATGGAATATTTTTGGCCCTAAAAAAAGAGAGAGGTTTTTCTACTTTGGGGGTTTGGCTAGTCTAAAGAAAAGAAGAATTAGGGGAGACATGATAGCAGTATTCCGGTATTTGAGGGGCTGCCACAAAGAAGACGGGGTCAACTTTAAGAGCCTCGGTGGTGCAGCAGAGTAAGTGCTGTTAAGTGCTAGCACTTAGCTGCCAGCTGCCTGCAATTAGTGCGAGTTCAAATCTCACCAGGCTCAAGGTTGACTCAGCCTTCCATCCTTTCGAGGTAGGTAAATTGAGGACCCAGATTGTGGGGGCAATAAACCAGCTTTGTATAGAACAATGCCGCTGGGGGGGGGGGGGCGAAAGCCCTAATAAGCAGGTATATATATAAAGGTATGCAGGCTATTGCTATAATGCATTGTAAGCCGCCCTGAGTCTCCGGAGAAGGGCGGCATATAAATTGGACTAATAAACTATGCCACCCAGAGTCCCTTGGGAGTGGGACGGCATAGAAATATGACATACATACATACATACATAAATACATAAATACATAAATAAATAAATAAATAAATAAATAAATAAATAAATAAATAAATAAATAAATTTATTCTCCAAAGCACCAGAGAAGCAGGACAAGAAACAACAGATGGAAACCAATCAAGGAGAGAAGCAACCTGGAATTAAGAAGAAACTTCCTAACAGTGAGGATAATTAACCAGTGGAACAGCTTGCCACCAGAAGTTGTGGGTACTCCAACAATGGAGGTTTTTAAGAAGAAACTAGACAGCCACTTATCTGAAATAGTATACGTTCTCCTGCTTGAGCAGGGGGCTGGACTAGAAGACCTCCAAGGTCCCTTCCAGCTCTAATTCTATTATTTGTATTGTATTTCTTATTCTATTCTATTCTATTCTATTCTATTCTATTCCACTCCACTCCACTCCATTCCTATTTCTTATTCTATCCTAATTCCTGTTTTCTATTTCATTCCATTCCATTTTCTATTCCACTCTCCTCTCTCACCTTGTCCCCAAGGGCTGCCAGGTCTCTCTCGAAGCCCTCATGCTTGCGTTGAAGGGCCTGCACGCTCGCCAGGTCATGCCCGTAATTGTCGGTGTTGAGCGCCTGATTCTTTTCTTCAATCCATTCCTTGGTCTCGTCAGCATCTCTGGAAGGCCACAATAATAGGAGTAAGAGCTCCGACGTTGTCCAGCGCTTTTGGCAGGTGAATGGACAGTCAACCTGCACGCACGAACATCGAAGGCAAAAATCCTTTCATCTAATCAGCCCAAAACTGAGCCTGGATAGCTCTGCAGACAAGGCACTGTAATTTAACACCAACTGTCTGCAATTAAAGTAAGTTCGAATCTCGCCAGGCTCAAGGTTGACTCAGCCTTCCATCCTTTCTAAGGTAGGTAAATTGAGGACCCAGTTTGTGGGGGCAATAAGATGACTTTGTATAAAATATACAAAAGGATGAAGGCTATTGCTTAACGCACTGTAAGCTGCCCTGAGTCTCCGGAGAAGGGCGGCATATAAATCAAATTAAAAAAACAAAAAACTCAACAGGAACAATCGTGGTCTTTCAATTCTGACTGGGCAGCACCCTAACAGATCCAGTTATGAGGGGGATGCAGGATAACAGCTGTTGTGGCCCGCCAGCTGCCAGTGGAGCTGGCGGCAGACTCGGACGATGAGGAGGTTGGGGAGGAACTTGGGCCAGTTCTGGAGTCTGGGGAAGGCTCTGATGGATGCTCTGCATCCGAAGCAGAGATAGAGCCAGGGTCGTTCAGCCTTTCCCAGCCACCGGAGAGACAGCTGCCTTTGGAGTCAGAGATGAGTGAGGAGGAGGAGGAGGAACAGCTGGGGCCTGTTCCAGATGCACGTATGCGCAGAGTAGATAGGAGAGGTGAACAACAGAGGACAAGGAGTCGACTCGGAAAGCAAAGCACACATTGAACGGCCCCTCCTTGGCTGGGGAATAAATAGAAGGAAAGGGGAGTGGGTTGTCGTAGGAGACAACCGTTCGTATTTCTGAAGATTTTGCTCATTGTGTTTCGTGCCACAAAGTGTGTTTGCCAGAATTTCATTTGCAGCCTTTCGTCACGGCCTTGCAATTATCGCAAGGAACTGATACGGTCTGCTGCGGCAGTGATCTCCTTGCAGGACTCTTGCCTGGACTTTCGGTGGGTGAATGCAATTAATTCATCAGAGGTAAATAAAGAGATTTTTTTTTTTTACTGGCGAGGAGTCCATTTCTTGTTTTTTGCTAAGGCGGGGTCAGAACAACAGCAGCAGCTCTCTCTCCTCACCTGTGGAACCGCTGGACCTCATGGGCGCTTCCCAACAGCTGGCTTCTCTCTTCAGCCAGCTGTTGTAGAGATCGCCAGCGTTCGTTCAGCTCCTGGAGAACACCAAGAAAATAAAGAAGAGGGTATTATCAGCCCAAGACATGGCAGGCGTGTCCTTTAAAAGAATGAAGGCTTAATTAATTGTCTTCTTAGTAGGAGAGAAGGTTAGATAGGGAGAAAGAGAGGAGGAGGGGGAGAAGGAAGGGGAAGGAGTGAAGGAGTAGGAGAGGAGGGAAGAAGAAAGTAGGAAGGATAAAAGAAGGGAGGGAGATGGAAGAGAATGAGAAGAAAGATTGCTGTACAATAAAAAAGATGGAATGGAAGAAAGGCAACCCCGAACATGTGTAAATATACTAGGATAAAGAATGAATTATCAAAAAATAAAGGAGAATAAATATGAGTAAAAATAGAGAAATTAGAATTTGAGGGCGAATAAAGATGTTGTTTATATAAATAAGCATAGAAATATTAAGATGTGATCAAAAAACATGGAAAAGGAAGATTTTGGCAGAAATTGTAACTAAGTCAAAAATGTATTTGGATACGATGAGTTGTATAAGATATGATACGGCCAATACTCTGTTCATAAAATATACAGGTCATGTGGGGGAAAACAAAAATCAATAAAACTTGATTCAAAAAAATAATAATAATTGTCTTCTTGATGCAAGACATTTTATAAGCTTAGGAGAATAGGGCAAGAAACTGATGATGTTACCCAGTCTGCTCACGAAACGTTCAGAAACCTAATTGAAACAAAGCTTGGAGAGCAAAAACCACTGCCAAAATGATGGCTTAAATCCACAGGAAAAAAACATGCCCGGAGAGAAATACGCAATTATTGTGCAATTGCATCCTTTCCAGGGGTGAAATGCTCTTGGTTCCGATCGGATCGCCCGATCCGGTAGTGATGGCGGTGGGTGGTTCGGAGAACCAGTAGCAAAAATCCCTGTGCCCCCCCCCCCCAATGTCCAGCTGTGCCGCCCGATCATCAGAGGCTTTTTTTTTTTTTACTTTTAAAAGCATTTTTTCTACAACCTCTTCCGATGAAAAAATGCTTTTAAAAGTAAAAAAAAAAAAAAGCCTCTGATGATCAGGCAACTCAGCTGGGATCGTCAGAGGCTTTTCAAAGCATTTTTTTCTGCAACCTCTTGGCCGAAGAGGTGGTTTAAAAAAATGCTTTGAAAAGCCTCTGACGATCCCAGCTGAGTTGCCTGATCGGCAGAGGCTTTTCAAAGCATTAGAAAAAATGCTTTGAAAAGTTTTTTTTTAAAAAAAAATTGGCCACGCCCACTCAGTCACATTACCCTCCCCACCAAACCACGCCCACAGAACCAGTAGTAACAAATTTTACATTTCACCCCTGGTCCTTTCCAAGAGTTGCTGATCAAGTAAAATGGGAGATAATAATCATCACCCAACTGTTATATTAAAGGTGGTAGTTTCTGTATTCTGCTTCCAAATTATTTGATGTGTTTTTAAAACCAGGAACTTGCTACAGGTAGACTTCATTTAGGGACCGTTCAAAGTTGTTACAACGGCACTAAAAAAAAGTGACTTATGGCTATTTTTCACAGTTACACCCTTTCTAGCACGCCCGTGATCATGCGATCAAAATTCAGGCGCTTGGCAACTGATTCATACTTATGACCGTTGCTGTGTCCCCGGGGTCACCTGATCCCCTTTTCTGACCTTCTGACAAGCAAAGTCAAGGGGGGGAACCAGATTCGCTTAACAACCGGGTTGTTAAGCGAATCTGTTGTTAAACTTATTCAACTGCGGAGATTTACTTAACAAATGTGGCAAGAGAGGTCTTGAAATGGGGCAAAACTCACTTAACAAACGTCTCACTTAAGAACAGAAATTTTGGGCTCCATTTTGGTCGTAAACCGAGGACTAGCTGTATAGGTTTTTAAAGCGGATGGAATTGGAAAGGTCGAAGGGTTTTTTTTTTTAACTGTTTCCATTCAGGGACGGAGGGGACATTCTTACCTTGATGGAGTTGAATGTTGCTACAGTGTGTACCATCATTCGTGCAGACTGGAGATAAAACGGGAATGGAAAACAAGAATTACTAAAAAGACCAAAGATCTACTGCATTTTTCGGAGTATAAGACGCACCTTTTTCCCCCTTAAAAGGGGGTGAAAATTTAGGTGCATCTTATACACCGAATATAGCCCTGCCCGCCCACTGGCCCCCACCCTTTGGCCTCTGCCTCCCAGCAATTTACCTCCTTGCAGCAAGCAGCAAGAAGAAACAGCCCATGTCAGCTTCAGCACAGCCTAATTAGCACAAGTTGATTGGATCGGCCTCCCGACTCTCAGCTGTTTTGCCCGGGCCTCTGCTGCTTGCTACAAGGAGGTAAATTGCTGGGAGCAGATTTTTTTTTTCCTGGTGCTAATCAAGCTATGCTGAAAACGAAAATGAAAGTAAAGCAGGCTGTTTGCAGCAACAAGGCAAAATTGCTGGGAGGCAGAGGCAGATTTCTTTTTCTTGTTTTCCTCACCAAAAAAAGGTAGGTGAATCTTATATTCCGAAAAATAAGGTAAAACCATTTAACTAATACTTCCTAATTTCTAGATCCTTTCTATTATATATTTTCTTACTTATTTATTCCTGTCCTCTAACCATTTGTACCATTTATTCCATATTAAGTAATATTCCGCTTTTCTTTTATTTCTTTCGTCAATTTATCCATCTCTGCACAGTCCAAAATTTTCCTTATCACCTCTTTGTCTTTTGGTATGACATTATTTTTCCCAATTTTGTGCATAGGTTATCCTAGCTGCAGTTATAATATGTAGAATTAGATATTGTATTTCTTTATTATAATTTCTTGGGGGCATGCCCAATAAAAATAATTCTGCTTTCAAGTCTATATTATGTTCTGTTATCTCTTCAAGCCACTTTTTAATTTTACTTTTTTGCTGTTGCATAAGTCCCCGTTATTTTCAAAGGAAATTTACCTTCCATGGAGAAGCGGTCTTGGAATCTGCTTCATCCTGTTGGAAAGAATTATCGGGGGGGGGAAAAAGAACTTCAGAGCTCGCCAACAGAAGCCACAAATTTTCCCCAAGTTATTATTTTTTTCAACATCTAGATTTATGCATGAAAAAAATCCTCACTGTTTCTCTCCTTAGGGACTTAAACTGAGGCTTGTTCCCCAGGGATTTTTCAAACAAACATTAAGTGAGGTTATACTTGTCTTTGGTCATTTTGAACATGTAAGACAATGTACAGTAGCGGCCAAAATTGTTGAAACCTTTTGGGGAAAAGGGCATTTTCTAAAACTAGCTAATAACACCACTTTTTTTGGGAGTAGTACCATAAAATTATATATCAATGGAAAGATAATTTAATCAAGAATGTAATGCAATAGCTTTTATGAAGGATTTGCTATTAGAACAGCAGTTACAGTATAAAGAAGGAAAGTGAAAGATGTAGAAAAAAACGAGATATACAAAAATTATCACGTCAGTTAATACTTAGTTGGGTAACCTTTAGCATGAATTATGGCCTTACAACGTCTTCCCATGGAGTGAACCAAGTCTTTTAGTTCTGCAGCTATTATCATGTGATATCAGGATTGAACTATGACTTCTATTAACTGGGCTTTATTACTGTGTCACTTCTGACTAACAAGTTTCTTTAGTTGACTGCTCCATAGATTTTCAATTGGGTGAAGGTCTGGGCTATTCCCAGGCCATTCCAGCAGTGGAATAGGATTGAAAAATCCTATTATTTTTTTTCCAAAAAAAAGTGTTATTAGCCATCAAACCTCAAAAATACACTTTTCCCAAAAGGTTTCCACAATTTTGGCCACTACTGTATACAGATAAGATGGAGAGATGTTAAGGGGGAAGGACTCTTCAGATCAACCTCTATTTTTCTCCCCCTTATTGCTTTTTGGAAATTGCACATCCCAATTTCCCCGCTTTCAAAAGCCACATATGAAAAGAAGCTTACCCGTGGCATCATTCCATAGACTTCCTAAAAAAAAAAAGAAGAAGAAGAAGAAGAAGAAGAAGACACAAACAATTATTTCTGGACGGAAGAATCTACATTCTGTAGAAAATCAGAAGTTCATTGTGCATTGCTAAAAGCACCTGCAAAGACTGGGCAGGAGACTCCGAGGAACCAAACGTACCTGCTGTTGCACTGCTTGAACCTCTTCAGCTATGAGACCTTCCGACTCCAAGTCGTTTGCCACCTTGTTGATGTCCTTCAGACGGGACTCGTTTGCTTTCAGATCCTGCGTGGAGTGAAAAATACTCGATGGGTGAGAATTCAGCAAGAGTTTTCTGCCCCAGCTCCGGATTTCTGAGGATATTGACACACACCAACGGTCCTTATCAAATTTATTAAGTAGCAAGAATAAACAAGACCGGCAAAAGGTTGGCAACCAGCCCAGAAAACAAGATATGATAAACAAAAATACTCTGATAATAAATACGAGTTGTTTCCAGCAAGAAAGCACTAGCTAGCTGCATGCGACTTAAATAGGCTAAGGGAGTGGCCAATTATCCTCAAGACCTACTCTCGAGGAGACCTCCTCCTCCTGAGTAGCGACTCCTGCCTTTTGGCAGCCCTGCGTGCCTCGAGCATTGAGGAGAGGCTCCTCCATTTCGCTCTCTCCACTTGAAGGAGCCTCTGGAGGTTCTGAAGGCCCTGGCTGAGTCTCTGCCTCTGGCACCACATCCTCTTCAGCCTCCTCGCTGTCCGACGCGAGCGCTGGCTGCGCAGGCTGCTGGCGTGACACACCAGCCTCCTCTTCGTTGGGTGATCAGCCACGATCCGCGCAGGCCGCTGGCGGGCCACAACAAAGAGAGAGACGCGCCACCATCAAACTGGGACTGTATCGGATGGCTCCATCTCACAGGAGAGTTGAGGCTCTCCCAGAATGACAGAGCTGATGAAGGCATTTCTTAATCACAGGTTGGGTTTGATGTGCATATTGAGAACAGAGTTACTCCTTCCAAATGCTAGTTAGCGCTTTTAACTTGTCTAGGAGACACTACACCACCTTTTAAAAGTCTATGGAGATTCTCAGCCATTCAGGTCATGGCTTTTTCAGGGGGCAACTGGATTTCTCTTGTTTTTTTCTTTGAAGAAAAGTCCAGTTGCCTCCTGAAAAAAGCACCTTTGGAACAACCTGGATGGCTGAGAACCTCCATAGACGTTTCAACAACAACAATTTATTACAGTCTTAGACCAGAGACCAGAACAAAAAAAAACAGTCAGTGTATATGCACTTAAAATTCTAGTATAAAATAATAAATAACAATTACAATCTATAATAAAATCCAGTGTCAATTACACACGGTCTGACTATACGATAGTTGCAATCCCTAAACTGTGTGGCCCGTTGTAGGTTCAATGCAGTGGTGAAATCTAAAATGTGTTACTACCGGTTCTGTGGGCGTGGCTTGGTGGTGGGGTAATGTGACTGGGTGGGCGTGGCCAATTTTTGTTTTACTTTTAAAACCATTTTTTACATGTAAAACCATGTAAAAAAATGCTTTCAAAAGGCTCTGACAATCCTAGCTGAGTTGCCTGATCGTCAGAGGGTTTTTAAAAAAACCTCTGCCGATCAGGCAACTCAACTGGGATCGTCAGAGCTTGGATCGTCAGAGCCATTTAAAAGGAAAAAAAGCCTCTGATGATCGTGCAGCTCAGCTGGGCATGGGGGGCAGGGGCAGGGATTTTTGCTACCGGTTCTCCGAACTGCCCACCGCCATCGCTACCTACTCGCCCGAGCCGGTCCGAACCGGGAGCATTTCACCCCTGGTTCAACACTAAAAGGGAAATGACTAAGCAGTGCAAAGGGTTTCCCACAATTGTTATATAACATCACTATGGTGGAGAAGAAAGTTGTTTGCGATGAATCCCCAGTGCATAGACTTTTAGCTAGATGTTCTGGTCCACCAGCAGCCTGCGGACCTGGCAGCGAAGTCGGGACAGTGAGGAGGCTGGAGAGGATAATGGGCCAGTCCTGGAGTCTGGGAAGGCCTGGACGAGGGCTCTGCGTCGGAGGCAGAGATGGGGCCAGGGCCATCTGGGAGTGATGCATGGACTCCGGAGCCTCCAGAGTCGAACAGCAGAGAGGCAGAGGAACAGGAGGAGCCTGTTCCTAATGCACGCATGAGAAGAGCTGCCAGAAGGCAAGAGCAGCTAAAGCAAAAGGGACGACTCAGGAGTAAGGCCAAGAGATGATTGGCCCCTCCCATAAGGCTTAAAAGACTAGCAACGGCTCTTGGGCTCTTTGTCGGAAAACAACATTGATAGATTTGTTTCTTGTCTTGCTGCATTTATTTCTTGTTTCTAAACTTTTGCCAAGAAAAGCCTTTGGCAGGTTGCCAAAGTAGACCAAGGTTGGTGATAAGGCTGAAGAACTGTGTTATGAAGAGTTTGTTTTGAATTAGTTTGGACTACACTGGGAATGAGTTAATTCTCAGCTGTTCTAATAAAATCTGTTTGGTTAGAACTGATTGCATCTGATAATACCTACTTGGGCCTAGGTCACGACACTAAAGAATTTGGGATGAACACCCTTTGAATGGTGTGGGAGTGGGAATGGATTTCCAGAGGAAAAAATTGCATTTGCACCACTCAGGTGACCCTGAGGACACAGATAAACCTCCAGTTGGCCTCAACGACCCTCTGAAAGGATGCAAAGAAAGGACCAGCTGTCTGCAAGGAGCATAAATCCTTCCAGAGTTGAAGAAGCTTCTTGAATGAGAAGCAAAACGTCTTAAAGAAAAAACAAGAAAGCCCAGTTTTTGCCTTTGGTACATCTTTTTAAGGAAGCTTCTCTTACATTGGTTGGATGGTCCCAAGAGAAGGTGCCCCAAAAATATCAACAGCCAGGTTCTTTCCGATGGAGACCTTTTAGACAGAGGAGTCCAACCTTGGCAACAAAAGTTGTGGAATTCAACTCCCAGCATGGCTGGCTAAGGAATTCTGGGAGTTGAAGTCCACAAGTCTTGAAAGTTGCCAAGGTTGGACACTCCTTGCTCTAGGACGGGGGAGGTCAAACTTGATTTCATTGAGGGCCACATCAGGATTGTGTTTGACCTTGGGGGAGGGGGGGCGTGTGTGGCCAGGGGAGCCAGTTCGATGTCACTTGAGGCTCCGTTTTTGGCTGCAAAAGCCTCCTGCAGCCTTCTGCCAATCAAAATGGAGCCCAGCCTCCTGGGCTCCGTTTTTGCTGACAAGAGGGCTACAGGAAGCCATCATGGCCGAAAATGGAGCCTGGGAGGACTGCACATGGTTCTCCTGAGCTCCATTTTTGCTGGCAGAGGACTACAGGAGGCCATCACGGCTGAAAACGGAGCATGGGCCGGTCCTTCGCTGTTTCCAGGGCGGCCCTGCAGGCCAGATCTAACCACCCCACGGGCTGGGGCCAGCCTCCGCGTTTGACACCCCTGCTCTAGGAGGTCGCCATCCTGACCATCTTGTTTCGGCCTCTGAGATTAGGGGAAGGAGGAGTATGGGTTCATGCCTCTCATGGCTGCCACTTGACCCGTTCCCATCACCCACCTTCTGGAAGTCGTCAAACTTCTTCTGCAGCACCTCCACCTGTTCGAGGTCGGCCCCCATCTCCTCGTTGGCCAGGGTGGCCTCCTTCTCGTGGATCCACTGCTGCAGCTCGTTGGCCTCCCGGAAGAGCATGAATTTCTTACAGCTTTTCTCCAGCATGTCTTTACGTTTCTCTCCCAGTTCCAGGAGGGAGTGGTACCTGCAGGGCAGAAGGGAGGAAGCAGACGAGAGGGCCCGGTCAGAGGGCGCCGGATGAAGGTGGCAGTGTCACACAACCAGCCCATCTCCAGAGGCTTTGAGCTTCGCGAGCAGAGAACCGCTGCCTTAGAAGCGCTCTACGAACAATCACAGCAGACCCAACAACGACAAGCGGATGGCGGCTGAGAGAAAAGGACGGTCCTTACAGCCCTGAAATTCCAGACTCCTTCATCCTCGGGGCTCCGCGGCAACTAACCAGATGGGCTCCAGTTAAGGACAGATTGTAATGGCGGAAAGGAATTGGGAGAATTGTATTCCCTGGAGCGCATCTGAGAGAAGCAGCAGGCTAGGGAAACTGTACAGGGAATCCTTGATTTACGACAGTTCATTTAGTGACCGTTCGAAGTTACAACGGCACGGGGGTGGGGAAGGTGATTTAGGACCATTTTTCACACGCTTACGACTGTTGCAGCATCCCCAGGGTCAAAATTCAGGCTTGGCAACCGACTCATGTTTATGACATGTTTATGTCCAGATATAAACTCAATGTTTATATCTGGGAAGCCAGATTGACTAATTTAACAACTGCAGTGATTCACTTATCAACTAGGCAAGACACGTCGTAAAACGGGACAACGCTCACGTAATTGTCTCGCTGAGCAACGTAAATTTTGGGCTCAGTTGCGGCCGTAAGTCAAGGATTACCTATATTCCCTAGAGCAGGGGTCTCCAACTTTGGCAACGTTAAGCCGGGAGGACTTCAACTCCCAGAAATCTGGGAATTGAAGTCCTCCCGGCTTAACGTTGCTGAGGTTGGAGACCCGTGCTCTAGAGCACATCTGGAGGGCATCACCCTGGGAGAAGGTAGCCCAGATCTAAAGAACCAGCGTCAATAAATTGTTTTTTTTCCTCCTGTTTTACACCAAAGAGGCTCTTGAGCCACTCAAAATGTCTACGAGAAATGGGAGAGACTGTGCTTTTTTCAAACACTTCCTGAAGAGCCCTTGGATTTGAGAGAGAGAGAGGCCCGTTCAGCTGTACACTCCTAAGAGAAGGCTACCCCAGAAAAAGGCAGAAAGACAGGGAAAAAAACACCAGCGGCTACTTGAGAGACACAGTGTGGTTTAACGACAGCTACGACCTACTCACAGTTCTTCCACCTGTTTCATACGCAGAGATACACTGCCGATCTCCTTAGTAAGGAAAGTCCTGCACAGATAAGAGAGAGAGGGAGGAGCACAGCAGAAAAAAAGCATGCACAAAAATTAGTCTGATTAACAAAAACGAAGGGGAAGGAAGGACGCTGTACAAGACAAACACAAAGGGCTCTTTTGGGGCAAACGACGGAAGGGAAGAGGACAGTAGCGTGAAGAAAACCGGGGCGTGATTACCGAGACCCGATCGTACAGTTCCCATTCAGTCAACAGAAGACAGGGCATGATTTTTTTTTTTTTAAAAAAAAGGCTAATGAGGACAAGAAGCAGTTGAGTCTCAGGTTAGGAAGGAAAAGATTAAAAAATAAAAAGAGGAATGCGGGTGATTTTTTTTTTTTTTTTCAACGGAACTGATTGCGGGGAAAGAAGCAAGAGCCGGCCATAGAAACTAGGGAGCTGGGAGTTAAAATCCTTCTGGAGAGACGAGGGTCGATTCCTAATCTGGTTAAATCAAAGCCTTACTGGTGGTCGATCTGTTCTTGGCGCAAAGCGATGCTGCCCTGTTCCTCTAAGAGGTTTTCGCGGGAGGTGGACTGCGCCGGGTCCAGCTTCTTCACGTAAGCCGCCGGCACGAATCCCTGACGGTCGTTCACTTCCACTTTCCACCAATCCTGCAGAAGGAGGAGGAAGGGGAAAAAAAATGATAAAAGAAAAAGGGAAATAAAAAGGGAATAAAATGGAGAAGGGGGAAAAAAAAAGGAATCGGGCTTGGGTTGTGTTTTGGACTTCTGCAAAAGAGGTGCAACTCACTGTTGTCACCAACACCCCCCAAAAGGTAGAAAGGGGATGAAGAGCATAGCTGGAACCAACGAAGGAGAATATTTGTAGCTCGGGGTTGAAATGAAGGGTCCTTGGTGGTCTCTGAGAGAGTGATGGTTATCTGGCAGACGTTTCATGACCCAACCAAGTAATGGCATCGGTCAGTGGTGAAATCTAAAATTTGTTACTACCGGTTCTGTGGGCGTGGCTTGGTGTGTGAGTGGGGGGTAATGTGACTGGGTGGGCGTGGCCAATTTTTTTAAAAAATTTTTTTTATTAAAGATACGTAGATAAAGATATTAAAGTATGTATGATAAACAAAATCATACATACATACAATACACAATATAGACAAACTATACATTAAAATCAAGTCTTACAACTTGAGCCTTAAAAAAAAGAAAGTTACCTCGGTATTGTATATTACTGTATATAAATATATTTTACTTTTAAAACCATTTTTTCTACAATCTCTTCGGCAAAGAGGTTGTAAAAAAAATGCTTTCAAAAGGCTCTGACGATCCCAGCTGAGTTGCCTGATCGGCAGAGGCTTTTTTTTCTTTTAAATGCCTCTGACGATCCCAGCAGGCAACTCAGCTGGGATCGTCAGAGGCATTTAAAAGGAGAAAAAAAAGGTTTTGTTCCTTTTAAAGGTCCTTGGTGAGCCTGCTTGTTTCTTTGCAAACGTTTCATGACCCTAACTAGGTAACATCATCCGTGCTAGCCCACTAGCCTACCACAGTACAATAGCACTGATGATGTTACCTAATTGGGTCATGAAACGTCTGGAAGAAAACAAGCAGGCTCAGAGAGCACCAGGGACCCCCTCATAGCTGGAACGTTTTGAAGGTTCTGTGGCTGATTCAGAATTTCACAGGATCTGGTTTTTACCTTGTTGGTGCTGTTCAGGAGAGTCAAAATGTCCCCCTTCTTCATGGTGACCTCGCGTGGGCTCTTCTCCTGGTAGTCGTAGAGGGCCAAGACCAGCTCTTTGCCCGTTTCGTCATCTGTAGGGGCCACTTGTTGCTGGAAAAAGAGAAACGGTTCCTTGGATTAAACTCTTGGACTAAGGATGGGTCCTTGGATTTCGGAGCACGCTGAGATGGGTGCCCTATTCTCCTGGTGGCTGGATCACTTCAATTGCTCAATTCAATTCAGAACTGGATCCTATGTCAGGGGCCTGTGAGGGACATCAACATCTGGAAAAAGGCCCCCGTCAGTCAACAGGAGTGCTGATTTACCACCAGCTTATCAAGTACATGAGCCTGGGTGGCGCAGTGGTTAGAGTGTAGTACTGCAGGCTACTTCTGCCGACTGCTGGCTGCCTGCAATTTGGCAGTTCAAATCTCACACCAGGCTCAAGGTTGACTCGTCCTTCCGAGGTGGGTAAAATGAGGACCCAGATTGTTGGGGACAATATGTAGACTTTGTAAACTGTTTAAGAGAGGGTTGTAAAGCACTGTGAAGCGGTATATAAATCTAAGGGCTATGGCTGTCTGTCTGTGTTTGTGTTTGTGTCTGTGTCTCTATCTATCTATCTATCTATCTATCTATCTATCTATCTATCTATCTCAGCTATCTATCCACTCTACCTCTTTATCTTTATCGTCCTATCTATCTATCTATCTATCATCTATCTCAGCTATCTATCTACTCTACCTCTTTATCTTTATCGTCCTATCTATCTATCTATCATCTATCTCAGCTATCTATCTACTCTACCCCTTTATCTTTATCGTCCTATCTATCTATCTATCTATCTATCTATCTATCTATCTATCTATCATCTATCTCAGCTATCTACCTCTTTATCTTTATCATCCTATCTATCTATCTATCTATCTATCTATCTATCTATCTATCTATCTATCTATCATCTATCTCAGCTATCTATCCACTCTACCTCTTTATCTTTATCATCCTATCTATCTATCTATCTATCTATCTATCTATCTATCTATCTATCTATCTATCTATCTATCTATCTATCATCAGCCATGGTGGCACAGTGATTAAAATGCAATATTACCAGCTAACTCTGCCCACTGCCAGCAGTTCGATCCTGACCAACTCAAGGTTGACTCAGCCTTCCTTCCTTCCAAGGTCGGTCAAATGAGGATGCAGATTGTTGGGAGGGCCAAAGGCTGACTCTGTAAACTGCTTAGAGAGGGCTGTAAAAGCACTGTAAAGCAGTATATAAGTGCTACTGCTACTTAGGAGGCGAGGGCTTGGCAGCAGAAGCAAACAACAGCCGACGTCTTTACAGCCAGCCATCGACAGCTAAAAAGGCACACACAATAGGCACCATATAAGCAACACACACACACACACACACACCAACCAGAAACGCACACTCTGCTGGAGAGAAATTCCCTGAAGATGGGCTCCAGCACGAATCCAGAAGCTCGAAAGACAAAAAAAACCCGATTGGATCCTGAGACATCCCCATCTCTTCTTCTTACCCGACAGGCCTGGGCCTGCTCCTTCAGGGCTTGAATGCTACTGCCGTAGGCGGAGAGATCGGACATCAGAGCTTCGTGCTTCTTGAGAAGAGCCTGAAAGGAAGAGAAAAAAACCCCCCATCTTTAGACCTCTCTCGGGTTTTACCGCGTTTCCCCAAAAATAAGACCCTGACTTATATTTTTTTGAACCCCAAAATAAGCGCTAGGCCTTATTTTCGGGGAAGTCTTTTTATTTTGGGGCCCGTGGAGCAAGACGGGGCTCCTCTTGCCATATTGCCTGATTTCCAGTTCTGTCTCCTTAACCCAGGGGTCAGCAACCTGCGGCTCTGGAGCCACATGTGGCTCTTTGGGCCCTCTGCTGTGGCTCACCACTGGCTGGCCCCGCCCCTCACCCTCCCCTCCCAGTCATTCCTTGCCTGGCCTGAGAAGGTAAGGGCGACGGTGGGGGATGGGAGGAGCGGCCAGGGCAGAGAGAGATACAGAGAGAGGGAGAGAGAGAGACATAGAGAGATACAGAGAGGGAGGGGGGGAGAGAGGGAGGGGAGAGAGAGATGTCAAAAAGGATTTTGTGGTTCCTGATGTTTTTTAACAACTGGTTCTCTGCCCTAATGAACAGCTGGCTAGGCGTGGCTGGGGGATGGGAGTCATGTGACTGCCGCAAGTGAGTGACATCAAGCTGGCCACGCCCAGCCAGGTTTTGTGGCTCCCGGTGTTTTCTTTTCTGTGGGAAATGGGTCCAAATGGCTCTTTAAGGTTGCAGACGCCTGCCCTAAACCTAACCAGAGGAAATGGTGGGGATCGGCTGCGCATCCGGTTAAATATTTTCGGGGAGGGCTTATTTCAGTGCATGTGCTCAAAAGCCCGATTGGGCTTATTATCCAGGGAGGTCTTATTTTCGGGAAAGCAAGGTATATGGACCAGGTCAGAAGTTCTCACGCAGGACCTTCACACCATGCCCAGTTGTGATCTAGGAACAAAGGGACGCACCTCGGCGGAGTCCTCGTCCTTTCCGTAGTCCGTGCTCCCCACGATGGGCTCCTTCTCCCTCATCCAAGACTCGGCCTCGTTGGCGTCGGCGAAGTACTGTTGGGCCTGCAGAGAGTCTTCCAAATCTTGACGGCGCTGAGAAGCCTTCCCTTTCAAGGTTTCCCACTTCTGGTTGAGGTCGTTCAGTTTGACTTTCACGTCTTCCGCGGCAAAATGCCCTAAGCGACAAGAAGCGTGTTTCTTCTGGTTAAGATTCGGAGGTGGGTGTCAGCCTCTATGGAGCTTGCTTGCTTTCAGCTGCCATTTTAACGGGAGTGGGGAGGCATGGCTGGTATTTGGGAGGGGAGCGGGAGTGAGCTGGTGGAGATGTCTCGGAAAAGGGAGGAAAATTCTCACTGTCTTCATGGCAGCTGCAGAGAGAGCCGATAGCTGTCAAGGTCAACCTTTCCAGCATACCAGATAGATGGGGGCCGCCCGAAGAAGTACCCCACATCAGAGGTGGATTTCATTCAGAGAATGTGATTTATGACATGGCCAGGGGGGGAGGGGAGAGACAGGGTCATAGGGGAACGTAAATCTACGTGGGGTCAGTCCTGACTGTCTGTCAAGTTTCTGAAAGATGCCCTAATTAATTCATGAGCCATGATCCAAACTTCAAAGGAAATATAGCGATTTATTAGGAGCACCATTCCGGCAATACTCGGATGCAGTCAGGACTGACCCCACGTAGATTTACGTTCCCCTATGACCCTGTCTCTCCCCTCCCCCCCTGGCCATGTCATAAATCACATTCTCCAATTAACCACTCTGGCTGGCTGTGAAACCTAACACCCTCCTTCTGATTGCGGTCAGGAAGAATGTATGGAATTCACTTCAGTTCTCCCTCCCTCCTGCTCATGGCAACTTGAAAGCTTTGCAAGTTGACATGAGGTGGGAATGGAGATTTTACAGTATCCTTCCCTTGCCACGCCCACCAAGCCACACCCATGCCCACAGAACCGGTAGTAAAAATTTTTGAAACCCACCACTGCCCCACATGACACCAAGGGAAGATGTGGATTGGAGACTCAGCCTGGGTGCTTGGGGTGTGGGAGGGATTTGGGGGTTGCTTTCAATATGTCATCTTCGCGCCTATTGCCTCAGGCTTTGCTTTTCTTTTGCTACATTCATGCTCAGTAAAAGCATGTTTGTTCTCTACAAACATGGAGTTGGGGTTTTTCTTCCTTGAGTTTTGAACGGAGGCACACCTGACGGTGGGAAAGCGCACAAGGTCTCACCCACCAGCCTGGGGTCGGTTGGAGTTTCTCCATCCGAGGAAGGCTCCTTCCTGGCTGCCCCATGAGAAAATTAATTATAGTGGGGAGTGGGGTGGACTTTCTGAGGCTTCCCTGGACAAAGCAGGGGTGATTGGAATGGAAATGAACGGGTTTCCAGAAAAATCACACACTACAGGAACCATTCGCGACTCAGTTTGAGATGCAGAAAACATAAACTCGTCCCCAACAGCCTCGTCCCCACCGCTGCTTGTCTTCAACGGTGAAGGGACACTGTGCAGAAAACATCCTGCAAGCCAAGAAGGCATCCTTTTGCACCACTCAGGTGACTCTTGAGGACAAAGATAAACCTCCAAGCGGCCTCAACGAATCTCTCAAAGGATGCAAATGACCAGCTGTCTGCAAGGAATATAAATCCTTCCATTCCCCACCATCATCCAGTCAGAGCTGAAGAAGCTTCTTGGATGAGAAGCGAAACATCTTCAAAAGAAAAAAACCAGAAAGTCCAGGTGCCTCTTGAAAAAGCACCTTTGGGACAACCATGACCTGGAGGACTGAGAATCTCTACAGATTTTTAGCTATGCAATTTGGGATGAACAATCCTTCAAATAGGGTGGGAGTAGGAATGGATTTCCAGAGAAAAAAAATGTAGACTACAGGAACCAGGAGCAATACTCAGGTGACCCTGAGGACACAGATAAACCTCCAAGCGGCCTCAACAACTCTCTCAAAGAACGCAAATGACCAGCTGTCTGCAAGGAGTATAAATCCTTCCATTCCCCACCATCCAGTCAAAGCTGAAGAAGCTTTTTGGATGAGAAGCAAAACGTCTTCAAAAGAAAAAAAAAGTCCAGTTGCCTCCAGAAAAAGCATCTTTGGGATAATAACCATGACCAGGACGACTCCACCGACATAACAGAAAGGAAACTTCCTCCACTAAGAGACATTGTAATCGTAATGTAATACGTGTGAATCACAGCTTTAAACTTAATGTAAAATGCTTTAAACTCAGTCTGTAGAAAATTCGATCTTTGTAACAACGGTTTTCAGAGCCTGGGATACCTTACCTGATTTAGTTGTCTCGGAAAGTATCTTCCACAGTTTTTAAATCTAACTAAATTTTGGTGGACCTCAACCCATCTTAAAGAGGTCCCGGGGGTGTGTGTCTCAGTGGCTAAGACGCTGAGCTTGTCGATCAAAAGTTCAGCGGTTCGAATCCCTAGTGCCGCGTAACGGGGTGAGCTCCCGTGACTTGTCCCAGCTTCTGCCAACCTAGCAGTTCGAAAGCAGGTAAAAAATACAAATAGAAAAAAATCGGGACCACCTTTGGTGGGAAGGAAACAGCGTTCCGTGTGCCTTTGGCGTTGAGTCATGCCGGCCACATGACCTCGGAGATGTCTTCGGACAGCGCTGGCTTTTTGGCTTTGAAATGGAGATGAGCACCGCCCCCTAGAGTCGGGAACGACCAGCACATATATGCAAGGGAAACTTTACCTTTACCTTTAAGGGGGGGGGGGGGGGGCTGTCAGTGCACTAACGTACTTGTCATCCCTGTCACATTTTAATTTTTTTTTTTTTCATTTTGCCTGTTCAAATTTGTAGTTTTCATTTGACGAGTAAATGAAATAAATGAGAAATAAAGAGAGGAAGAGACGCACCTTCGTCTATCATGGAATTTCCTTTCTGGGTGACCGCTTTAATGCGGGGTTCGTGGCCAGCGATCTCCGCTTGCAACGCTTGGTGTTTTTTCAGCAGGTTCTGGACCCCAATGAGGTCTTTGCCTGGAATGAGAAGGGAAGGACGTGATCAGCAGCCGTTCCAATAAAAATGCTTACAATCCCTGAATGAAAGAAACACAGGGGCTGTCATAAGCCACCTAACTTTGTAAACACAGGTAGTCCACGATGTATGACCACAATTGAGCCCAGAATAAGAGCCTTGATGGTACAGTGGTCTATGCACCCTGTTATTAACACAGCTGCCTGCCATTTACTGCTGGTTCGAATCTCGCCAAGGCTCAAGGTTGACTCAGCCTTCCATCCTTTCTAAGGTAGGTGAAATGAGGACCCAGTTTGTGGGGGCAATAAGCTTTGTATAAATATACAAAAGTATGAAGGCTATTGCTTAACGCATTGTAAGCCGCCCTGAGTCTCCAGAGAAGGGCGGCATATAAATTAAAGCAAAAAAAAAAAAAAATTATGTTGCCATGTGAGGCTTTGGTTAAGTGAGTTTTGCCCCATTTTACAACTTTGCTTAGCATGTTTGTTAAGCGGATCAATGCAGTTGTTTAAATTAGTAACACTTCCCCCGTTGACGTCGCTTGTCCGAAGGTCACAAAAAGGAGATCACATGCGACCGTCATAAATGTGAACTGAATGTGCATGTATATTAACCCATAAGGTGTGGCTACAATATTATTACAAGTAGTCCTCCAATTACAACAGACCATTCAAAGTTACAACAGAAATTGAAAAAAGGGATTTATGGCAGTTTTTCATACTTATCACCATGTGGTCAATATTCAGAGCTTGGCAACTGACTCATATTTATGACGGTTTCAGTGTCCCGGATGCATCCAAGCATCAAACATCTGAATGTGAATCCTGTGATCCTGGGGATGCTGCAACGGTCGTAAGTGTGAAAAATGGTTCTAAGCAGGAGTGAAATGCTCCCGGTTCCGACCGGATTGCCCGATCCGGTAGTGATGGCAGTGGGTGGTTCGGAGAACCGGTAGCAAAAATCCCTGCACCCTCCCACCATGCCCAACTGAGCCGCACGATCATCAGAGGCTTTTTTTTTTTTACTTTTAAAAGCATTTTTTCTACAACCTCTTCCGACGAAAAAATGCTTTTAAAAGTAAAAAAAAAAAAGCCTCTGATGATATCACACGGCTCAGCTGGGATCGTCAGAGGCTTTTCAAAGCATTTTTTTTCTGCAACCTCTTGGCCGAAGAGGTGATTAAAAAAATTGCTTTGAGAAGTCTCTGACGATCCCAGCTGGGTTGCCTGATCGGCAGAGGCTTTTCAAAGCATTAGAAAAAATCCTTTGAAAAGTTTAAAAAAGAAAAGAGTTGGCCACGCCCACCGTCACATTACCCACCACCACCACCAAGCCACGCCCACAGAACTGGTAGTAACAAATTTTACATTTCACCCCAGTCACGTTTTTCAGTGCCATTGTAACGTCAAATGGTCGCTAAATGAACTGCCGTAAGTGGAAGACTACCTGTATTTCCCTTTACGTGGTGTTATCGATTAGCTGCTCAAAACTAGCCATTGTTATCAATGAGTGTGGATGTGTAAACACGTCTTGCACTCTCCCTGCGCTAACCTCGGTTGGTCGATGCTGCGATCGGCTCCTTCTCTCGGATCCAGGTTTCTTCGTCTTCGACGTCGCGGAAGAGCTGCTGAAGGCGGAGGGAGTCCGCCAGTTTCTGCTTGCGGGACACCATCGGTTCCTTCAGGGCTTCGTAGCGGGCCACCAAAGCCTCCTGCTTCTTCTTGATGTTGTCCGCGTCAAAGTGCCCGGCCTCTTGAAATTGGCGAGCCTGGATGGTGATGCCGTCGATGCGGTCCTAAAACAAGAACTGAAGATCAGCGGTAGCCACCTTGCAAGGACCACCTCTCTCTACTCTGAACAAGTCCAAAAGTTACGTTTCCTTCTTCCATTGTCCTCTGAACAAATCCAGTGTTAAGTCCCCTTCTCATGATTTATGTAGGTATTTATGTATCTCTTGATTTATGTTGATCTCCTTTATTTAGTATCCTATTATGATTTAGGTTGTTTGCTTATTTAGTGTCCTAGGGTTATCACTGAGTTTGTATCTTATTTTATGATGATTGTATTTTATGGTTACGATCCTGATTTATCACTTGTTGCTTGGATGTACACTGAGAGTTCATGTGCTGGAAACAAATTGCTTGTGTGTCTATCACACTTGGCCGATAAAAAATTCTAATAATTCTAATTAATTCTAATTCTACCAATAATTCTGCAATTTACGCACCAGGGACACATTCACTGTGTGTCTATCACACTTGGCCAATAAAAAATTCAATTCTAATTCTAATAATTCTAATTCTAAATTAATTCTAATTCTACCGATAATTCTGCAGTTTACGCACCAGAGACACATTCACTGTGTGTTTATCACACTTGGCCAATTGTCAGCACTTCAAGCTGCATTTACTCTAGTGCTGACATAAGAAGGAGAAGTGGAGGCGTCTGGAAAGGGACGTTTGACTTTTCACCTACTTATTTTCCCTGGAGATAATATCCCCTAGGAGATGGGATGGGAGGGGGGAAATTCCTTTGAGCTGGAGCGGTAGATTAGGGGTAGAATGACTTGGAAGATGACCAATGAGTGCAGGGAAGTGGGGAACGGAAAGGGAGGGTTTTGGGTCTGGAAGCCAGTGTTGGTTTCAATGAGTCGAAGGTAGAATGTCGTGCTTAATAAATGGGAATTTTGCCTCAAAGACTTTGTTTGAAATGCAATTTACTTGAGACGACCTCGAAACCTGACACCTATAAAGAATTCAATTCTAATTCTAATAGTAATTCTAATTCTACAGCCCTCCAATCATGACTGGTCTCCCTCGAGGAGAGGACTGGGCAGGTGGGGAAAGAGAAGGAGCTGTACCTGGTGGGCAGCTACGTCTGCCTCCAGCAGGGCATGTTTCTTCTGCAGATTCTGAACATTAGTTAGGTCTTTGCCGTAATCGTCAGAAGCCAGGTGGCCTTCCACTTCGTACAGCCACAGCTCAATGTCCTCCACATTGCGGTTGAATTGCTGCTGCTGGTTGGCTTCGCACAATTTGATCCCTGGAAGGGGAGAAGGGGAAGACTTCAGAGCTCTTGCGCACTTACGAAAGGCCTTTGAGACCCCATTTTTCTTCTTGTCTTCCCTCCCTTCCTCTTTCTCCACCTTGTACCTTTCAGCTCAGTAGCTTCCAGCAGTTTTTTCCACAAGCTGAGGACTTCGTTCATGCGAACGGCCACTTCGTCTGAGGCGTAATGTTTCACGTCCATCAGGTTCTGCCCGGCTTTCTCGAGGGCATCGATGCGACTCTGGTTGGCCGAGAGCTCGGCTTCAAACGCCTGGTGTTTCTGGACCTTCCCTTGTAGGTTGGACGGGTCCTACGAAACGGAGGAGACCAGATCAATGGCAGTTGGGTTAGGTCAAGGGTCAGCCACCTGCAGCGCTGGAGCCGCATGTGGCTCTTTCACCCCTCTGCTGCGGCTCCCTATCACTCAAAATATGCGTCCCAATCGCCAATGTGTGACACCCACCAGCACATGATTTATTGAGCTTTTCAACCTCCGGTAGACTAACCATAGATAAATCCAAGACAAGAAAAGTTTCAGAAGAAAACAGAACATTGAATTCAACTACAGATGTTAGTTTTGTGACAGCACAAGAAATAGTCAGGCACGGGAGGGGTTTTGTGGCTCCCGGTGTTTTCTTTTCTGTGGGAAATGGATCAAAATGGCTCTTTGAGTGTTTAAGGTTGCAGACTCCTGGGTTAGGTCAACCTTGGGTATTCAGTATCATGGGAGACAGGGATTATAACAGTTGAACGATAGCAAAGCTGCATTCCCGAATTAGGAGGAATTGGTTCCAAAATTGTTGAAACTTCCTAACTATTAAAAGCAGGAAGCATCTCTTAATGTTGCAGGTAGTCCTCAACTTACGACCACAATCGAGCCCAACATTTCTGTTGCTAAGTGAAACATTTGTTAAGTGAGCTTTGCCCCATTTTATAACTTTCCTTGCAACCATTTTTAAGTGAATCATATTGCCGTTGTTAAGTTAGTGACACGGCTGTGAATCTGGTTTCCCATTGGCTTTGCTCGGCAGAAAGTCAAGCAAAAGGGGATCACACGTGACCCCGGGACATTGCAACCCGTCATAAATATGAATCAGATGCCAAGGATCTGAATTACGTGATCGAGGGGAGGCCGCAACAGCCATAAGTGAGAAAAAACAATCATAAGTCACTTTTTTCAGTGCCGTTGTAACTTCGAATGTCATTGTTGTTAAGTCGAGGACTATCTGTACTGTTCTTGTAAAGAGAGAAGGGACTGGATGCGTGAAGGCTGGGGAAAGAGGGATAGTTTGGCCAATTGTAGAAAAGGACTTTTGGGTGGATTCAAGAGAATAAAAGAAACCCTAGACCAGAACATTCTTTTTTTTCTGTTGGAATTCATTCTTGGAATGTATTTTTAATGCAACAACTACAATAGTATTTAGCCAGTAGATGGCAGCGTTTACAAGTTTGGATCTACGGTATATACCAGGGGGCTGCAACCTTAAACACTCAAAGAGCCATTTGGACCTGTTTCCCACAGAAAAGAAAACATCGGGAGCCACAAAACCTGGGTGGGTGTGGCCAACTCGGTGTCATTCATTTCTTCCAGTCACATGACAACCCCCCCCAGCCACACCTACCCAGCCGGTCATTAGAGCAGAGAACTGGTTGTTAAAAAACACCAGGAACCACAAAACCCTTCTGATCTCTCTCTCTCCCTCCCCCTCTCTTTCTCCCTCTCCTGCTCTCTCCCTCCCTCCCCACTCTCTGTCTCTCTCTCTCTCTCCCCCCCTCTCTCTGTATCTGTCTCTGCCCCGGCCGCTTCTCCATCCCCCTCTGTCCCCCTTACCTTCTCAGGCCAGGCAAGGAGTGACTGGTAGGGGAGGGTGAGGGGCGGAGCCAGCCAGTGGTGGGAACCCCCGACAGGGAACCACAGCAGAGGGCCCAAAGAGCCGCATGCGGCTCCGGAGCCGCAGGTTGCTGACATCCGGTATATACTCTATGCTCTTTTGGTTTAAGTAGAGTTTCCTGTTAGTTTAAAGTAGTTCAGCAGTAAAGCACATGGTGACTGTACTGTTTGCTCTGTGATGCTATAGAATTTCTAACTTTTTCTTTCTCTTTTTCTTTCTTTCTTTTTCTTTCTTTCTTCCCTTCTTTCCTTTCTTTTTCTTTCTTTCCTTTCTTTCTCTTTCTTTCTTTCCCCTCTCTCTTTCTCTCCTCTTTTTTTCTCTTCTTCTCTCTCCTTTCTCTATCTCACACACACACATCCAACAATATATATCGCATTGCAGCCACACCTTGTAAGCCTCATCCGTTGCAGTTTTCATCTTTTCATTGATCCAGCTTTTCAGCTCATCTGAGTCTCTGAAAAACTGCTGCAGGTGGAAGGAGTCGGCTAGCTGTGTTCGACGCAGCATGGCCCGTTCGTGCAAGGTGTTGCGACGGCTCAGCAGCTGGCGGAAGATAGGAACACACAAGCCTGAATCGATAGCAACAGTCCTTGAGTCCTTCTGTTTTCTTTCAATAGCAGCCTGCAGGTAATTCCTCCCCACACCCCACAAAAGATACCAAACAAAGAAAGGGCAACTAGGAAATAAGCAAGATACGAGGTTGCATTTGAAACTTACAGCATCTCTGCGGGTGGCCACGTCTTCCTTGGCATAGTGGTTATTCTGAATCAGTTTTGTTGCAAATTCATCCAGGGCCTATAAATAAAAAAGTATTTATTTACTCAAGAAACGGGATATTTTTTTCTTTTGAACGACTCCACTTATTGGAGACTCTGAAGAAATAAATAAACCTCTCATCGGCATCAAGAGGTTGTAAAATATAACGGCCAGCATGGACACAGTTGAGAAAATTAGGGTGGGTATCATCTACTTACCTTCCTTACCAGTTTGGAAGTGCACATGCCCCGCCTGCGCACACATCACATGCGCGCACATACCTTCTGTGCATGTGCAGAAGGTACTGAACACATTACTTCCTCGTTTTAATCAGTTCTCACTGGATCGGGCGATCCGGTAGCGATCCTGGCGGCTGGTTCGGCGATGCGGTAGCGATGTTGGAGTGAAGCTCCGCCCACCTGCCTGGGTGTTGTTACTTCCTGGTTTTAACCAGGTTTTAACTGGTTGTTAAAACACCCAGGCAGGTGGGCGGAGCTTCACTCCATCATCGCTACCGCATCGCCGAACCAGCCGTCAAGATCGCTACCGGATCACTCGATCCGGTGCGAACTGGGAGGATTTCACCTCTGGTGAGTATCCCTGTTTGAGTGGGTGGAGGAGGCAGGTGGAATTGTTAGTTACCACCAAAGGAATGATATGAAGCGGGTGTCAGGTTTCGATATCGTCTCAAATAAAATAAATTGCATTTCCAAACAGATAGTCTTTGAAGAAATCTTTCATTTTATTTAGCAGGACAATCTGGCCCCGATCATGGTGTAGCCAACTCTGAATTCCTGCCCCCACACCCTCCCTTTCCGTTACCCAAATCTCTGTGTCTCATTGGCCTTCTTCCAAATCACTCTCCCCATATCTACTACTTAAGCTCCCAGGAATGTCCCCCCTCCCATCTCATCTCCTAGGGGATATTATCTTCAAAGAAAATAAGTAGGTGAAATGTCAAGCGTCTTCTTGCCAGCTGCCCCCTCTTCTTCTTCTTATGTCAGCACTAGAGTAAATGCAGGTTGAAGTGCTGACAGCGGAATTATAATCATATCCTACATATCATGGACCAAAGCCAATTAAAATAAAACTGCAGTGTTTATCCTTCAGTCTGAAGAAAAGAACAATGCACAGCTATCTTGATAGCCCCAAATTTTAATCTCAGCTGATATACATCTCACTTCCTTAGACACGAGAGCCACACAGGTGACCTGGGGCCAAAGGCATTTTTTTCAGCCCAACCCACCTCATACAGTTGTTATGGTGAGAAAATAAAAGAGTGTCTTATTTCTGCTGCCTTGAAGAGTATAAAACAGTGGTGAAATTCAAAAATTTTCCCTACTGGTTCTGTGGGTGTGGCTTGGTGGTCATGTGACAGGGTGGCATGGCTTGGTGATCATGTGACCGGGAAAACCAACTGTCACACTTGACACAAAAATAACACAAAAGCTACACAACTGACTTACACACAATGCAAAAGCAACTGGACTTCACACAAAATGGCCCGTGCAACAAGCAGGAATCTCACAGAGTCACAGAGAGCTCAAAAACCAACTATCAGACTTTACGGTTGGGGCAACAGGTAGTAAAAAAAAAATGCTTTAAAAAGTAAAAAAAAAAGTTCCGAGGATCGCGCAACACAGCTGATTGTCACAGCTGATTTTTTTTTTTTTTTTGCTTTAATTTATATGCCGCCCTTCTCCGGAGACTCAGGGCGGCTTACAATGCGTTAAGCAATAGCCTTCATTCTTTTGTATATTTATACAAAGTCATCTTATTGCCCCCACAAACTGGGTCCTCAATTCACCTACCTTAGAAAGGATGGAAGGCTGAGTCAACCTTGAGCCTGGCGAGATTTGAACTTGCAGTAATTGCAAGCAGATGTTAATAACAGTGCTTTAGTCCACTGTACTACAGGAACCTTTTTTTTTTTTTTTTACTTTTTAAAGCAATTTTTACTACAGGTTCTGGTGAACCAGTAGCATTTTCACTACCGCCCCAACCGGTAGCATTTCACTCCTGGTACAAAACCAAGGTGGGTTATAAGTCCCCACCTTAAATACCTAATCAAGCGTGCGGCTGTTTGCAAAACCAAGCAGGGTTATCTTTCAGAACTGTCAAGTGGCAAGTTCTGATGAATAATTTAATTGGCTTAATGACCTGGAACTAATTATAGAGGCTATCTTCCAATGGGGCTAACCCATGAAAATGTGGGCCATGTAACCAGGGATAGCTTAGCTTGATTAGTGAAGGCTTTAAAAAAGTAACTGATGGTGTAATCTTCCATTCTAGGGAATTTAAATTGGATAGGTTCTCAAATAACAAGAGCCTGTAGTACAGTGGACTAAAGCACTGTTACTAACAACTGCTGCCTGCAATTACTGCAAGTTCAAATCTCACCAGGCTCAAGGTTGACTCAGCCTTCCATCCTTTCTAAGGTAGGTAAAATGAGGACCCAGATTGTGGGGGCAATAAGCTGGCTTTGTATAAATATACAAAAGGATGAAGGCTATTGCTTAATGCATTGTAAGCCGCCCTGAGTCTCCAGAGAAGGGCGGCATATAAATTAAAGCAAAAAAATAAATAAATATGTGGCTGTAACCAGCCAGTCCCAGAGGAGATCAACCCTGACTGACTGCTCTTTAGAAGGCCAGATCCTGAAGAGGAAACTCAGATCCTTTGGCCACCTAATGAGAAGGAAGGACGGACTCCCTGGAGAAGAGCCTAATGCTGGGAATGATGGAGGGCAAAAGAAGAAGAAGGAGATGGCAGAGAACGAGGTGGCTGGATGGAGTCACTGAAGCAGTCGGCGTGAGCTTAAAAGGACTCCAGAGGATGGTAGAGGACAGGAAGGCCTGGAGGAATGTTGTCCATGGGGTTGCGATGGGTCGGACATGACTTCGCAACTAACAACAACACACTACAGCAAAACGGTGGGTGTGTGTGTGTGTGTGTTGCTAAGTGTTTTGTTTTTTTTAAGTAATTTTTTAAAAAAATCAAGTGGTATGAGGACCAGTTGTTGCTCACCACTCCAGGGAAATACATCAACCCAAAAATGGCTTACCGTGATTTTCTCTTCTTGGGCGCTAAGTGACTTCTCAAAATCTTCGTGCTTCTTCAGCAGGGCCTCCACGCTGTCCAAAGAGTCCCCAAGATCTTCATTGAGCAAGAAGGCCTAGAAAAGAAAAGACAACAGGACGTCAGAAAGGGCCAGATTTAGCAAAGTCTACAAAGTGCCACTGTGGAAGACGGACAAGAGAAAGGCTGTTTGGGTAGAAGGCAGAATATCCTGGTGGAACAGAGGAGACACAAGATCTGGAGATGGTCATCAGAGCCACCGGAGTTTTGAAAAAGAAGCAGGAAGAAAAGATGACCCCGTGTGAAAGGAAGTCACTTAAGGATGCCAGGCCTGCAAAAGCTAGCAGACTGGCCAAGTTATGTTCACCCGCAACACCTCAGAACCTGCCCCAGCCTGATTCTCTTATAAAAGAAAGACCCTCGACTCCGTTTGGTTGAAGTGATAGGTCCTTTTATTAAAAGATGTTGGTTGCAGCAGTGTGAGGCTACAACTGAATTTCCCGCGTTCAAAAGATACGAGTGTTTCTCTACATCCCAGCCATGACCAGTCCGTCTTCGCCAATATGAGTCTGCCTAAGTCAGTGATGGCTAACCTTTTTGCTATCACCTGCCAAAAGTTGGGAGTGTGGGGGAATCACGCGTGTGTATGCCCACACCCATAATTCAATGCCTCCCTGCACCCCGCGCATGTTTAGCTTAGTTTATTTGATTTATATACCGCCCTACTCCCGAAGGACTCAGGGCGGTGAACAGCCACAAGATAAAAACACATAAATACAAAATTTAAAAACAGAATAAAACCGAATTAAACAATTTGGCCGAAGACAGATTTAAAACACCCCAATGAATTAAAACCAATTAAAATTTGTGTTTTAAAAGGGAAAAAGGGAAAAATTAGGCCAGGCCAGCTTGATGGAATAAAAAGGTTTTAAGAGCACAGCGGAAGGTGCATAGATCTGGGATCCTCCGTATCTCCGGGGGGAGCTCATTCCAGATAGTAGGTGCCCCCACAGAGAAGGCTCTCCCCCTGGGGGCCGCCAGTCGACATTGTTTGGCCGACGGCACCCTGAGGAGCCCCTCTCTATGAGACCGTACCGGCTGGTGGGAGGCTACTGGTGGCAGCAGGCGGTCCCATAGATAACCCGGTCCTAAGCCATGGAGGTCGTAACCAGGACCTTGAAGCGCACACGGAAGACCACCGGGAGCCAGTGCAGCTCGCGCAGGAGAGGTGTTACATGGGAATGCCATGTCGCTCCCATAACCACCCATGCGGCCGCACTCTGCGCCAGCTGGAGCCTCCGGGTGCTCCTCAAGGGGAGCCCCATCTAGAGAGCGTTGCAGTAGTCCAGGCGGGAAGTGACGAGGGCATGAGTGACCGTGCGTAACAAGTCCCGATCCAGAAAGGGACGCATGTGCACGCGACCCCCCCCACACTCCCCCCCGCTTTTGTCACGTGATGGCAAAAAGGTTACCGGTGGGACCAGTGGGCCTGTTTTTCGCCCTCCCCAGGCTCCAGAGGCTTTCTTGGAGCCTGGGGAGGGCGAAAACGGCCTCCCCCACCCCCCTGGAGGCCCTCTGGAGGCCAGAAACAGCCCATTTCCCAACTTCTGGTGGCCGCAGAAGGCCCGAAAATCAGCTGGCCGGCGCATGCATGCGCGCTGGAGCTGAGCTACGGCAACACTCGTGTGCCCACAGATATGGCTCTGAGTGCCACCTGTGGCACACGTGAGATAGGTTCGCCATCACAGGCCTAGGTGTTTTGAGAATGCTGAGTGGCCCCTAAACCTTTTGGGCCCCAGGGACTGGTTCCATGAAACTTTTTTTCCATGGGTCGGAGGGGGCATGGTTTCACATGCTGCCTGCGTCCTTCCTATGGATGGGGCTTTGCTTGTTTGCGCGACCTAGGTGCTGGCATGCTGCACACCGGTGCCGGTCCCTGAACTGGGGGTCGGGGACCCCTGGTTTCGGGTAATCCATATTCATTCTCAGGGTGCACAGCACAAACTGGTTCCGAGCTCTCCTGCTCTTCGTCAAGCTGTCATTCCCCCTCCCAACTTCCCATCACATATTGCCCATTTGTTTCCTCTCCTAGCCTTTGATGGCAGGATGGCGGCAAGGCGCCAAGCTGAAGCTGACAGATCTGTCCACTCACCTCTTGTTTGCTCATCCAATTGTCCACCTGCTCGGTGTCCCGGTAGAAAAGCTGCAGGTCCATGCATTGCTCGTACTGCTGCCGACGAAGCTCCCAGAGTTCCAGCAGGGCTGTTCTTTCCTCGGAGAGGATGGTCAGCTGAGAGGAAAAGGGAGAAACCATCTGGACGTCAGAGGCTAGCAGTCACAACAAAGAGTGGTTCCACACATTCTTGAGAATGGGGTTGATCTGGAAAATCTTATTTGCCTATTAGAATAGAATGACTGAGTTGGAAGAGACCTTGGAGGTCTTCTAGTCCAACCCCCTGCTTAGGCAGGAAACCCTACACCACTTCAGACAAATGGTTATCCAACATCTTCTTAAAAACTTCCAGTGGTGAGCATTTACAACTTCTGGAGGCAAGTTGTTCCACGGATTAATTGTTCTAACTGTCAGGAAGTTTCTCCTTAGTTCTAAGTTGCTTCTCTCCTCGATTAGTTTCCACCCATCGCTTCTTCTTCTACCCTCAGGTGCTTTGGAGAATAGCTGGACTCCCTCTTCTTTGTGGCAGCCCCTGAGATATTGGAAGACTGCTATCATGTCTCTTCTAGTCCTTCTTTTCATAAGACTACAAATACCCAGTTCCAGCAACCATTCTTCATATGCTTTATCCTCAAGTCCCCTAATCATTTTTGTTGCTCTTCTCTGCACTCTTTCTAGAGTCTCCATGTCTTTTTTACATTGTGGCAACCAAAATTGGATGCCGTATTCCAAGTGTGGCCTTACCAAGGCCTTATAAAGTGGTATTAACACTTCACATGATCTTGATTCCATCCCTCTGGTAACACAGCCTAGAACTGTGTTGGCTTTTTCGGCAGGTGCTGCACACGGCTGGCTCATATTTAAGTGATTGTCCACTAGGACTCCAAGATCCCTCTCACAGTCACCACTATTGAGCAAGGTACCACATATACTGTCCCTGTGCATTTTGTTCCTGGTTTAGGAGTGGCAATTAGATTGTTAAAATGTCAACCCTGAAGCTGACCTGACCGAAGTCATATTGGAGTTTCAGTGTTGCCACACAGGAGCAGAGAGAAAGGGAGGAGGGATTAGAGATAGAGGGCTTTGTGTAGCCAAAACAAAATACTTTCTCTTGAGAAGCAAGGTCATTCTCACACATGGACCGTGGAAGGAGGAGTGAGGTCACCAGACGACCAGACAGTGTCTTGATTGGACCGTGTGACTGACTGATTGGGGTTTATTGGAAAACTTTCTCTTTTAATAGGGGGAAACCGTGGGAATCTTTAGAGTCGGTTTGCATTAGATCTGTGCCAATATATTTCTAATAAAGCTATTCTTTGAGGAATCTACCTGTCTCGGAGTTTTGCTTGATGTTGGAACTATTACTTGGAACCCTGACATAATCAAGCCAATTTGAGGAGGGGGAACTGGTCAAAATACTTTCCTGAGAGGAGAGGAAGAAATAATGTGGATCCCCCCCCCACCCGGGCTCTAAATACCCCCTCTTTCTCCTTCACTTTCTTGCTGGCGGTCAAGTTGGTTACCTTTTCCTTCACTTCATCAGACGCATAATGTCCGGCAGCAAGCAGGGCTTGTCCAGAGTCGTCCGCGGATTTAAAGCTGTCTTCGTGAGCGTCGATTTCTCCCTGCAGCCAAATAACAGTCAAGGACAATGGTCACATTGTCGAGCCACACAGAAACAAAACACCCACACCCACAAATGCACACAGGAGTGTCTTTTCAGCAGAGCGGACGACGCATCCGATAACGATCAGGCTGTCAGGCCTGGAAGCCATCTTTTGCATTGGGCCTTCAGGCCTGCCACATTGACTGCTGTGGGAAACGGGGAGGGGGGATTGTATGGAGCAGGGGTGATATATACCGTATTTTTCGGAGTATAAGACGCACCTCTTTGCCCCCTAAAAGGGAGTGAAAATTTAGGTGCGTCTTATACACCAAATGTAGCCCTGCCCACCCACTGGCCCCCACCCTTTGGCCTCTGCCTCGCAGCAGTTACCTCCTTGCAAGCAAACAGCAAGAAAAAACAGCTCCTTTCAGCTTCAGCACAGCCTAATTAGCACAAGTTGATTAGATTGGCCTCCCGACTCTCAGCTAATTTGCTCTCAGCTGTTTTGCCCAGGGCTCTGCAGCTTGCTGCAAAGAGGTAAATTGCTGGAGCAGATTTGTTTTTCCTTGTGCTAATCAAGCTATGCTGAAAACGAAAATGAAAGTAAAGCAGGCTGTTTGCTGCAACATGGCAAAATTAGGCAGAGGCAGATTTCTTTTTCTTCTTTTTCCTCACCCAAAAAGGTAGGTCCAAACAATGGGAAATTTAGGCCAAAAGAGGAGAGTTCAAGATTTTAAAACCCAAAAGAAAAAAAGGAGAAAGAAAAAGGCAAAGATAAAAATGGGAAGGGAGAAAAGGAAATGAAAGAGAAAGATGTTACACATATTTAGAATTGAAATATGAATAGTAGGATAAAAGTGGTCCCTTCCACCACTGTTAATCTGTTAAAAGATTTAGAGAGCAGCTCTTAAGGCAAGTTTGTCAACTCAAGGACCTTGCTGTCAGGCCTAGAAGCCATCTTTCTCCCTGCATCTTCAAGCCTGCCACATTTCCTACTGTGGGAAATGGGAGGGGGGATTGTATGGCGCCAAGGTGATATATAGTCATGATAACATTCCTTTCTCGGAGTCAAGGACGTCTTGCCCTGCACCTGGAAGGCTGGAACTGGGAGGGATCTTCAACTGGGATGGTCTATTGATTGGATCACGTGATGGACATGTGGGTATTGGGCAGGGACTTGGACTTTCCTTTGGGTGGGGAAAACCTGGAAGCTTCCAGATTCGGGTTTTCCCGGATGTCCCAATATGACATCTCTAATGAAATGGAACTTTGAGGAACTTCAAGCCTCGGAGTTTTCTTTCTTTTGTTGGGGGTGTTGCTTGGAATCCTGACACAGGCAGAGTTCTCAAGGCCAAAATGTATCTGAGAGGACCAAGGAAGGCCTTGGTGGCCCATCCATAAACTCAATTCAAGACAAAATGCAGCAGCTTGGCACTTGACATCCAGTTTTGTCAAGGTTCTGCTTTTAAGGGGAAGGGAGCTGACATGCCAGCTGGATGGATTCCTGGGAAGCCACTGCCAGTTGCTCTCCATCAGGCTGGCTAAAGGGTATCTGTGGTTCAACCTGCTATCAAGCTTCTGTTCAGTCTCCCAGGAAAAGGCCCATGGCGGTCCTCTTTACCTTATGTTCCTGGTGTCTATCCAGCAGGGCCTCCGCTCCCGCTACATCGTTGGCAAGCTCGTCAGCATTAATTAGCGCTTTCATTTCAGTCACCCAGCTGGTTAAATCCCGAAAATCGGCCAGGAATCGCTGCAGTCTTCGGGTGACGAGAGAAGGCAGAAGAAAAGAAACAGCGTTGTACATGAATCCAAGCTTCTCCATCCAGGGTGGATTTGATTTAAATCAAGTCGATTTAAATCATGATTTAAATCACTAGTGATAAAGGCTTGATTTAAATCAGCTCGATTTAAATCGTAATTTTTAAAGTTTAAGTTTGAACTTAAATTTTTAAACTGTCATCTCTGTCCCGCAGCAGCTCCTCTTCTGACCCGCTGTTGACTTACTGAACAATCCCAATATTGCAGAATATACAGCCTCCTCATGCTACATAAGTAAGCTCCATTTCATGAATAAACTAAATTATGAATGTATCTTACAGTAGTGGCCAAAATTGTGGAAACCTTTTGGGAAAAGTGTATTTTCTAAAACTAACTAATAACATCACTTTTTTTTTTTTTTGGAGTAGTACCATCAAATTATATATCAATGGAAAGAGAATTTAATCAAGAACGTAATGCAATAACTTTTAGGAAGGATTTGCTATTAGAATAGCAGTTACATTATAAAGAAGAAAAGTGAAACACATAGAAAAAAGGAGATATACAAAAATTATCACCATAGAAAAAATGAGATATGCAAAAATGATCAGTTAATATTTAGTTGGGTAACCTTTAGCATTAATTATGACCTTACAATGTCTTCCCATGGAGCGAGCCATGTCTTTTAATTCTGCAGCTATTATAAATGTGAAACGAAGATTTAATTATTGCTTCTATTAACTGGGTTTTATTGCTGGGTCGCTTCTGACTAACAAGTTTCTTTAGTTGGCTCCATAGATTGTCAATTGGGTGAAGGTCTGGGCTATTCCAGCAGTGGAATAGGATTATCTTGAAATGCCCCCCCCCCAAAAAAGTGGAGTTATTAGCCATCAAACCTCAAAAATAGACTTTTCCCAAAAGGTTTCCACAATTTTGGCCACTATTGTAAATAGAAAACTATCTTTAGATATCTAAATTTTTAGATAAGATTTTTACTCCAAAAAGCATTATATTAAAATAAATAAATCCAATTTTTTTTTAATTTAAAAAAGAAGTCATCGATTTTTATCCATCCTCTCTCCATCCGTCACTCTAGGTTCAAGTTTCTGCATTGCCTGCCTGCTGAACTTGGTCACAACTGAAAACTTTCTCCCTCTTTCCTGTTTTCTGCTCCATAGCAAGCGTCATTTCTTGTCATGTTTTCTTGCTTGGAGTTGGAAAAGAATCTTTCTTTATGAGCATTATAGCATCGTACCGGTAGGAGTCGTTCAGACGTGCGTGTCTCTCAGCAGCCCGGGTGCGAATCTGCTCCCAGTTTGCAATCAGTTCCTCTCGCTTCACGTGGATCTGAGAAGCGTTGAGAGGGTGGGACTCCTGCAGTCGGTCAGCCTCTGCGCACAGAGCCTTCACCTAAACACCGCAGAGAAACGTAGATTAACACCAGAGCAATAGAAACTGGGGGGGGAAAGGAAGAATCAAATTCTTGTAACAAGAATGTTACGAACACTGTGCCAAACTCTTAAAAATGCATCTGTATTCTATACGAATATCATCATCACCTTTTAATGGCCCCATAATCCCTTGCGGGGTGGAATCTGGGCAACTGAATGGAGCTGTGGGGTTTACTGGCCGGATGCCCTTCCTGTCACCAATGCAGAGTTTTTTTTCCCCAACAGATAAAATTCTCATTGTGCCCCAGAAAAAAATATCTGCCTCTACCTAGGATGGAATTCACAGCCTCCTGATTGTGAGACGAGAGTTTCCACCTCTAGGCTACCGCACCACTCTATTCTTTACGAATATACTGGAAATAAATTAAGGCTACGGCTGTAACTGGGCAAATATGATTACAACATGACAGGTGTTTGGAGATTTTTCTCAAAAAAAGTTTTTCTTTTGTCACTGAAACTGGATTTTGACAACTGCAAAAAAAAAGGGGGGGGGGGTTAGCAAGAATTGATTTAATTGATTCAAAGAGCCTTTCGTTCAGTATGGACACAAATCCTTGCAGTTCTTCTGTGAAATTCTTTCAGGTGATTGAAAACAAAACCAAGGCTTTAAAAAAGGATCCGCTCGGGCCAGGGGTGCCTCGTCAACCCCTCACCAACCCATTCCCAGCGACACCCACCTTGTCTTCCAAAGCGGCCAGGTCTCTCTCCAAGCCCTCATGTTTGCGTAACAAAGCCTGCACGCTCGCAAGGTCCCTTCCGAAATCATCCGAAGCCATCAGCTGCTCTTTCTCCTTAATCCAACTTATCGTTTCGTCCACATCTCTGTAAATATAGACCAGCATCAAAGTAGGGCCTTTCCCACACCTTCTCTGGTTTTGGATGGATGGATGGATGGATGGATGGAAGGAAGGAAGGAAGGAAGGAAGGAAGGAAGGAAGGAAGGAAGGGAGGAAAGGAAGGATGCAGGCAACAAAAGTTATAGTCCCTCCGTGGCTTTATTTATATATCCCGAGAAAGGACTTTATGAGGGAGACACAGAAGGGGATAAACTCATCTCTGGTTACTGTTACTTTTTCCAACACCTGCAGTGGTTCACTTTATGAAACATATAAAGAACGGTTGCTGGAATTGGGTATGTCTAGTTTGATGAAGAGAAGGACTAGGGGAGACATGATAGCAGCCTTCCAATATCTCAGGGGCTGCCCCAAAGAAGAGGGAGTCAAGCTATTCTCCAAAGCACCTGAAGGCAGGATAAGAAGCAACGGGTGGAAACTAATCAAGGAGAGAAGCAACTTAGAACTAAGGAGAAATTTCCTGACAGTGAGAACAATTAACAAGTGGAACAACTTGCCACTAGAAGTTATAAATGTTCCAATACTGGAAGTCTGTAAGAAGAGATTGGATAACCATTTGTCTGAAATGCTATAGGTGTCAGGGTTTGAAGTAATACCCCCAATGAAAGAAAACTCCGAGGCTTGAGTTTCCTCAAAGTTACGTTTTATTAGAGATGTCATATTGGCACATCTGGGAAAACCCGAATCTGGAAGTTTCCAGGTTTTCCCCACCCAAAGAAAAGTTCAAGTCCCTGCCCAGCACCCACAAATCCATCACATGGTCCAATCAGACATCGTCCCAACTGGAGATGCCTCCCAGCTCCAGCCTTCCAGGTGCAGGGCAAGACGTCCTTGACTCTCTGAGAAAGGAATGTTATTATGACTATATATCACCCGTACTCCACGCAATCCCCCCTCCCAGTTTCCCACAGTTGTAAATATGGCAGGTCTGAAGGCCTAATACAAACTATGGCTTCCAGGCCTGACAGGCCAGCCCACACGCACGTCATAAAAGGAGAGGTGGTTAGTGTGCTGAATATAAGGCAGTGATGGCTAACCTTTTTGCCATCGTGTGCCAAAAATGGGAGGAGCCCCGGGGAGAGTCATGCAAAACCGTTTTCGCCCTCCCCAGGCTCCTAGAAAGGCTCTGGAGCCTGGGGAGAGCGAAAAACGGGCCTTCTCCACTCCCCAACAGGCCCTCCGGAGGCAGGAAACAGCCTGTTTCCCTACTTCTGGTGGGCCCAGAAGGCCCGAAAATCAACTGGCTGGCACGCGCATGCATGTTGGAGCTGAACTCACGTGCCCACTGATATGGCTCTGCGTGCATAGGTTTGCTATCACGGATATAGGGTTTCCTGCCTAAGCAGAGGGTTGGACTAGAAGACCTCCAAGCTCCCTTCCAACTCTATTATTTTATTCTATTTTATTCTATTCTAAAGTTTTTGTGTAAAAACTCAGGCAGACGGACGTTTTTAATTGTGTTGACCCAACCGGTCAAGCTGATACCTGTTAAAACGCTGCACCTCAGCGGCTCCGAAGAGCTTGCCCTGCCTCTGAAGGGCCAGTCCTTTCAGCCGCTGCCAGCTTGTGTTGACTTCATCCTGCTTGGACTTAATCAGCTCCTCTTCCGGGTGCTGTTCCTAGAAAGGGGAGAACAGCAATTCCGTTCTATATACGATGCACAATGACAACAAAGGCTATACTAAGAGAGAATCTATCAGAGTACGAACACGCATAGACTGGAATAGGCATAGCAACAGATCAGCCAATGGGGACTGTTTGGAAACTGAAACAGAGTATTTGTTTGCATGGGGCCATAAGAGACAGTTTAGAGCCTGGCGTGGCTTAGACTTGCTGAACTGTATATAAGAGTGTCAGGTTTCGATGCTATCTCAAAATAAATGAATTTCCAAACTGCCGATCTTTAAGGAAATTTTCTCTTTATTCGAGCAGAGCAATCTGATCCTGACTCTTTTGCGGTCAGTACTGACCTTTGCCCCCCAATCCCTCCCTTTCCGATCCCCAATTCTCTGCTTCTCATTGGCTATCTTCCAAGTCACTTTCCTGATTCCTTCTTCGTCAGATCACAGGAATGTCTCCCCCCCTCCCCATCTCCGAGGAGACAGAATCTTCAAAGGGATTTAGCAGGCAAAAGTTCAGGCTTCTCCCCTCTTTATTATATGTCAGTGCTGGGATGCTGACGAAGAGTTGGTTTGGCCTCTTAATGGGAGCCTCTGTACAATATATTAGCCTCTGTATCTCTCAGTAATGACTTACTTCTAGGAATATTGCGCCTGTGTTCCTGATACTGTATGCTGACTTCTGCCATATGGTATTGTACATAAGGAAGTTTCTTATACATAATTGAATCCTGCTGAAGTTCATTTACTTGTGTGCTGGTCGGATGTGCTGCAACAAAACTCTTGACAGAATCTTTGGGTGATGCTTGATTTCAAAGCAACGGCTACCCTTTTGCACCCAAACTCAATCCTTCCACAAAAGGGGTATTTTTTATGGGATTATACCAGAATTTGTTGCACCTTCGATCCTAAAATGTCCTAAAATGTTTTGGACTTGGTGTCAACTGTCCAACGAGCGAACCCAAAATAAGGAAACTCTCTCGCGAGTTTTGAATTCCCAAAAGTAAAACTTTACCGGATACGCCATGTTGGTACTGAAGAAAACAAAAGCAGCTTTGGTTTTTCCCACGCAAAGGCTTGCCTAGTTAAACAATGGCTTCCTTCCCCACCCCTGAGTGATCACATTGTCTGATTAGGGGACGTCCATTTGTTATGGGAACAGTCCATCTTTTTCTCCAACACCCGCAGTGGTGACCTTTGATGGTTTCCAGGCTCTCACGATCTCCGCATACATTCTCGGCATTCCATTTCCCCTCTTCCCTCCCCTCCAGTCCATTGGCAAGTTGAAAACCATTAAGGTTTGAAAGAAGCACAGCGGTTCAGTCGTGCCACTTGGTCACAGAGATAGTATCAGCTCTGGAACCATTCCCTCCCCCTCAGTTTGTGTTCTCTACCTGCCTGGATTCAAACCCTTAAATCCTTAACATGCAGGAGAACAGAAGCCTAGCACCTGCCACGCTGAGGGAGGCTGCCTTAAATCCCATTCAGAGGTCAGGAAACACCAATTTTTTTAAAATTTTTATTGTGAGAAGGCAATCCTAAAAGGACACAGAAAAATGGCCATGATCCAATGAGGTATTTCCGAAGTCTCTGGAGCAATGGCAAAAAAGAAGCTAAGGAGCTCCCTGTTCCTTAGGACTGATGGAAAGCAGAATGGATGGAAAATATTGACGCAGGGCAGGGCAGGGCATGCTTACTGGGCGAAAAACCCAGCCCTAACTGGAATAAGCACGCTCTGCATGGTTACAAGTGCGCTATAAATATTTCACATTGGGATTGGAAGTGTGAGGGGTTTCAAATTCCTAGATTGCTAACAAGAACACATTCTGAGTGGTTTATAAAAGAAGTTGAACGCCCTACCTGGAATTAAGTCATGGAAATATAGCTTGCATTATGCAACGTCGAGCAAATATAAAAGGAAAAATTCTATAAGAAACCATTAACCAAAGAGATGGAAAAAAAAGCTAAAACATGCAAACTGATTTCATGCAATCTTAAACACCTGACAAAGCCAGAATATAAATAATGTGTATTTATAATATAAATAAATTAAATAATATAATATAAATAAATTAAAAATAATGTTATTATTTTTAAAAAGGATATACTAGCCCATAAGGGCTAGTTCATAGTTTGATTCATTGGTATGCTCCCATAGAGAGGGGCTCCTCTGGGTGCCGTCGGCCAAACAATGTCGACTGGCGGCCCCTAGGGGGAGAGCCTTCTCTGTGGGGGCGCCTACGATCTGGAATGAGCTCCCCCCAGAGATACGGAGGATCCCGGATCTGCGCACCTTCCGTCATGCGCTTAAGACTTTTTTATTTCATCAAGCTGGCCTGGCCTAAATCTTCTCCCCTTTTTAAATGTAAATTTTAAGAGAGATACGCACGATATCAGACCTCCGGACTTTTCGTCGGGCCCTGAAGACACACTTGTTCCATCTAGCTGGGCTGGCTTGATCCCATCCTCTCAGTTTTTTAATCGAATTTCGGTTTTAATTGGGTTGTTTTAAATTCGGGCCAAAATTTATTTAATTGTTTTTTAAAATGTTTTTAAATCTTATATGCTATGTTTTATCCTGGCTGTACACCACCCTGAGTCCCGCAGGAGAAGGGTGGTATAGAAATATAATAAAATAAATAAAATAAAATAATAAATAATTTGTTTTAAATTATGGGGTATTTTAAATTCAGCCAAGTTATTTAATTCGTTTTTAATTCATTTTAAATTTTTGTATTTATGTGTTTTATCTTGTGGCTGTTCACCGCCCTGAGTCCTTCGGGAGAAGGGCGGTATAGAAATTTAATATAATAAAATAAATAAATAAATAAAATTGGTATGAATCAGTTTATCCACAAAGTGAAGAAAGACAATCCCCACCCAACTATTAAAAGGTTGTATCACAGGAAAGGAAAAGTTTGTGCAGCTAACACAACGTATCTCCAGCCAGAATTGTTTTTTCTTTAATTATCTTGTCAGCAAAGGCCATTTGCATTCCACATTAAAATTTCAGGGAGGTGTGGGAAGAGGAAAGCCCGACGGACACCCAGGGCCGCAGGGTCTAAGCAGCCCATCCATGCCAACGGCTCCCCCGCAATTACTTACCTGAATCAACTTGCTGGCAAACTGGTTGACTTCGTTCACCCTCTCCTCGTGGGCGGCCAAGTCCGTCTGGAACTCTTCGAACTTCTTCTGCAACACCTCCACGTGCTCGAGGTCCTGGCCCAGCTCCTCCGAGGTTACAATGGCCTCCTAGGAACGACAACAACAACGAAAGCTCGGTCAGCGTGGGACCCTAGGCCTACGGTCACACAAAAAAATAAATGGTTGAGAGCACATCACGCAGCCGATGATGCTCGAGTAAAAGTGAAGAAAAGTGCGAGTGAGGAGGATGCTAATGAAACGTCCATTTGGAAATACCTTAAAGACGAGTAACACCTTTATTGTTCTTATTTAAGTATCTGTGTGCCTCTTTTATTGTTTGTTTTTTTTTTGCTTTGATTTATATGCCGCCCTTCTCCAGACTCAGGGCGGCTTACACTGCGTTAAGCAATAGCCTTCATTCTTTTGTATATTTTATACAAAGTCAGCTTATTGCTCCCACAAACTGGGTCCTCATTTTGCCTACCTTAGAAAGGATGGAAGGCTGAGTCAACCTTGAGCCTGGTAGGATTCGAACCTGCACTAATTGCAGGCAGCTGTGTTAATAACAGGGTGCTTTAGACCACTGTACTACCAAGGCTCTTTATTCTTTATTCTGCTCTTTTATTCTTAAGTATTAAATGCACGAAATAATAAACTACCTTTTGGTATATCTTTTTTTTGTAGGTCATGACGGCAAAGAAGTGACGTCGACTTGGCCACGCCCACCCAATCACACACACACACACCCAGTCACATGATCGCCAAGCCACGCCCACAGAACCAGTAGTAAATTTTTTTGAATCTCTGCCCTGGTCAGCAGGCGAGGAGAGGAACGGAACCAGAATAGCTGGTCCATGAGGGCATCTAGTCCAGCCCCCTGCTCAAACAGGAGAACCTATACCATTTTAACCTTCACCATTCTGTATGGGGTTGTTGCATGCTTATTTTGTGGGCGTGGCTTGGTGGGGGTTAATGTGACTGGGTGGGCGTGGCCAACTTTTTTTTTTTTTACTTTTACTTTTAAAAGCATTTTTTCTACAACCTTAAGAGGTTGCAGAAAAAAATGCTTTGAAAAGCCTCTGAAGATCAGGCAACTAAGCTGGGATCGTCAGAGGCTTTTAAAGGCATTTCTTTTCCTACAACCTCTTCGGTCGAAGAGGTTGCAGAAAAAAATGCTTTTAGAAGCCTCTGACGATCCCAGCTGAGCCGCACGATCATCAGAGGCTTTTTTTTTTTTTTGCTTTTAAAAGCATTTTTTCGGCCGAAGAGGTTGTAGAAAAAAATTCTTTTAAAAGTTAAAAAAAAAAAGAAGCCTCTGATGAGGTGGGAGGGGTAAGCGAGCGGCGACCGGGCCAAGGACCTGTTTGGGGGCGTGACCAGCCAATGTTATTACCGGTTCTCCGAACTATTATAAATTTTTACTACCAATTCTTGCAAACTGGTGCAAACCGGGAGCAACCCACCATTGGTCTATTGTGATATGGCCCCCGCAAAGAACGCCCTCCCCCACCCCAATGATAATTCAATCTCAAGCTCCCACTAGGCCTTCAAGGTTAAAAAAACAACAACAACTATGTCCAGGAAGGGCTGTTGATGCCGAGACCTTGTCATTGATCCAATCCAACACATCTCCGCATTCTCGTAAGTATTGCACCAACTTCTGGGCATGGAACAGCCTGACCCCTTTCTCTCGCATCTTCTCCAGAAGCAGTTCCCACATCCGGTGAAGCTCCTGCAGTCGACTCTGGGAAAGAAGAAGAACGACAATGATTCAACTTAGACCCCTCAAAAAAGGTGCTCATATGAACCGATTTAACATGAATATATATTTTTTTTACTTCCAGCTGAGTTGTACAGATTCCCAGTAAGCAAAATAGTAGTAATGGTGGTAGCACTTAAGGCTTATATTCTGCTTCATGGTGCTTTGCCGTCTCTAAGCGGTTTACAGAGTCAGCATATTGCCCCCAACAATCTGGGTTCCTCATTTTACCCACCTCGGAAGGATGGAAGGCTGAGTCAACCTTGAGCTGGTCAGGATCGAACTGATGGCAATGGGCAGAGTTAAGCCTGCAATACTGCATTTTAATCACTGTGCCATCACGGCTCTTAGAGATAGAGTTAGAGATAGGATAGGTAGATGATAAACAGACATAAAAATAGATAGAAATAGCACTTAGACACATCTTCATAATGCTTCACAGCTCTCTCTAAGTGGTTTACAGAGTCAGCAAATTGCCCCCAACAATCTGGGTGCTCATTTTACCGACCTCAGAAGGATGGAAGGCTGAGTCAACCTTGAGCTGGTCAGGATCAAACTGCTGGCAGTGGGCACTGTTAACCTGCAATACTGCATTTTAATCACTGTGCCACCATGATAGATAGATATTATTTATTTATTTTATTTTATTTATATACCGCCCTTCTCCCGAGGGACTCAGGGCGGTGAACAGCCATAATAAAAGCAATGTACAAAAATAGAATTTAAAAGCAGATTAAAATAATTAAATCATAGGCCGAATTTAAAACTCTCATTTTAAAACCAATTTTAAAACCCCATTAAAACCAAATTAAAATCATTTATCCCATCAGATATCTATCTCAGATAGATAGATAGATAGATAGATAGATAGATAGATAGATATCTTAGATAGACAGATAGATAGATATAGATAGATACCGTGTTTCCCCAAAAATAAGACCCTGTCTTATATTTTTCTTAACCCTGAAATAAGCGCTTGGCCTTATTGCCATGCGCTCAAAGCCTGATTGGGCTTATTATCAGGGGAGGTCTTATTTTGGGGGAAACAGGGTAGATTGATGGATGGACGGATGGACGGATGGACGGACGGATAGAAGACAGACAGACATAGCAATAGCACTTTACAGATTCAGCCTATTGCCCCTAACAATCTGGCTCCTCATTTTATCGACTGCAGACGGATGGAAGGCTGAGTCAACCTTGAGCCCATCAGGATCGAACCGCCTGGCAGCCAGCAGTCAGCAGAATTAACCTGCAGTACTGCATTCTAACCACTGCGCCACCACAGACAGCTCAGTGCTCACCAAATGCCGCGAGGCAGCTCTACGGCCTGAATTCAGAATTTTACGAAGGGAACCAAAATATTGGCCAAGTCAATTAGGCTCTAATGGAAGGTGAAGAGAGAGGGGTGGGGGTTGGGGGACAGGGAAAAAACATACCGTCCATCAAGCAAACACTTGCAAAAACAAGGCAAACACCCCCCTCCCCCTTTTCTACTTGGCAACAGTCCTTCTGTTCTGGAAACATCAGTTAAAGCCAGATTAGAGAGGCCTCTCTCAAATACAGGCAGGCCTGTTGAAAATTACAGTTATATACTTTTGTACGTCGTCACAGTAAATTGCTCAAAGGGGAAACACAACAGAGTCGGAAGGGACCTCGGAGGTCTCCTAATCCAGCCCCTTTGCTCGGCCAGGAGACTTTATACTGCTCCAGACAAAATGATTGTCCAATCTCTTCTTGAAAACCTTCCAAGCGAGCCGTTTTGCTTGAGTTTAAGGGTCTAAATTTCCTTTCGGGTAAAATCCACACAGTGCAAGAAGAAAGGTTTCTTGCGGGAAACAAATCAGCCAGCAAGAACATGTTTGGGGAAAGTTCCCCGCATTCTGACATCGTATTTCGGTGGGGGGGAAGGGGGGGATCGCACAAAGCAAATAGCTCACAATTGGGTCTGACAAATGATGAGGAACTTCTGAGTTACTTGATCATCGTGGGAGAAGGGGGCTCCCTCCTACTTTGGGTAATAATATGCAGGCAAGTGTTAAAAGGGCACCCCGGAGCTTTATGACCTGCAACTACCGTATTTTTCGGAGTATAAGACGTACCTTTCCCCCCCCCCTAAAAGAGGGTGAAAATTTAGGTGCGTCTTATACACCGAATGTAGCCCCGCCCACCTACTGGCCCCCACCCTTTGGCCTCTGCCTCGCAGCAGTTAACTCCTTGCAAGCAAACAGCAAGAAGAAACAGCTCCTTTCAGCTTCAGCACACCCTAATTAGCATAAGTTGATTAGATCGGCCTCCCGACTCTCTGCTGTTTTGCTCTCAGCTGTTTTGCGCAGGGCTCTGCTGCTTGCTGCAAGGAGGTAAATTGCTGGAGCAGATTTTTTTTTTCTTGTGATAATCAAGCTATGCTGAAAACGAAAATGAAAGTAAAGCAGGCTGTTTGCTGTAATGAGGCAAAATTACTCAGAGGCAGAGGGAGATTTCTTTTTCTTCTTTTCCTCACCAAAAAAGATAGGTGCGTCTCATACTCCAGTGAGTCTTATACTCTGAAAAATACGGTATTTCTAAGCCACTTTGGACCCTTAGCATGGCCAGATGGACGTGGTGGCTCAGTGGCTAAGACCCTGAGCTTGTTGATTGAAAGGTTGGCAGTTCAGCGGTTCGAATCCCTAGTGCCATGTAAACAGGGTGAGCTCCCGTGACTTGTCCTAGCTTCTGCCAACCTAGCAGTTCAGAAGCACTTAAAAAAAAAGGCAAGTAGAAAAATAGGGACCACCTTTGGTGGGAAGGGAACAGCGTTCCGTGCACCTTTGGCGTTGAGTCCTGCCGGCCACATGACCACGGAGACGTCTTCGGACAGCGCTGGCTCTTCAGCTTTGAAATGGAGATGAGCACTGCCCCCTAGAGTCAAGAATGCCTAGCACATATGTGCAAGGGGAACCTTTACCTTTACCTTATATTTCCATATTTTCAACTTCAGTTGAATGGCCAGGAAAATCAGGATAGGCAAGGATGCCTTTTATGATTTGAGATTCAGGTGAAGCCTCATTTCAATACACAAAACTGGGTGGAAGAATTTGCTTTCTGAACAAGAGAGTCCATCCTAGTGCTGATTTGCATAATGAAGCCCTTATGACAATTCTTGGCACTGATTTACATCAATTGCTTAAGTATGTCAAGTGCAAATGGGACGTGACCGAAAAGATATTGCTTGCCTAATGACATCAGTAGGCAAACAACAGGAATCAAAGGGAAGTGTGCTTCATGAGATTTCGCTGCACCTAAAATTGACATTTTGCCCCTTCTCGTCTCTGGGTTTCTAAATATCAGGGGGTCTCTTTTGAGGGGAGAGGGGACTCAAGAGAGGGTAGACATGATATTGTTAAGAAATAAGTGTCAGGATGCAGTCCGGGGTATCATTCGTATGAAAAGTGATATTTTTTTTGTGCCATGCAGACAGGGTGGATTTGATTTAAACCAAGTCGATTTAAATCAAGTCAATTTAAATCATAATTAGTAGGCTTGATTTAAATCAAGTCGATTTAAATCATAATTTTTAAAGAGCAGCTGTCATCTCTGTCCCGCAGCGGCTCCTTCTCTGACCCGCTGTTGACTCACTGACAGTCCCAATATTGCAGAATATACAGCCTCCTCATGCCACATAACTAAGCTCCATTTCATGCTGAATAAACTCAATTATGAATGGATCTTAAATAGAAAACTATCTTTAGATAGATTTTTTTTATTCCAAAAGCATTTTATTAAAATAAATTAGATAAAAATTGAAAAAAAATCTGATTTAAATCAAAAAAATTCATTTTTTAATTTTTTTTTTTTAAAAAAAAACATTGATTTTTTTCCACTCTGCAGCAAACGACTTTTATGTAGGCTTTCCCCTCCAGGACTCAAAACCGGCTACCACGCGTGCAGTGGCAAAATTCTGTGTCGCTGCAATGTCCACAAGAAAAAAATTGGTTACAGAGTTATAGCTGTCAACTTGTGCCAATTTTTGGAGGTATCTATAACAATTTTTGGAAAAAATGTATTTATTCACATACGTATCGGCTCTCGGGAGTGACCCTAATGGTTTGAGATTGTGTATTTTCTTAATGGGGATATTATTATCCACTATTAATGTCAATATTATTTTTAATGCATTGTTATGTCTATTGCTGGTCGATGACCGTAATAAAGTTATATTCTATTCTATCCACCCTGCATGCAGAGCAATTCTCCAACTGAAGGGAAACGAGAGAGGCACAGCCGAATTCAGAGGGAAAAAAACACAGAGGCATCCAAAGAACAAGGATTCAAAAAAAAAGGAAAAAAAAGAAACCACAACACACCACCCACATAGCTACCTACTCGTATGTGGGCCCCAACCTGGGTGGTGGTGACTATTGGGCGCTGGGCAGTCCTGTAAGGGGTGAAAGACTGAACAGACAGATTACCATGGCAGACAGAACGAAAAATATCCCCAGAGCCACACATGCCCTCGTTCATAATTTGAAGAAAAGTGGGCTTTGCTGGCAACGTAACTTGTGAATGACACCTGAGGATGGTTCTTTTGAAGGCAGCCTTCCACCAAGGACAGCCCGTGGACTTCTCCCTAAGCAAAGTTAGAAAGGAGAGAGCCTTGCTTGGCATTGTGTTTTTTTTTCCGGTGGGACCGGTCTATCCAGGTAACCTGGTCTACCCAAAAATGGGATGGAACATACTTGCTTCTGTTTGATAGACTGGTCCCACCGGAAGAAACACTTACTGTATTTTTCAGAGTATAAGACGCACTTCCCCACCAAAAAAAGTCAGTGGAAATGTCTGTGCGTCTTAAACTCAGAATATTACGGTGGGGAGGAGGGGGGTTGGTGCGGCGCCGATCAGCTGTCCTAGAACAGGCGGCAGCGGCAAATGGGTGGCAGCAAACAGGCTGCGCCGAATGGGCGGTGGTGAACGGGCAGCGGCAAATGCCGCCAAACGAGAGGCGGCAAACAGGCCACATGAATACCGGATGGATGCTGGGAGGCAGAGGCAGATTTTCTCTCACCCTTGTTTTCCTCCCCAAAAGCTAAGTGAGTTTTATAATCCGGAGTACTTTAGTCTGAAAAATACAGTAATCTCTCCCCTGGTATAGCCGACAAAGCGAGGGGAACCCGTGGTTTAGAGGTTAATACACCTACCTAATATGCAAGTAGCCCGGGTTCGAATCCCAGAAGGGTATGGCTAGCTGAGGAGAGCTAAATAGCTTGAAATAGATCTATACTAATCTCCCTTTATTTCTTTTGTCGGTAAATATAAATTCAACACTCGGTATTAAAACGTCTTCAGTAAAGGCAACAAGGACAGGGTGATTTTACTGCTGGGTTTTTGATTTTTCATCGGTTGCTTCAGCCTGGCTCGGCCAGGCAGATTCACCCTCCGCGATTCATCTCCAAAAGGAGATTGCTGGAGGCCATCAACACTTACCCTGATGACTTCCACGGCAAAATGTCCCTCGTTGATCATCAGGTTCCCTGTCTCGTCCAGCTTAACGATGGCTCCGGAATTGGCCTGTACTTCAGCTTCAAAAGCTTGGTGCTTTTGCAGCTTCCCCTGGGGAAAATATATATATATATATATAAAACGTAAGCATCATCGGTTCTACGCAGCGTCTTCCTGCGGCCACCCGAATCTCAGCTGCTCCATCCACACCTGAGGAAGTCCTTACCTGCAGGTTCGAAGGGTCTTTATAGTTTTCATCGGAGGCGATCTGCAGCTTCTCCTGGATCCATTTCTCCAGCTCATCTGCATCCCGCTGAAAGAACTGGAATCTGTAGGAATCTTCAAGCTTCTGGCGCCTCAATGTGGAGAGCTCCTTAAACCGGTGATACCGATCCAAAACCTGTTGACGTCTCTCTTGGATGTCCTCGGCTGTTTCCAGCACTTTTACGCCGGTAGGATCCATTCTCTGAAAGGCAAAAGGCATCCGTGAACACCAGGACATACTACAGGGAGTCCTCGATTTATGACTGCTGTGGAGCAGCCTTAAAGTGGATCTGGTTTCCCCCGTTGACTTTGCCTGTCAAGAAGGCCGCCAACGGGGATCGCGTGACCTCGGGACACGGCCACCGTCATAAAGACGAGTCGGTGGCCAAGCGTCTGAATTTGGATCACGTGACTGCGGAGGGGGGGCTGCTAATAAGTGTGAAAAACGACCGTAAGTCACTTTGTTCTGTGCCGTTGTAACTTCAAATGGCCATTAAGTGAACTGTTGTAAATTGAGGACTGCCTGTGCGTTCGGCTGCAGTGGTTAACCGCAGTAGTTGTCTTTCCCTATGAACAACTGAAGGCCCCCAGCTGCATTGCAGTCTTTTAAAAACATGCTTGGGAAGAGAGAGAAAAGGGAGCAGCTGAATTCCGCTTTTTTACGATGTTAATTTAAACCACAAGTCAAGTTTTTCAAATCTTGCCTGCCTGGTCAAGCCATAGCCTGAAAAACCCCACTTTGGTGTACCTGTTGTTGTATGTTATATGTATATGTTATATGTATGCTGCTGTTATGTGGCAATCCTTAAAAAGGTAAAGGTTTCCCTTGCACATATGTGCTAGTCATTCCCGACTCTAGGGGGCGGTGCTCCTCTCCGTTTCAAAGCCGAAGAGCCAGCGCTGTCCGAAGATTGTCTCCGGGGTCATGTGGCCGGCAGGACTCAACACCAAAGGTGCACGGAACGCCGTTACCTTCCCACCAAAGGTGGTTCCTATTTTTCTACTCGCATTTTTTTTACGTGCTTTCGAACTGCTAGGTTGGCAGAAGCTGGGACAAGTCATGGGAGCTCACTCCATTATGCTGCACTAGGGATTCAAACCGCTGAACTGCCGACCTTTCAATCAACAAGCTCAGGGTCTTAGCCACTGAGCCACCGCGTCCCTCAACCCTTAAACCGGATCAAATTTGAAGCAGGCAATCCGGCCCTAATTCCAGTTTTAGCATCCATGTTTATTCGTCCGGACAACCTGCTTGGTTTCAGTTTGTCTCCTACAAAAGACACAATCGGGTGCTTGAAAGCATATGACCGATGGCTGTACAGGTAGTCTCGACTTACGATGGTTCGCTTAGTGACCGTACAAAGTTACAACAGCGCCGGAAAAAAGGGACTTGAGACTTAAGTTATCAACTTGCAGCGAGACTCACTTAACAACCGAGGCAAGAAAGGTGGTAAAAAATGGGGGCAAGACTTGCTTAACAACAGAACAACAACAGAAATTTGGGCTCAATTGTGGTCGTAAGCCAAGGACCACAAGACGCCAAGACACTTGCGACCGTCATAAATACAAACTAGTTGCCAAGCGTCTGGATTTTGATCTCCTGACCTCAGAGAGGCTGCAATGGTTGTGTGAAAAAAAGCCAGAAGTCCCTTTTTTCAGTGCCGTTGCCACTTTGGTCACTAAAAGAAACTGTTGTAAGGTGAGGACTCAACCTAGCGTTGCCTAGATTGCCCTCATCCCCTGCCCATGCGTCTGTGCTTTTAACTTTATAGCGGGAGCGGCAAAACTCAACAACGCGCCTCTTTGCTATTCGTGTCACACAATTTTACTTGCCCTTCAACTGCGATCTCTGTCTGTAGGGAGGAAAAAGGCTCCCTTTGTAAGGCGAGAAAGAAAACGAAGTCAATTGGAAGTGAAGTCCTTTAGTGTGGGAATAATGCGCTGTTCTTTTCCACTGGGAACAAAACAAATAAAAAAAAAAAAACCACCCTCAGCACACAACTCGCTGACATCAGCAGGGTCTCTGGTCCTGCCGAGGGTGGAGAATCTCACGCGCAGCAGCCAGCCAGCTGTCCACCTCCGCCGCGGCGGTGCTGCAGAGCGATGCAGCCTGCATTCTGCATTGGCCTTTGCGGCCGCCGGAGCGAGCTACTTATCGGGTAGCTGGAAAGCATCCATCTTTTGTCCTCTACCCCCACCCCAAAATGGAGACTGGGTTGTTTTTTTTTTCACACTTCTCTGGGCGTTGATAGGGAAGAGCAGACTTTGCTCTCCAACCCACACACCCACACACCCACACACAGAGGCCATCATCACATTCCACACATTTTCTCTTGCGCAGGACCCAAACCGGCTCCGCCCGACACAACTGCCTTCTGCCGATAATGTCAGAGACGGACAGAAACGACCAAGCTGGAGAGAGGGAAGCTGGATTCAAAGGCTTATTTCGGTCTAACACAACCTCTCTGGATCTGAAACCCACTAAACGTGCAGGACGTCCGATTCTCACACACACACACACACACCGGGCCGGCACGGTAATCCCCATGCTGGCAGTGGCTAATGGGAGTTGGAGCCCTGCACACTGGTAGGTTAGGAAAGGCTGGAGAAGGCCAGGAAAAAGAGCTTTTACCGCTTCGAGATTTTAAGAGGGAAGCAAATCTGTCCAGTTTTTTTCCTTTTAAAGAGGCTTTTTGCTTTTTGGAAGGAGGGAAAAAATTTTTTGTTCACTCCCTGGAGGCTTCGCCTAAACAACAATGGGGCAGACCTGAGGCTGATGGGCATCACAAAAAAAAATATGGGTTTTCTGCCTCTGTTTCTCTGAACATCCCCTTCAAAGCAATTAAAACACAGAGAATGCCGGGCATCTGGTAGAGAGAATGCTGAACAAGGAGTATTTTTAGCTTCTGCAATGCAACAGCGATAATGCTAGCAACTGCCATTCACAAAGGAAAAGCTGTCGCGCCTGGGAGGGGGGGATTAAAGGGGTTTTATAACCCTGCTTAGGCCACAGGCCAAGCTATGGCATTTTTCCTAAACCAAAATCCTGTATATTCTACGGCCCAGGGGAAACCTTAAAGCCACATAGGAAGAGCTTATAGCACGAATTATATCTTTTTTTTTAAAATTTGATTTATATGCCGCCCTTCTCCGGAGACTCAGGGCGGCTTACAATGTGCTCAGCAGTAGCCTTCATCCTTTTGTATATTTATACAAAGTCAGCTTATTGCCCCCACAAACTGGGTCCTCATTTCACCTACCTTAGAAAGGATGGAAGGCTGAGTCAACCTTGAGCCTTGGCGAGATTCGAACCTGCAGTAATTGCAGGCAGCTGGTCTTAATAACCAGCTTAATAACAGGGTGCCTTAAAACCCTGTACTATCAAGGCTCTTGGGCCAGCCTCCTGTTTTAACTACGCCAGGTGAAGTGACTGGCTTTGTTCTACCTGTCCAGAGGTAGCTAATGCTTTTTTTAAGCTCTATGTTTGAGAAAGAGAGGAAGAATATTTCATTTTAGCGTTTGTGTATCTACCATGTCTCTACCATGATGTCCCCCTACATCATGTTTTTTCCCAACATGAAATTTTCCCAACTGTGTATGTTTCTTCCTTGATTTTGTATGTGTGTATGTGTGCTTTTTATCTCTTTAACATCCTGGAAGATATTTAAGCGTACCCTAAATCTATGCAGCGTTGCTTGGCCTCAAGGATTTACACAAACATTTTTAACGGGTTTTTATTTTTCTGCCGTTTTCCTAACGATTCCCCTAATCTGAAATTATTCACATTTCTTTTTGGCTGCCACTGTACGAAGCTTTTCTCGGTGAAACAGCTGCCTCCTTCACCTGTCGCATCCAGCTCAAAGCCCAGCAAGGTGCAAACACCTAAATCAAGGAGGCAACTTTGCTGCAGCTCATGCATAGATGCATTATGGCACACACGGGCGTAAACACCGGTTGCGCCTTCAATAAAGGTGAAATATTTATCGCCAGGTACCAGAAGCAAATTCCTTCCAATATCGGCAGGGCTCCATTTTAAACCTATCTCGCCTCAGGGACCCCCGGAAGGCCTCTTGTCCAGCCTGAGGATAAACACTTAAAATGCCTTTTTAACTACCTTCTCATCCATACAATCGGAACTGACATGACAGCAGGTGTCCCTCTGCAAGGGTGTGTGCATTCCTCATTATTTCAGGAAAGCTGAAAGGCCAAATGTAAAGTTGGTCCTTGGGATTCAGCTGCATTAAAAAAAATGAGCTGTCGGTATCAAAGTCCGTCTCTGTGAGCGGATGAGCAATTCTCTATTGCAGGTGTGATGCGGCAGACCAAAAATTTGAACAGCGTATAATAAATTGCTGCCCCAACCAGCCGACAGCCTCTTCAATGTTGTTCCTATCCTCCTTGAAAGAGATCAATCAGGCGAGTATGAATCTTCATTTTAATATCCTGCCATCTCAGCAGGGAAGAAGGGCCAACCTTGGTAACATGCAGCAAAACACCGGGAAATGATAAATCCACAAATACCTGCGATTTCATTGTCTTAAAATGTGACTTTTTAACAGTAGGCACTTTATAGAGAAGTGAAAATGATATTCCAAAATCCATCGTAATGTCAGGGAGGAAGTGTGTTATTCCTTTTTATGCACAAGAATCATTAAGTGTTTACCGAGACACCTGGAGATACCGAGAGCTAAAAAGCTTGAAATAGATCTATACTAGTCTCCCTTTATTTCTTTATCAGCAAAATATATTTGGTACAAGAATCATTAAATACGCTGTTCTTTTCCATCAATTATTTTAAGGGTAATGACCTTCAGTTAATGCCTTCGATTTTCAAAGGCTTTCAAACCAAAATAAAAGTAGAATTTGATCTTACCTCTCTCTCAACTCTTGAAATTATTTCTGGTTTGAGTTGAAAGAATAAAGAACATTAGGATTTATCTATAAAATGATTAACTGGCAACTTTGGGTACATTTTTTTAAAAATACGTCCCACCTCTAAATTAGTCATAGTCATGCAGAGGTTATAGCAAAGACTGCATTCTGTGCTTCACGCCAGGAAGAATCAGTGATCTTACACGGCATGGATAAAATTACATGCTAAACATGCAGAATCTGGAATTCATAGAATTTGCAGCTCATTTGCTCCAAATGCATAAATATAATTTCCCTGGCTTTATTTGTTTGCATCGATGGCCACCCCCGTAATACTGTGCATCTTTCTACATAACCATTTATATATTGTAAAATGTTAATTAAAAATCCAGAACAATTGTTTCAAAAAAACAAAACAAAAGCGTATTAAAGCATTCTGATTCCACTCCATGCACCAAAGGCAGAATAAAACTGAGCATTTAAAATGCTCTTTGTCATGAGGGCGGAAAGGCCAGGAACATCAAACAAGAAAATGTGTGGTCCCGCATGCATATTTCAAAATACCTGGGCTCTGACTTTGCGAAAGGACGACAACATGATGAAGCAGCTCAGAGTCTAAAAGGGAGGAGGTATACCAAGATAATTTTTTTTTTACTAATTCTACGCCAAATCTGTAACAGAACTGCTATATTATTTTGTCACAATACCAGCCATTTTCAAACATTAATTGCATGAAAATTAACTCATCCTACATGCTAACTAACTCCTTTAACTGGTTAAAATTAACAGTAATTTAAAAAAAGTAAAATAAAACTACTTCTTACTACGTACTTTTATTAGATCAACCTTCTTCTATTATTGCTGTCAATTAATTTGTGGTTTCTTAACAATGTGACAGAACTTTATTCCCCAACACAACTAAGTGCAAAATAAATCCAAGTTTAATTTCAATATAGACAATTTAAAAAATCTTAAAATAATTTTACAAAGTCGCTGATTTCTTAATTTGGATTTATCACTTTGAGTTTTTTAATCCCAAAATAAATGTTTCCTAGAATCTTCCAGTAGCATCCTTTAAGTTCTTGTGCTAGAAGAAGATTCTAGACTACAGTTTGAATCACTACCTACATTGAACCTTACCTAACTGGATTTGCTTGAAATTAACTCTCACTGTCTATTCCTAAATAGACAGTTTAGGCACTCCCTAAAGTCTAAATAAAATAAAGTTAAGTAGCTAAGTTGGAACTCATGTTTCAAAGCAAAAAAAATAAAGAATGCAAGGTTTACAATAATCCTACAGGTTAACATAACAGAAATTTCACTGAATAAGGAAATTGTGCAGCTAACAAGCTATATTATATTAACATTAATACAAACACACCTCACTTCAAATCTTGATGGTTTATTCTGTGCATAATAAACAGGCAATTAAGAGAATTGGACTGAATAATTATTTTAAATGTACAGGGATTATATACTCTGATAAAGGACAAAGGATTTATGCTAGTCCCAAATCCTTTCTTTCTGTTATGTAAGAAATCTTGAAATATAACAGACTGTACAATCCTTTTAAAAATTGTGGCATTTTAAGCATTATTAGTGCTCACTTAAGAAGAAGAAAAATCAGCTCATTTTCCAGGGTGCCCAATTTCCTGGAAATCCTGCTTTTGGGGGAAACTCTTTTGCTGAGAACTGCCCCCCCCCCCGCTTTGCCTGCAAAACCCCTCCTTCCCTCTGCTATTCCATTCCGCTCAACCTAGCTAGCACAAAGCTGAGAGGATGTTTAACGCAAACAGCGGGACGCCATTGCTGCAAACGGAGGTTAGAGGAGTGTTCTCTTATATAGATATATAGATATATATATATTTTTAAAAAATCAAATGGATGGATGGCAAGTTTAGCCTCGTTCAAGTCTGGATGAGGATCCTGCTTTTCTTGGGGGGAGAAAAGGCAGATCTTTTGAAAGGGCTGCGTGTTTAATTTGCCAGCCATAATTGAATCTGAATGAAATTCCTGCTGTTGCACAGGGCGGATCCTGCATCTCCCCCACTATACACACACACACACACACACACACCCCCGAGAGGTCGGTTGTGCATATCCTTTCCAAGGGCGGAAGGAACAACCGGTCCACCAAGGCCAAGAAAACAATGCGGCACCTACCACACCCAGCTCTCTTTCCATCCTTATCCCTTTTTTTAAAGCAAACCCCAATGCAATTTCAGGTTTTGAGCACAATTTGGCTGGGCTGAAAATATTTTTTCTTAAAGTGGCGAGCTAAGGTGACAGTACAACACCTAAGGTCTGCAAGCACCTGTGATGCTGTTAGAGTACTGTACTAATGAATTATGGACAGAATGATCTCTTACAAAAGACCAGGGACTGAATGTCATAACTCAGGTGAATTTAGAATAACTGTATCATCTAGTGTTTAAAATATGTTACGTTACTTTTCCAAATTCAAACAAGGGTTTACTTTTTGATAGAAATAATACACACACACACACATATACATACATACATACATACATACATATATATATCCCAAAGGTGCTTTTTCCCCCCCAAAAGAGAATTGGATTTCCTTGGGGTTTCCCCCCCCCCCTTGAACATGTTTCGCTTCTCATCCAACAAACATTTCTTCAGTTCTTGGATGAGAAGCAAAATCTTTTCAAAGGAAAAGAAAAAAAAAACCAAAGTCTAATTGTTTTTTTTTGGGGGGGAAAGCACCTTTGGCACAAACATGGATGACTCTCCAGAGATATTTACACATGTATATATGCTCCCTGATCTATAATGCCTCTGGAGGGCTTACAAAAATGTAAATTACGAATTTATTTTATACACACCAATAGGCTGGAAAAGGCTGACAGAGGAGAGGCAGATGGTTAGCAGGAAGTGCAAAGATTAAGTTTGATGTGTACATGACTGATAAGGGAATGAAGGGTTAAGCAATCGGAGGAGTGTTCCAGTAGGGTTGGGGAAAATATTTCAAGTTCCTTAGCATTTTCTAGCTAGCCAAAATGCCTTGGAGTCACTGCATCTAATTCATCTGAAGATTCCCCATCTGTAGCAGATTTAATTTTAATATGCTGGGGGTCCGCTGGATGGAATCAAATTGGGGATTTTATTTGTGGCTTTAACCTTTTCCCTTTGCAAATAATTCTGTAGAGTTTATGTCTTTAAGCAGTCTATGACTAGGTGGCTCAGTGGCTAAGACGCTGAGCTTGTCGATCAGAAAGGCCGGCAGTTCGGCGGTTCGAATCCCTAGTACAGGTCTCCTGCGTGAGCAGGGGGTTGGACTAGATGACCTCCAACTCTGTTACTGTTACTGTAAGGAGATGACAATGATCTGAGAAACAACCACTACAACAAAACCCTACAACTGATGGAAATAGCAATATATTGGAAAAAAAGAAAGATGGATACAAGGAAACAACCAGACCTCCAGTTCGGCCTGCTTTGTCAATTTCCTCTCAGGAATTGTTAAATGAAAATAAAAAATATTTGAATAGTTACAGTTTCTCTTTGCTCCTTCTATGATTTTTTTTTTTTAATGGGATGATCGTTTCTACCACACATTTGGAAGATTTCTCTCAACAATCGTTCGATATTACAAACTTATTAACTTATTATGCTGAACTATATGCCAAGATCAGGAATCCGGTGCCCCTCCTACTTCTTCAGTCTTGCTTGCCCAGAAAATTTTACTCCCAGGGCTGAGGTATGTACTCATCATTCCAACCACCCTGCAACCTGATCGCCACAAATTCAAATCACGCCTTGCTCCAAAGCCAACATTCTTAGGATGCTGCAGCTACACAACCCTCTCCAAGAACACGAACGGAAAGGAAGGAGCTCCCCCCTTCTCAATGCATTCAAAGCCACTCATTGAAAGCATATTGGCTTAAAAATAAATTCACTAAATAATCCTTATTCCTTTGCAAAATCCATTAGCCTAGGTTTACAGGAGGGGGGGGGGTGCTTGACCATAACATAATCTTTTAAATTTGGATTTAACTGTGGAAATCAACCCCGCACATTCGTACGGAATTAAAATTGGAGGAATAAAAATTGTAAAACAACTATTTCAATACCGGGCATGGTAGGTTTTGAGTCAATGGGTCATGGCTAACGTAAACCCGGCTGGGTGTGCAACAAATAATTGTTAATTATCGGTCTTAATACAGGGGTGTTTTTAATTGTGGGCCAAATTAATTTAATTGGATTTTAATACTGTTTTTAAATTTTGTATTTCTTCTGTTTTATCTTGTTGGCTGTTCACCGCCCCGAGTCCTTCGGGAGAAGGGCGGTATATAAATATAAACAATAAATAAATAAATAAATAAACATGTAAACCTACCCACCCCACCCCAGGTAAGAAATCATGGGAACGGAGTCCTTAATATGCAAGATGTGGTTTCCTCCCCCCCCCCCCCCCCCCCTCATTTCTGAATGCAAAAGGCTGGATGAAATGGATGAAATTCCAGCCTTTGGATTACTCCAAGATTCCAAAACCCATCATCCCCCGCCGAGGGAAAGCTGGCCTGGGGCCGCTGGAGAGGAGCCAGGCTGCAATGCAACCTTAAAGATGCTTTGAACACCTAAAGCACCTTACCTGTCCAGCCGCGCAGGCGCAGAAGGAGCGCTGCTACGCCAGGGCGCCTACAGAGGGCGCTCTAAGGCCTCGCCCATCTTTTCGCCCCGCGCTCGGCCCCCCTCAGGGCCCCCCCCACTTTTTCCCCGGCCGCCTTTCCACGTCCTCCCGCTTCCCTCCTCATCCTCACCGGGTCGGTTCGAAGGGCTCTCTCTCTCTCTTTCTCTCCCCCCACACTCCGCCTGGCTTCTCCTCAGTCCGCCACGCGAGGCTCCGCCCCTCCTCACAACCCCCTCAGACACCGACTGCGCTCCGGCGGCGCCGGCGCCCCTATTTATAAGATGGCCCGCGGTGACGTCATCGCCGCAGAGCCGTCCGCAGAAGCCGAAGCGCGCCTGGGGGGGGCGGAGCTTGAGCGGCGGAAAGACCCGAGGCTTCAAAGGAAATGCGAGCAGCCGAAGGCACCCGAACGGGGCCGGAAAGAGCCGAAAGCTTCAAGGGCAAATGTTCTGGTTTGTTGGTAATTACAGAGCGCGAATCGGTCGTTTCTACGCATGACGTCATCTTATTCTGTTGCACAGCCAGAATAATAAAAACTTAAGCCTCTTCAGATGTCTTCCACCCTGGCACTCTTTGCATGAGGGTGATGGATTTATTTATTTATTTATTTATTTATTTATTTATTTATTTATTTATTTATTTTTCATTCATTCATTCATTCATTCATTCATTCATTCAATTTCTATACCGCCCTTCTCCCGAAGGACTCAGGGCGGTGAACAATTAAAATAACATAAATATTTGATAAATATGATGCCATTCTAAGCATGTCTAAAATGCACCTTTGTGGGGGTGCATTGAATTTTGCATGAATTCTTTTTCGGGGTGGGGTGGGGCACCTGTCTCCCCCCACCTATGTGAGCTGAAACCAACAGAAAAAATAAGATTTCCCCCCCCCAAGTTTTCTGCACCCACTTCAATCCACGTCAGTAGGATCTCATTGGTGATTTAATTTAATTTCATTTCTTTTCGGCACCCCGAGGTCCAGAAATAGCCTGCACCCCCCCCGTTTGTTCCCGACGATTGTGCTTTTGATTAATCTCACACAGGTCTGATACTGAAATAAGGCCCTGGATGCTCATTGGACTTTTAAATCTTTGCATGCACCAAGGATGCAACGAGTGATGAATGCCCTAAAGTCTTATTCTCATGGCTGCATTTATCTCGGTTAATCAAGCCCTGGGGTTATTTCCCCCCCCTCCATTTTTTATCCTCTCAACAAGGCTAAATTGAGCTTGATTGCTGGACCAAAAACCATAAGACAAGTAGGAATTCAAAACCGGTTCCTTCTCCTAAAGGCGAGCTATTTCAAATAGAAAAGGTTAGGGGTGGTTGGTCATTTAATTCTTATTATATTTCTTTTCTTTCTTTCTTTCTTTTTCTTTCCTTTCTTCCTTCCTTCCTTCCTTCCTTCCTTTCTTTCTTTCTTGGTTCGATTTATATGCCGCCCTTTTCCAGAGACTCAGGGCGGTTTACAATGCGTTAAGCAATAGCCTTCATACTTTCGTATATACCTACTTAGTAAGGCTTTTGCCCCCCCCAAAGCAGTGTTCTTTTTTATACAAAGTCAGCTTATTGCCCCCACAATCCGGGTCCTCATTTTACCTACCTCGGAAGGATGGAAGGCTGAGTCAACCTTGAGCCTGGTGAGATTTGAACTTGCAATAATTGCAGGCAGCTGGTGTTACTTAACAGTGCTTTAGTCTGCTGCGCCACCAAGGCTCTTACAATACTCTCAACTACAGCCTGTCAGGTTAGGGTAAAATGCAGGGGTGGGCTTCAAAAATTTTAGCAAGGGGTTCTCTGCCTGGTTGCTGGGTGGCCGTGGCCATGGTGGGCGTGGCCTAGTAGGCCTCCTGCACCACAGCCGATGGGTGTTGTTTTTGCTCTCCCCAGGCTCCGGAGGCTTTTCTTGAGCCTCCGGGAGGGCGAAAATGGCCTCCCCAGGCTCCAGAGGCGCTTTGGAGGCCATAAATGTTCCCAAACTTCCAATAGGCCTGTTCTTCGCCCCCTCCGAGCCTCCACGCATTCCCTGCACTGCATCCAAAACAGGCCGCATGGGGACTCCTGGGAGGGGTGGAGCGGGGCAGGGCCAGCCAGGAGTGGGATTTGGGGGGTTCTCCAAACTGCATAGAATCTTAGCTAGAGGTTCTCCCAAACCTTAGTAAGAGCCTTGGTGGCGCAGCAGACTAAAGTGCTGTTAACTAGCACCAGCTGCCTGCAATTACTGCAAGTTCAAATCTCAACCAGGCTCAAGGTTGACTCAGCCTTCCATCCTTCTGAGGTAGGTAAATTGAGGACCCAGTTTGTGGGGGCAATAAGCTGACTTTGTATAAATATACAAAAGGATGAAGGCTATTGCTTAACACATTGTAAGCCGCCCTGTGTCTCCGGAGAAGGGCGGCATATAAATCAAATTAAAAACAAAAACAAAAAACCATGACATGGATGACTGAGAATCTCCAGACCTTCCTCTCCAAAATAAGCAGCTTTTTCTATCCAGTTCCTTCTCTTTCCCAACTGCAAGAGAAGGGCATTATTAACCAATACATCCATTGCTGATGCTCCCTATTTACACTAGCTGGACGCCCATGCTTTGCTACGGAACTGTGTTAGGATGTGATAAATTGACACTTAAAGCCTGAAATTTAATGTAGAATGTGTAACTCGGTAGCATCAGGGCGTGTTAATATAAGGCAACTGGCAGTTGGAACAGAGGGGGAGGAGTAGAATGTCCCAGCCCGTAGGCCGGATGAGTCATGTGCTGTCCAAGCCCACACCCGGTTTAGCGAAGGGGAGCACCAGAGCGGGTTAATATAAGGCAACTGGCAGTTGGAATAGAGTTCTTTTTAGGTGGGGAGGGGGAGTAGAACGTCTAACTCCTTAGTATCAGTGTGTGTATAATTAGTATATGAAATACTAATGATCGGATGGTCATTTCGAAAAATCCTTTCTTAGCAAGCATCTAGAAGCCAAGAGGAATATATGTGCCAAATTTCAAGTTTCTAGCTTGAAGTTACTGGTAGTTACTGTTCTGGAGATTTTGTGATGAGTGAGTGGTATTTGGCGTTTATATATATAGATATATTTTAAAAGAAAGGACAGGCTGCAGGGTTTTAAGCTGCAGCAGCAGCACCCCCCACAGCCAGGAGACAACATGGCATTGTCTGGAAGGAACCCAAATTATCGCAATTCAGATGAGGACGAGATGCCGACGGGATCCTTCCTTCTCCGCGTCCTGCATTTTGCTGGACACAAAGGTGGTTATTATTAATTTCCCATCCATCTTTGGATGCAGCAAAACGCTGAATAACGTCAACATCCCTTTGAGACACGAGAGGCCAAGGATTGCCGACTTTCATATTCTATGTAAGCTACTGACGCACTAAATTCATCGATTTGCAGCGGTCTGACAATCCAAAGCATTTATTCCCAGAAACATGGGGTTTAAGAGCATACAAATCACTGCAAGGGTTTTGAAAGATCCGAGTCATTTCCCCCAAGTCTTTTATTATTTCCATTATGGTCTAAAGCAGGGAGCCTCAATCCCCCGGTCTGTGGACCGACACTGGGCCGCAGCATGCCAGCAACCGGACAGCGCTAACAAATAAGTGTTACTACCACTTTATAATGCCTTAGTAAAGCCACACTTGGAATACTGCATTCAGTTTTGGTTGCCACGATGTAAAAAAAATGTGGACAGAAGAGCAACAAGGAGGATTAGGGGACTGGAGGCTAAAACGTATGAAGAATGGCTGCAGGAACGGTTGAAGTCAAGGAGGAAACCAGATTCACTTAACAATTTAACAACCCCAGTGATTCGCTGGACAAAGGTGGCAAGGGAAGTCGTGAAATGGGGCGAACCTTTTCACTTTAGCAACGTAGATTTTTTTTTTTACGTTGATTTACGTTTTAAAAGTTATCAAATTTAAATTTAGATTTAAATGCATTTAAATCTACAACGTAGATTTTAATATATGTTTTAAATGGATCTTGTCTTTTTATGTACACTGAGAGCTTCTGCACCAAAGACAAATTCCTTGGGTGTCCAATCACTCTTGGGCAATGAAGAATTCTATTCAATTCTATTCCAACCCATCCCATCCTTCATTCTATTCAATTCTATTCTGTTCTGTTGTTGTTCTGTTGTTCTGTTCTGTTCTGTTCTGTTCTGTTCTGTTCTACTCTACTCTACTCTACATTTTGGGCTTAATTGGGATGAGGTGGTCTACCTGTATCAAGACTGCATTATGAGTTCCATCTTGAAAGTAAACTAGTAAGATAGAGACCAAAGCAAAAGCCATTAAAAAAATAACCTGAGATTAGAAATTCCGTGTCTTTACTTTGAAAACAAGCATGCGTATACATTGAAATAAGTTACTCGACGAAGTCTTTAAAATAAAGCTCATTTGAGCTTTCATGAATATTCAAGGCAGCTTCTTCCCAAGTTTTATTGTCTTTTATCACTGTAAAAATTATCACTGTAGCAAAATAAGACACACAAGGTCAACATTTCACGCTTGATTGAGCTGACACAATCGCTCTGTCGACTCGCAGATCTGCCACTCCGCCAGCAAGCTGGATCATGTCGTATGAAATATATATGTTATCCGATATACTTTACTGTTTATCTTAGCACCCAATGCATAAAAATATAAATTCTTCTTCATTTTCCACCGATCGCTTGCAAATAGCGAAAGCAGACGTTCCACAGTTCAAGTATCGGCTTGGATCCAAGAGAGAGAGAAAACCACGGACTGATTTTAAAAGCAATTTCCCTTGATTTTATGAAAATGAAACAGCCAGCAGGGATCCTCTCCTTTTCTCAATCATGGTTCTATTTTGAGGGGGAAGGGGGGGGGAAATCTTACTTAAATAAATGCAAAGCTGTCTAAAATCTTTTTTGTTAAAAAAAAGAATGAAGGCCACGAAATCAATTCATGTTCTTTCAGCATTGCTTGGATGAGCTCAAAAGGTTTTCCATTCTGCCTGCTTTTTAAAATTAAAGGCAGTCCACCAAGGATTTTGCTGCAAGGGACTGCAGCACTTTTATTAAGAATTAATCTCTCTTCCAATTCAATTGCAGGGTTTCAGACACTGATGGGGGGGGGGGTTGGGTTTTTATTGGTGCGCGTTAAACTTCTGATGTTAATAAAACACAGGCGTCCCTCGAGGGCACTGAAACCAATTTGTTAATGTTGTGTTTAAGAGCGTGGGCATGACACAGCAGGAAAAACAAAAAGGACACACCCTTGTTCGACGATGGGAGTGCAAATCACGGCTGAATATCTTGAGAGACAAAGGTTGTTTTTGACCATCGGATAAAAGCTGACAAGCCATTTCCAGATTCTGTAGAGAATCCAAATCTTTTCTTCTTTTGTTTGGTTTTTAAAAAATGTCTCCCTGCAGACTTTTTTTTTTTATAACAACAAAAAAAACAAAAACCCTGAAGCGAGCTATTCTTTCAACCTTCTGTAAAAGTGCAAGGAATCCGGATTTTCACGATTTCCAAAAAGAAGGTGGCAAATATCCTTTGGGGAGAGGAATGTTTTTTCGTTGTAAGCATTCCTGGGAGAGAAGAAAAGGTTCTTTTAAAAAGGCAGAGGATGTTCGAACAGAGATGCGTAAACCCCGAGGACGATGCAAAACGCAGGGATGAGGGTGCAAAAACCTATTTTGCGCTGCGTGGGATGGAGGAAAGCGAGGCTAAGGGAGGTGGGCATTGATTCAGGGAATGGCCGGAGCAAATTGGACATACTCGGGAGAGAGAAGAGAGGGAACAGAGAGGACTGATTAAAAAAAAAAACAGCAAAGCAGAATGACGATGGAGACTATGAAAGGCTCCACAGAGAAGGTGATTGTTGGTTCTGGGGAGGTGTGTGAAAGAGGGACCTGCTGCTACTCTGAAGGTCACATTCTTGATTTGAGGGGGTCCTTGGTGCTCTCTGAGCTTGGTTGTTTTCTTGCAGAGGTTGCATTATGCTAACTAGGTAACAATATCAGTGCTGGTAAGGGACGCGGTGGCTCGGCGGCTAAGACGCTGAGCTTGTCAATCGAAAGGTTGGCAGTTCAGCGGTTCGAATTCCTAGTGCTGCGTAGCGGGGGTGAGCTCCCGTAACTTGTCCCAGCTTCTGCCAACCTAGCAGTTTGAAAGCAGGTAAAAAATGCCAGTAGAAAAAAAAATAGGGGCCACCTTTGGTGGGAAGGGAAGAGCGTTCTGTGCGCCTTTGGCGTTGAGTCATGCTGGCCACATGACCACGGAGACGTCTTCGGACAGCGCTGGCTCTTCGGCTTTGAAATGGAGAAGAGCACCGCCCCCTAGAGTCGGGAACAACTAGCATGTATGTGCGAGGGGAACGTTTACCTTTAAAGAAGTAGGTTGGGGGTGGGGGCGTGGAAGAAGACTGTGGGGTCCTTAGTGTTCTCTGAGCTTGATTGCTTTCTTGCAGATGTTTTATTACTCAAGCTAGGTAACATCATCATTACTAGAAGGGAGTGGGCTTTGTGGAGAGGAGGAGGAGGAGGGGGGGCAGCTGTGGGGTCCTTAGTGATCTCTGAGCTTGGTGGTTTTTTTGCAGATGTTTCATGACCCAATAAAGGGACACTGTTAGTGCTAGAAGCCAGTGGCGTTTGCAGGGAGGAGGAGGAGGTAGAGGAGGAGGAGGAATAAGAAGAAGGAGGAAGAGGAGGGAGGAAGGAGGAGGAAGGAAGGAAGGAAGGAAGGAAGGAAGGAAGGAAGGGGAGAAGGAGAAGAAGGAGAAGGAGGAGAAGGAGAAGGAGAAGACGACGAGGACTGTGGGGTCCTTAGTGCTCTCTGAGCTTGGTTGTTTCCTTGGAGACATTTCATGACCCAGCTAGGTAACCTCATCAGAGCTAGACTTTTTTGAATGGCAAAGAAGCCTCATGTCAGTCGACAATACCCTTATTACAAAAGGAGGAGACTTTGCAAGTTGTGTGCTCTGCAGCTTCCTAACAGTTGGGGACAGCAGAGAGCTCCGAGTGCATAAAAGGCGGAGGAATTGGGGGCAACCCAAAAAGGGGGATTAAAAGCAACGGGCCAAACTCGGCCGTCCTTGCCTTAGCTTAACACCTCGCTTGAGAGAACATCAACTTACTTTTAAAAATTGCTTGAATCGTATGAGGGAGCCCATTTCCCCAGGGCTGGTAATTGATTCGATCCTGGACGGAAGAGAAGAGGAGAGGGGTTAGGTCTGAATTCAAATATTCAAAGGTTGAACTCCTAATACTGGGCCTGGTAGCTCCGCAGACTAAAAAGCATTGTGATTAACACCAGCTGCCTGCAATTAATGCGAGTTCAATTCTCACCAGGCTCAAGGTTGACTCAGCCTTCCATCCTTTCTAAGGTAGGTAAATTGAGGACCCAGTTTGTGGGGGGCAATAAGCTGACTTTGTATAAAAATATACAAAAGTATGAAGGCTATTGCTTAACGCACTGTAAGCCGCCCTGAGTCTCCAGAGAAGGTCGGCATATAAATAAAAATAAATAAATAAAATAAAATAAAATAAAATAAAATAAAATAAAATAAAATATAAAATAAAATAATAAAATAAAATATAAAATAAAATAAAAATAAATAAAATAAAATAATAAAATAAAATAAAATAAAATAAAAATACTGTTGGGTCTTTGATTTTTGTCGAGTCCTCTGCCACCTTGGCCAATAATCGGGACTGAGAAGAATAACGAAGAGCTTTTGAGACTCACAACTCGTATCCCAGAGGGGATTTTCTGTCCCAGCTTATTCAAATATTTGGAATTGAGGGAGCAGGGAAGAAAGCAAACAAACGCACCAAAAAATGTTATGACCGTCTCTTCCTCAGAATCCGGGGAAAAAATGGAGAGAGAGAGAGAGAGAGAGAGTCCGTGTTTCAGACTGCCTCAAAATTCCATACCTGGGAAAATACTCTTCCTGGATCAGGAGGAGCATCTTCCAAAATTGCCCCTGGTACTGCTTCATGAGAGCGTTCCCACACACCTGAGGGACAGAAAACGGAAGAATTTGATGGCATAGAAAAGGAGGGTACAATCTCCCTCAAACTTGATCCAAAATAAAGAGAGCACAGCAGCCATGTTAATTCATGTTAATGTTAATTCACTGGAGGTTTTTCAGTCACTTGTCTGAGATGGTATAGGACCATGATGGCGAACCTGTGGCACGCGTGCCACAGGTGGCACACGGAGCCATATTGGTGGGCACGCGAGTGTTGCCGTAGCTCGGCTCCAGTACGCATGCATGTGCTGGCCAGCTGATTTTCAGGCCTTCTGGGCCCACCGGAAGTTGGCAAACAGGCTGCTTCCGGCCTCTGGGGGGCCTCTGGGGGGTTGGGAAGGCTTTTTTCACCCTCCCCAGGCTCCTAGAAAGCCTTTGGAGCCTGGGGAGGGCGAAAAATGGGCCTACAAGGTCTACCGTGCCATGCCGGAAACAGAAAGCGCAGCTTTCCGATGCGCATATACACGCTGGGGAACTGCTGTTCCGGTTTCCGGGGCTCTACCCCACCCCACCCCATGCGCACGCTCCTGTTTCGGCAGAAAAGATTTGCCAACACTATTCTATTCTATTCTATTCTATTCTATTCTATTCTATTCTATTCTTTCTATTCTATTCTATTCTATTCTATTCTATTCTACTCTACTCTACTATCCTGCATTCTATTCTATTCTATTCTATTCTATTCTATTCTTTCTATTCTATTCTATTCTATTCTATTCTATTCTGTTGTACTGTACTGTACTGTTTCTCTTCTCTTCTAATATGACAGCATAACTACTTATGAGCTGGAAGCAGAAGGAAAAAGCCACAGCCAGACGGGAGCTCCACTTATCTCCAGGAAATCGAAGAGAATGGTTGCCGTCACATCTGCCAGAGGTTCCATGTTCAATATCTGTGCCACCCAACGCCAGGCGTGGTTTAATCCGTGTGGGTGAGTCTAATGGACAAAAAGAAAGATCAGCCCGCCGAATTACTCTATTTTAACAACAGCTACTTCGTTTTCAAACTCTCTTTCATAGGCGGCTTCCGTCGGAAGCAACCTTAACTGAGAGAATGAGATGTTTTGAATAGATTCAGAGGCTGTTGGACAGGACGACGACACCCGCCACAGGGAAGGTGATGGAGGCCGCCAAAAGATCAGCCATGACAGGAGACCCGCCCCCCACTTACCCCTTGCTTATCTCGATAAGGCCACTGAAGCTGCAGGATGGCCGCGTAGAGTCGGATCATTCCTGACATCCGCTTCAGAAAGTTATCTTGCGGCTCAACTTTCCCATCCTTCACTTGGTAGCCAAGTATCCTAAAGAAGATGTGGAGATGCTTACCAGCATGCCCAACAGGGAGATCTACTGGATCCCTGGGGGTTCCCAACTTAACATGGGGGGGGGGCAGCTCGTAACTCAACATCCAGCTTTTGCTCAGTGCTGGATCAAATCTGGATGGTGACTGCTGAAGGCCAAATCTCTCAGCTCTCCCAATGCAAAGCCTCCCAAATTCTCAGCAGCCAGTGCTTCTGGATGGTCCTTGAATGATGACCAAGACCCAAATTTATCTTGCTAAGTGAGACAGCAGAGTTCCGCCCCGTTATAGCGCCTTTCTGGCCACAGTTGTTAAGTTAGTAACACAGTTAATTTTAAAAAGATAATACACCAACAGAGGAAGAATTGATAAAAGAAAATTTTAGATTGTGCCGAGATGGACAAATTAACAAAGGAAATTAAAGAAAAGGAAGATACAAAATACTATACAGTATGGAACAAATGGTACAACGGGCTGGAGATTAGGAATAGTGGACCAAAATGATTGGGGGAAAATTTCAAACGGAAAGTGTTTGTAGGATAATGTATAAAATTAATATTACGTGCGAAGGAAGTTATAGAGTATTACGGGATAATGGGACAGGAAGGATATAGATATTATAAGGAGAATTAGGGAGAAATGTAAGCAATAGATTACCATTACGACACTATTGTAAAAAGGGAATATATGTTTTATGTTTGTCATATTGTGTTGTTTTATAAATAAATAAGGAAAGCTTTCCTCGCACAAGCACAAAGCCGAAGACACCAGCCTGAATATGACGAGTGAGACCTCGTCAAAACGTCGCCAACATACTCTCAATCTTACACGGGAAAAGACCCGAATACACCAAAACTCGCATACCTCTACCCGTGAAAATCTACGAAAACAAATATATTATATATATATATATATATATATATCAAGAATTGTCCTAAAGATGCGAGTTCCAGGTATAGTTGTAGAAGAAGCGATAGACATCACGATCTCACGTTCCGGAGATAGTGATGTCTATCGCTTCTTCTACATATATATATATATATATATATATATATATATAATACATACATACATACATACATACATACATACATACACACTGCTCAAGAAAATAAAGGGAACACAAGCAGAAGACATCCGAGATCTGAATGAATGAACTAGCCTTATTAAATACTTTGTTCTTTACATACAGTAGTTTATACACTGCTCAAACAACTAAGGGGTACACAAAACTACTGTATGTAACGAACAAAGTATTTAATAAAGTTATTTCATTCATTCAGATCTCGGATGTCTTCTGCTTGTGTTCCCTTTATTTTTTTGAGCAGTGTATATATAAAAGTTAATTTTAATTTAATTTAATTTAAACCTTTATTGTGAGAGTACAACATGTGCACTATGAGATTGGCTGAGCCTCCCTTCGTGCACCCCCCCCACTCCAACACAAGGTCGCAAAAGGTGATCACATCACCTGTTGTGGCCCACCGGCGGCCAGCAGAGTCGGGCAGTTGGGAGGTTGGGGAGGAACATGGGCCAGTCCTGGGGGCTGGGGAAAGCTCAGGCGAGGGCTCTGCGTCGGAGGCAGAGAGAGAGATAGGGAGGCAGAGGAACAGCTGGAGCCTGTTCCCAGTGTGTGTGTGCGCAGAGCTGCCAGAGGACAAGAACAACTCAGAAAGCAGGGTCGACTAGGCTTCCCGATATAGAAAAAAGCACAGAATTAGTCCCAAAAAACCCCTTTTTTAATTTTAATGGCTGTGAATTCCTTTAATTCACAGCATGTTCTGAATCACCAAGAGTTTATAGATAGTCCAACAGAAGTCTGCCACAGTCCTTCGGATAAGGCTGGTAAACACCCACCCTTATCTTCTTTGACACGCTGCCAAAGACCTAATTGGCAATTATCTTGGCAAGGCCACACAGAAACAGAGTCAAAAACGGAGCTTCAAAGAACAAACCGACACCGTCCATAACGTTGCTTCCTACAAAGGCCCACGTGCCTTTGCTCTTCCTTTATGTCTTATGGGAGGTGCTAATCATCTCCAAGCCTTGCTCCCGATTCGTCCCTTTTGTTTCAACTGTTCTTGCCTTCTGGCAGCTCTGCGCATGCGCACACTAGGAACAGGCTCTCCATTGTGACCCCGACTCCCGAGCCTGTCCTAACAGAGGAAGAGGACTCAGAAGGTGATGGGGAGGAACTGATAAGGCCTCCCTCTCCAGACCCTCCTCTCTGGCAATGCCTCAGGTTCCATCCGAAGGCCAAGAGGAACAGCTTGGGATATGCCAGGAGGAAAGCATATCGGAACAACAACAGATAGGGAGCGAAGATGATGAATCCTGGCTTGATCCCAGGCAGCATCGGAGGGAGAAGCGTGCGCAGCAACGAAAGAGGCGTGGGAGGGCCAGAGATTGAGCTGAGTCACTGAGCCACACCCCACAAGGAATAAAAATGGGTGTGATTGCTCTTCAGGCTTTGTGACGGTCAAAGTTAAAAACCTGAGAGTCACATCGCGTTACCTGAAATCTGGCTTGTGCATATTTGGATTGGACCTTGGCAAACTCTTGCTTCATGGATTACTTTTTGCTATTTAACCGGACTGAGGATAAACTCTCTCTTCCTTATTGTGAGTGAAAACTGATTTGGCAGGCATTATGCAGTTTACTGCCAAAACTCTTATCTGCAAGGGTTTCTAGTCTGATTGCTTAATAAAATCTTGGCAAGCATGCCTGGTTGTGTGTTTGCCTGTGTGGGGAAGGGGGACAGAACACTCCCCCTGTTCCTCTGCCTCTCTGATGTCCAACTCTGGAGGCTCTGGAGTCCGCACGTAACTCCCAGATGGCCCTGGCTCCATCTCTGCCTCTGATGCAGAGCCCTTGTCCGAGCCTTCCCCAGACTCCAGGACTGGCCCATGGTCCTCCCCAGCCTCCTCACTGTCCGACTCCGCTGCCAGCTCTGCAGGCTGCTGGCAGACCACAACAGTAAAGCCACACCTTGGAGGTGATTGGCCCCTCCCACAGGAAACAAAAGAGGAGCAAACGGGGAGTGGGCTTTTGCAGGAAACAATTCGTTCATTCCGTGACTCTGAGAGACTCTGTGCCAAGTTTTGCCTTGTACTGCGTTTGGAAACTAGTTACTTGGCAGCTTTCCAAGCGAGATAAGGTCTGTGGTGATAAATATTCCTTTGAAAAAACTGTTTGGACAGGCCTTGCTGACTGTGAATGAAAGGAATTCACAGTCGTGTAAATAAAACAGGTTCTGCCAGGACCAAAACTCTGCTTCCTGCTTTTTAAGGGAACCTAGGTCAGAACAAACAGGTCAGTCCTAGAGGAGATCTTTAGAAGGCCAGATCCTGAAGAGGAAACTCAAATGCTTTGGCCACCTAATGAGAAGGAAGGAAGGACTCCCTGGAAAAGAGCCTCATGCTGGGAACGATGGAGGGCAAAAGAAGAAGAAGGGGACAGCAGAGAAGGAGGTGGCTGGATGGAGTCACTGAAGCAGTCGGCGTGAGCTTAAATGGACTCCAAAGGATGGTAGAGGACAGGAAGGCCTGGAGGAACGTTGTCCATGGGGTCGCGATGGGTCGGACACGACTTCGCAACTAACAACAACAGGTCAGAACATCACCCCGGGACACTGCGACTGTCATAAATATGAATTACCGTATTTTTCGGAGTATAAAATGCACCAGACTATAAGATGCACCTACCTTTTTTGGTGAGGAAAAGAAGAAAAAGAAATCTCCTTCTGCCTCTGAGCAATTTTGCCTTGTTGCAGCAAACAGCCTACTTTACTTTCATTTTCGTTTTCAGCATAGCTTGATTAGCACCAGGGGGGAAAAAAAAATCTGCTGCACCAATTTACCTCCTTGGAGCCAGCAGCAGAGCCCTGTGCAAAACAGCTGAGAGTCGGGAGGCCGATCCAATCAACTTGTGCTAATTAGGTTGTGCTGAAGCTGAAAGGAGCTGTTTTTTTCTTGCTGTTTGTTTGCAAGGAGGTAAATTGCTGGGAGGCAGAGGCCAAAGGGTGGGGGCCAGTGGGCGGGCGGGGCTACATTCGGTGTATAAGACGCACCTAAATTCCCTCCCCCTTTTAGGGGGGAAAAAGGTGAATCTTATACTCCAAAAAATACGGTAGTTGACAAGCATCTGAATTGTGATCACGTGTCCATAGGGATGATGGTAAGGGTCATAAGTGAATCTGGATTCCCGCTTGGCTTTGTTTGTTAGGAGGTTGCTAAAAGAGGATCACAGGACCCCGGGATGCTGTGACCGTCGTAAACACAAGCCATTTGCCAAGGGTCTTTAATCTGGATCGCGTCACCGCAGGGGAGGCTGCAGCAACAGTCAGGTGCAAACTGGCCGTTTTAAGTCACTTTTCGGAACTTCGAACGGTCGTTAAATGAACTGTCGCCATTTTAGGCCCGCCGGCGCAGTCTCAACTCAGCTTCCCAACCGCCCATCAGACTCAACCGAGTGGAATCACCTCTGATATTCTTCCAGGGGGGTGCCTTCCTTCATCGCAGGGTAGAAGGGCACAGCGTAAGGGCACTTTCTGTGCAAGTGAGCCAAGGTGAGGGTGCCCACTTTGGGGTGCAGCTCCCAGATGCCAGATGCCACCACGGCAATGGGGAACGCCGCTTCGTGGTGAGAGGCCACCTCTTCTTCGCCTTGTTTCTGGAAAAAAAAAAGAATATCCCCCCAAATATACCGTAATTTTCGGAGTATAAGACGCACCTACCTTTTTTGGTGAGAAAAAGAAGAAATTTTGCTTCGTTGCAGCAAACAGCAAGCTTTACTTTCAGTTTTGTTTTCAACATAACTTGATTAGCACGAGGAAAAAAAAATCTGCTCCAACAATTTACCTCTTTGCAGCAAGCAGCAGAGCCCTGCGCAAAACAGCTGAGAGCAAAACAGCTGAGAGTCGAGAGGCCGATCCAATCAACTTGTGCTAAGTAGGCTGGTCTGAAGCTGAAAGGAGCTATTTTTTCTTGCTGTTTGCTTGCAAGGAGGTAACTGCTGGGAGGCAGAGGCCAAAGGGTGGGGGTCAGTGGGTGGGCGGGGCTACATTCGGTGTATAAGACGCACCCAAATTTTCACCCCCTTTCAGGGGGGAAAAAGGTACGTTTTATACTCGGAAAAATATGGTAGATCTTTTGGTCTGCGCTAACTGCTCCAAAGAAGAAAAGTTTGCCCGTCACCCTCACCAAACATGGGTTTAACGTCGTTTTTAAATCCTGTGTTATGCACAAGGGCGGTGTATAAAACCCTGCTTGTGTGCGAATTTTAATGCCAAGCTCCTTTATCCCCCCCTCCAGTTTGAATTATTCAGATTTCCTTCCTTCTATTTAATGAATTATTTATTGATATCATGGTGGCGCAGTGGTTAGAATGCAGTATTGCAGGCTGATTCTGCCCACTGCCAGCAGTTCGATCCCAACCGGCTCAAGGTTGACTCAGCCTTCCATCTTTCTCAGGTCGGTCAAATGAGGACCCAGATTATTGGGGGCCCTAGGTTGACTCTGTAAACCACTTAGAGAGGGTTGTAAAGCACTGTGAAGCGGTATATAAGTCTAAGTGCTGTCTGTCTGTCTGTCTGTCTGTCTGTCTGTCTGTCTGTCTATCTATCTATCTATCTATCTATCTATCTATCTATCTATCTATCTATCTATCTGCCGTGGTGGTTACAGACAAACTCTGCCCACTGCCACCAGTTCGATCCTGACCGGTTCAAGGTTGACTCAGCCTTCCATCCTTCTGAGTCAGTAAAATGAGGACCCATATCGTTGGGGGCCATAGGCCGACTCTAAACTGGTTAGAGGAGGCTGTGAAGTGGTATATAAGTCTAACTCAGGAGTGAAATGCTCCCGGTTCGGACCGGATCGCTTGATTCGGTAACGATGGTGGCAGGTGGTTCGGAGAACCGGTAGCAAAAATCCCTGCCCCCCTCCCCCATGCCCAGCTGAGCCGCGCAATCATCAGAGGCTTTTTTTTTTTAATTTTAAAAGCATTTTTTCTACAGCCTCTTCCGCCGAAAAAATGCTTTTAAAAGCCTCTGACGATCCCAGCTGAGTTGCCTGATGGTCAGAGGCTTTTAAAAGCATTTTTTTTTACAACCTCTTCGGCTGAAGAGATTGTAGAAAAAATGGTTTTAAAAGTTAAAAAAAAAAAAAAGTTGGCCACACCCACCCGGTCACATTACCCCCGCCCCACCAAGCCACACAAACAGAACCAGTAGTAACAAATTTTACATTTCACCACTGGTCTAACTGGTATGGCTATTTGCCAAGGCAGTTTGAAAGGAGCCCCTGAGGTAAATGACAATTTAAAGCACCACCTTGCAGAGATAAGTTTTTGATCTGGAGAAGGGAATGTGAGGGGGGGGGGCAGACTTTTTGCCGATACGACCTTCTTACCACAAACTTTTCAGCCAGTTTGAAATAAACAAACTCCAGGCCTTCGGGGTGCTGCGTGACGGATATTTTATGGCCGCCGCACTGCACGTATTTTCCTGACAGGAGGCTGTTGATCTTTTCAAAGATCTCCTTCAGTTGAGAACCTGTGAAGACCAGCAGAAGAAAAAAAAAAAAGATAGCAATGAGGAAAGCAGCTGGCGCATGAGGCCAGGTTTTTGATGCGTTCGAAATAAGTGACGTTTTTATAGCCAAACGCTATAGCCAAATATTTAGTATTATAGCCAAATCAAGCAGTGGGGCAAAGAAAGTGGGTTTTGGTGTTATATCTGATATATATATATTCATCAAGGTCAGACAAGTGTTCTCTTACCATTTTCTTGCTTATTTTAATTTTTATTTCTAGTCTTAACTTTTTACAGTTAGGTTTTTGGTAGGTTGGGTTAGTGTTTCTTTTTGCATGGAGACTGATGCAAAGAATGAACATCTGCAATCTGTTATTCCCTTGTCGTCTTCTCTCTTTAGTGGACCAACTGTTTCCTTGACTTTTTTCTTGCTGTTTATATATTGAAAGAAACTTTATTATTATTATTAACTTTGACTTTTGTTGCAAGGCTTTGTTTATTCTGAGCCTTTGCTTTCCTGACTTCATCTTTGCAGATTCGGGCTATCTGCTGATATTTTGCCTTAGTTATATCTCCCTCTTTCCATTTTTTTTGTACTTATCCTTTTTTTTTTTTTGGTCTTTCAGTCTATCAGAGAGTTTTTTGTGCAACCATGTTGGTTTCTTCTTGGATTTCTTGTTTTTCTTTTTCAGTGGTATTGTGTTGAGCCTGGGCTTTTATGATCATATTTTTCAGTGCTTCCCACATTTTCTTGAGTTGCTTTCCCCTTTAGGATTTTTATCCTAAATTCCTTTAGGAATTTTTTTCTTAGGCTTTGAGTTTGTTAAAATTGGCTCTTTTAATGTCTTTAATTTAATGTCTTTAATTTAAGACACAGATTGGTGTTTGCATTATATCGAATTCCAATATGACATAATCACTCTCAACCAAGGTTCCGGCTACTTCAACTCCCTCTATCACGTCTTCTCTATTAGTAAAAAAAAAAAAAAGTCCAGTGTAGCTTTTCCTCTGGTTCCCTCCTCTACCTTTTGAATGACGAAATTGTCAGCTAGGTTGGTTAGGAATCTATTTGATCTCCCACCCGCTGCAGAGTTTCTCTCCCAGTTGATATCAGGATTGATAAACAGTTGAATAGTAATTAGCAGTTGATAAACCGCTAATATTGGGATCAGAAACGTTACAAGGAATAAACAGAGCTAGGGCTCACCTGCAATGGTAGAAATCTGGCTGACAGGGATGGTGGCAGCTTTCTGCAATTCCATTTTGATTTTTTTCTCCTGAAAAAGAGGAAAACATTCAGAAGCTGAGCTTAACGCAGGATTCCAAAGTTTTGTGTTTTTGTACAAGTGCTGGCTGGGGAATTCCGGGAGTTCCACAAGCCTTAAAAGTCGCCAAGGTTGGATACGCCTGCTCTAGGAGATTCTTACCTGCGTGTCTTTGCTGTTAGCCAAGCGACTGAAGGAAGCCACACACTGCTCGGATTCTTTCTGCAGCTCTTGGTACCACTTCATGATGGACGGGTCTGCCTTTACCTGAAGCCCTAGAGACATGATAGCAAAGCAGATATGAGCACTGGAAACTAGTACAGGTACCCGTGATTCCCCGAAAATAAGACCCCGTCTTAAAATTTGTTTTGCCACCAAAAAAAAAGGCATCAGGTCTTATTTTCGGGAAGGGGGGGGATGTCGTCCACGGAGTCTCCACTGTGGAATAAGATCATATGCTGCCCCATCTGGCTGAAAAATCTACCATTAACCCCAGAACACCCCTCCAAGCAGTCGTAAAATGTCACTTCGGATCATTTTTCACACTTGCGGCCCTTACAGCATCCCTATGGACAACTGATCAGAATTCGGATGCTTGGCAACGGATTCATATTTATGACGGTCGCAGTGTCTCCCGGGGTGATGTGATTCCCCTTTTGCGACCTTCTGACAAGCAAAGTCAACGGGGAAGCCGGATTCGATTAACAACTTAACAACTGCAATGCTTCACTTAACAACTCTGGCAGGAAAGGTCAGAAAAGGGAGAAAAAATCACAGTAAAGGTCTCGCTTAGCAACATAAATTTTGGGCTCAAAAATGTTGTGGTGGTAAATCAAGGCTAACACAATTAGCAGCAACCAGCAGGACAGAAGGCTGTGATTATATTACATTTTTTAAATAATTTCAACGATTTTAAGGACAAAGGAAAAGTAGGGAGTCTGTTGGATTTTATCTAGAAGGACTGAAGCTTTAACACTTCAGCCCGCCAAATATATATTATTTATTTTATTAGTCATATTTCTGCGCCGCCCACTCTCCGAGGACTCTGGGCGGCTTACACCAAAGACAGTATACTGAATAGCATATTGCCCCCCAACAATCTGGGTCCTCATTTTACCCACCTCGGAAGGATGGAAGGCTGCCAGTTGCAGCCCTTTCTGGACCGGGACGCCTTGCGCACGGTCACTCACGCTCTTGTCACCTCCCGGCTGGACTATTGTAATGCTCTCTACATGGGGCTCCCCTTGAAGAGCACCCGGAGGCTCCAACTGGTCCAGAATGCGGCCGCGCGGGTGGTTATGGGCGCAACTCGTTGTGCCCATGTGACACCCCTCCTGCGCGAGCTGCACTGGCTCCCAGTGGTCTTCCGGGTGCAATTCAAGGTGCTGGTTACCACCTTTAAAACGCTCCAGGACCCGGGTATCTTCGAGACCGACTTCTGCCACCAATAGCCTCCCACCGGCCAGTTCGCTCCCACAGAGAGGGTCTCCTCAGGGCGCCATCGGCCAAGTTATGTCGGCTGGCGACACCAAGGGGGAGGGCCTTCTCTGTGGGAGCCCCAGCCCTGTGGAATGAGCTGCCCCCGGAAATACGTAAGATCTCCAACCTCCGGGTGTTTCGTTGCGCATTGAAGACCCTGTTGTTCCGCCAGGCCGGGCTATTAACATGATTTTAAATTGGGGTATTTTAAATTTTTGGGGTTTTAAACTGGCCAAATCTATTTAATTATTTTAAATTTTAATCATTGTTGTGTCTTGTGTTTTTAAATTGGCTGTACACCGCCCTGAGTCCTTCGGGAGAAGGGCGGTATAGAAATAAAATTATTATTATTATTAACCTTGAGCCGGTGAGATTTGATCCACTGATCTGTTGAACTAGCCGTCAGCTGAAGTATTTGCAGTACTGCACTCTAACCACAGCGCCACCTCGGCTCTATTATTATGGCTACTTAGAATGAATGAGAGCTGGAAGGGACCTTGGAGGTCTTCTAGTCCAGCCCCCTCTCAAGCAGGAGAACCTATACCCGTGATGGCGAACCCATGGCATGCGTGTCAGAGGTGGCATGCAGAGCCCTCTCTGCTGGCACGCGCGCCGTTGCCCCAGGTCAGATCTCCGTGGCGTTTCTTTCGTGAGCTTCTGTTTCCCTGCAAACGACGAAACAGAAGCTCACAAAAGAAAAAGATCTTACCTCTTGCTGCGCTGCCGGTGTTGGGAGGCCCAGTCTCCCGCTGGCCAGCTGGTCTTCGGGTCTCTGGGGCGCATTCTCGCACCTGTGCATGCGCACTCGCACACACACCTTTTAATTTGGGCATGCACGCGGGCAGTTTGGGCACTCAGTGCCTAAAAGGTTCGCCATCACTGACTGTTGTGGCCCATCAGCGGCCTGTGTGGATTGTAGCTGATTCGGACAGCGAGGAGGCTGGTGTGGTGCTGCGCCAGCAGCCTGTGCAGCTGGCACTCGAGTCGGACAGTGAGGAGGCTGGAGATGGTGCCAGAGGCAGGGATTCAGCCAGGGCCTTCGGAAGCTCCAGAGGCTCCTTTAAGAGGACGAAGAGGAGGACCCTCTTCTCGATGCACGGGCGCGCAGAGCTGCCAAAAGGCAGGAGTGGCTCAAGAGGAGGTCTCCTCGAGGGTAAGGCTTGGGGCTAATTGGCCACTCCCCTAGCCTATTTAAGGAGGAATGCCGATTGCAGCAAGCTGTAGGGAACAACTTTAGCTCGCTCTCCTTCACGTCTGGATTCTCTGCAAAATTGCTTCTGGGCTTTCTCTTGTAAGACCGTGATTATCTTATCTTAGAATGCTTGTAGGCTGTTAAGGAAATTTATTAACAGCCTTTGGTTGAAAAAGACTGAGTTATTTGAGTAAAATAAGCTTTGTATAGTTTTGGTGTGTGCTGCGTTCTTTGGAGTCCGTAGCTGGAGCAGAACACTAACCTATACTATTTCTTAACCTTCATCCCCCATCTTTTCTATGGGATCATAAGGCAGAGCACAGGGTCTCCCCAGGGGTGGGCTGCTGCCGATTCGCTCAAGCCAATAGTTCCGAGCACTGGCTGGCCCCGCCCACCTGGCCCAATGTTATTGGGTCCTAGATATCTCACTTTCCAGCTTGCTCGCCCAGATCCGCAGCCCAGCTGATTTGCGCACCTCTCCCATTCTACTAACCGTGGCTGATCTACCAGACGGGCCGGAAGCCACCCGCATCGAAAAAGGCTTGTTTTAGGTGTTGCGCGCCAAGTGCAAAACACGTATGTGTGTAGCGCCCATGTGTGAAGTGGGCACGCGCGCACGCTCACATTTGTGCAGCCCACCTCTGGGTCTCTCCTATGTTTTAAGAGAGGAATATATCTTTAAAAAAGTAAAAAAAAAAAAAAAAAGAACGTATGCGGGACGAAGCCACCACACTGTTTGGATTTAAGAACCGTTTGAGGAGGGAAGATTTCTCTGCTTGTATGAAATTTGAAGCTTGGAGAGGAAATAAAAGCCTGCGTCTATGGAGGTTCTCAGCCATCCTCGTCACAGTTGTCCCAAAGGTGTTTTTTTTTTCTTCCCAAGAGGCAACTGGGCTTTCTTGTTTTTTCTTTAAAGACGTTTCGCTTCTCATCCAAGAAGCTTCTTCTGCTCTGACTGGATGACTAAATCCTTCCATTCCCCACCATCCAGCCAGAGTTGAAGAAGCTTCTTGGATGAGAAGTGAAACGTCTTCAAAGAAAAACAAGAAAGTCCAGTTGCCTCTTGAAAAAGCACCTTTGGGACAAATAAAACCATAGGAAGTATCTATATCTCCATCTCTCCATCCATATCTCTCTCTCTCTATCTATCTATCTAATCTCAATATCTATCTATCTATCATCTCTATGTATCTAATCTCTTTCTCTGTCTATCTATCTAATCTCTCTCTCTCATCTATTATCTCTGTGTCTATTTTTATCATCTCTATGTATCTAATCTCTCTGTCTATCTACCTACCTACCTACAAACATCTCTTAAATACTTCCATCTCTCTCTATCATCTGTCTGTCTGTCTATCTACAGTATCTTTCATCTATCTACAATATCTTTTTGTTTGTTTGTTTGTTTGTTTGTTTGTATGTATCCATCCATCCATCCATCTATCATATCTCTCGGTGTCTATCTATCTATCTTTATCATCTCTCTCTCTATGTATCTAATCTTTCTTGCTGTCTCTCTACCTACCTACCTACCAACTCTTAAATACTTCCATATCTCTCTCTATCATCTATCTATCTACAGTATCTTTCATCTATCTACAATATTGTTATGTATGTATGTATGTATGCTATCTATCTATCTATCTATCTATCTATCTATCTATCTATCTATCTATCTAGTAGGGAAAGAATGACCCTTTTCCAAAAAGACCCTGCCAGGAATCCTAAAAGTCACTGTCCCTGAGAGTATCAGATCAGGGAAAGGCGACTTGAAAAGAGGAGTAATATTTAAGAAAAACCACCACCGTGGAGAGGATGATGGGAGCTGTAATCCCACACAGCTGGAAGATGCCAGAAAAGCAAAGGAATTGACTGAATGTTGGGGTTTTACCTCCAGCAACCTTTCCGGGATCCGAAGCCTGGGATTTTGCCAGCTCTTGCTTCTGCAGTTCCTCTGTTTTTTTGGCCTCGGCTGCTGCAGCCGCCGCCAAAGCCAACTTCTCCTCCTGCTTCTTCTTCTCTTCCAGGGCGAGAGCAATTTCTTGCTGCATGTCAGAAAGCAGCTGGTGCATTTTGAGCAGGACTTGATCAGCGGAAGCCACATCTGCCTCGGTGGGGAAAGCCTGCTTTTGGGGGGAAAAAAAAGAAATAAAAAAACCCCACCCAAAATCAGAAAACCAGTTGGGAGATATCAAACGATGCTTAGACGGAAGCTCTGGGCATTCTCTGCCAGGTTTCTGGAAGGAAACCAGCTGGATTTCTGCATTTCCACTTTACTGAACTGATCGAATTCCAAAATTCCTTTGAGTGCTGGCGTTAACTAAAGGTGGGTGTTGTGAACCAGGCCCAAGTAAGTAGTAGGAAAATCAGTCAGTGAAAAAACAAACAAACTTTTGAAAATTACTTCATTCCCAGCGTCTTTCAACTAAATTAAAGCAAATTCCTCCCAACGCAAATTCCTCAGTCCTATCGCAAACCTTAGTCCAGTTAGGCAAACTGCCAAAGGCCTTTCTTGGCAAACGTTCAGAAGTCACAGATCACAGAAGAAATAATAGACAAAATCACACAATGTGCCGAAATGGATAGGCTGACAAAAGAGCTAAAGGAAAAAGAAGACACTTGAATTTTACAAAGTCTGGAATAAATGGTATCAATGGCATAGGGCTACTATGGAAGAAATATAACTAGAAGTTAGATAGAATAGTAGTCCAAGTATACACAAATTACTCCCTTATGGGCGAATAAAATTACAGAGAGAAAAATATAATATACAGATTATTAAAGCAGAAGTCTTAGAAAATAGAGGAGAAAAGAGGGAAAAAGACACTAAGAAATTATTCAGTTAAGATTTAAGGGAATAAGTATAACTGTATTACTTGAAAGACCATTACGAAACAAACGCTTCAAATGATTGATTATTTATAACTTATTGTATATGTATTTTTATGTCTTTGTCGTATGTGTCTTATGTGTTTTATATCTGTTTTAATAAAGTTTATAAATTTTTATTAAAAAAAAAAAGAAGTCACAGATACAAAAATAAATACAAGACGTAGACAAAGAAAAAGATGAAGCTACCAACGTTGTTTTCCGGCAAAGCCCAAACGCCATTGCTGGTCTGTTTTAAGCCTTATAGGAGGGGCCAATCATCTCTTGGCCTTACTCCCGAGTTGTCCTCTCTGCTTGAGCTGCTCCTGCCTTCTGGCAGCTCTTCTCATACGTGCATTAGGAACAGGCTCCTCCTGTTCCTCTGCCTCTCTGCTGTCAGCCTCTGGAGGCTCCGGAGTCCGCACCTCACTCCCTGATGGCCCTGGCCCCATTTCTGCCTCCGACGCAGAGCCCTTGTCTGGGCCTTCCCCAGCCTCCAGGACTGGCCCCTGTTCTTCCTCAGCCTCATCGCTGACTCCGCTGCCAACTCCACAGGCTGCTGGCGGACCACAACAGTAGGGGTGGGCTGCTGGGGGGTTCAGGAGAACCTCTAGCTAAGATTCTGTGCAGTTTGGAGAACCCCCAAATCCCACTCCTGGCTGGCCCAGCCCACCACCCCCGCCTCGCCCCACCCAGGAGTCCCCATGCAGCCTGTTTTGGATGCAGGTAAGTGCAGGGCGCGAGGGTAGGATTGGGGAGGGCGAAAAACAAGCCTACTGGAAGTTCGGGAAGGCCTCCAGAGGGCCTTCGAAAACTGGGGAGGCCATTTTCACCCTCCCAGAGGCTCGAGGAAAGCCTTTAGAGCCCGGAGGGAAAAAAGCCCCCCCCCCCACGGTGCAGGAGGCCAACTAGGCCACACCCACCCAGCAACCAGACAGAGAACAACTCGATAAAATTTTTGAAGCCCAGTCCTGACTAAAGGTTTATGAATCTCAGTTCTCATAGATTAGGTAGATCAGGAGGTAGAAGAGGAGGAGGAGGGAAGAGGAAGGGAGGGAGGGAGGGAGGGAGGACGGAAGGAAGATGAGAAGGAAGGAAGGAAGGAAGATGAGAAGGAAGGAAGATGAGAAGGAAGGAAGGAAGGAAGGAAGGAAGGAAGGAAGGAAGGAAGGAAGGAAGGAAGATGAAAATGAAGGAAGGGAGAAGGAAGGAAGGAAGGAAGGAAGGAAGGAAGGAAGGAAGGAAGGAAGGAAGGAAGGAAGATGAGAAGGAAGGAAGGAAGATGAAAAGGAAGGAAGGAAGATGAGAAGGAAGGAAGGAAGGAGGAAGGAAGGAAGGAAGGAAGGAAGGAAGGAAGATGAGAAGGAAGGGAATGAGAAGGAAGGAAGGAAGCTGTAGTGGCAGAGTGGTTAGAATGCAATATTGCAGGCTAATTCTGCCGACTGCCAGCAGTTCGATCCTGACCAGCTCAAGGTTGACTCGGCCTTCCATCCTTCCGAGGTGGGTCAAATGAGGACCCAGATTGTTGGGGGCAAGAGGCTGACTCTGTAAACCGCTCAGAGAGGGCTGTATATAAGTCTTAAGTGCTAAGTGCTATTACCTCGTTGGCCATCCGGACTAAGGCAGACACCTCCCCGCAGAGTTGATTGCCACGGTTGTTGTAGAGGGAGAAGTCGATGGCGGGCAGCTCTTTATGCCTGGCGCTGAGGCCGATCTGCTGGTGGATCTGCAGAACCTCCTCCTGGATGGCGTAGAGGCGGCGCAGGCGTTCTTGGCTCTCCTCCCGCCGCTGGCGCTCCAGGTCTTCCTGCCGCTGTCGCTGCTGCTCGGCCTCACGGAGCTTCCGGCTTAAAAGCTTTGGGAGGGAAGATGGGAAGATGGGAAAAGGGCAACGCCAACACAAAAGCTAAGGATTCCTCTCACCTACGCCCAGGTAATGTTAAGCAGCACCAAGGTATGCAGAACATTACTGGAGGGGTCCTTGGTGCTCTCTGAGCTTGATGGTTTTCTTGGAGACGTTTCATTACCCAACTAGATTAGTTTATCAGTGTTAGAATGGAGTGGGGTTTGTGGGGAGGAGGAGGTGTGTGGGATCCGTAGAGCTCTCTGAACTTGGTTGCTTCCCTTGCTGAAGTTTCATTACCCAAGTAGGTATCATCATTAGTCCTAGAAGGGAGGAGGGGTTGTTCTTATTTGATATACTTGTTGTGGCCCGCCAGTGGCCTGCGTGGATCGTGGCTGATCCCGATGTTGAGGAGGCTGGTGTGGTGTCGCGCCAGCAGCCTGCACAGCCGGCGCTCGCGTCTGACAGCGAGGAGGCCGAAGAGGATGTGATGCCAGAGGCAGAGACTCAGCCAGGGCCTTCAGAACCTCCAGAGGCTCCTTCACGTGGATAGAGCGAAGTGGAGGAGCCTCTCCTCAGTGCTCGAGCACGCAGGGCTGCCAAAAGGCAGGAGTGGCCACTCAGGAGGAGGAGGTCTACTCGAGAGTGGGGCTTGAGGATAATTGGCCACTCCCTTAACCTATTTAAGGATAGGCTGACTGAGGCAATTTGCAGGGAACAACTTAGTTCACATACCTTCGTTTCTTGTCTTGCTTATCTTATCAGCTTCCTGCAAATTGCTTCTGGGCATTCTGCCAACCACAGTAAGCTTTCAGTTATTATTCTTTGAATTCTTGGCGGCTGTTAATGCAGTTAATTAACAGCCGTTGTTGTAAAAAAACTGGTTTATTCAGTAAACTAAGGTTTGAACGGACTTTGTGTGTGCTGCGTTCTTTGGGGTCCGTAGCTGGGACAGAACAACGGAGGACAAGGAGTCGATTCGGGAAGCAAAGCACACGTGGACGCTGAATGGCCCCTTTCTGGCGGGGGAATAAATAGAAGGAAAGGGGAGTGGGTTGTCGTAGGAGACAACCGTTCGTATTTCTGAAGATTTTGCTCATCGTGTTTCGTGCCACAGAGACGGCTTGCCAGAACTTAATTGGCAGCCTTTCGACTGGGAGCTCACCGCCTTGCAACTATCTGATAAGGTCTGTTACTGCAGTTAACTCTTTCAAGGACTATCGCCTGGACTTTTCGGTGTGTGAAATGCCATTAATTCACAAGAGGTAAATAAAGAGGGGGGTGTGTGACAAGGAGTCTGTTTCTTGTTTCTGTTAAGGCTGGGTCAGAACAAGTTCTTCCCACTTTCTCTTCCTGCTTTCTGTCTGTCTCTTTTTCCCTAGCTTTAAAAATCTAAAGAGAGAAGAAACAGAGGAGACGCGGATGGGGTGACCCTCTTCAGGTCTGGGCAGGAAACGCCGGGCATCCTTACAGCTGAAGAGGTGTGGCGTTTGATTAGTTGGGGGCAAAAAGGTTGAACCGCAAGGCCCTCTCTTTTTTCCCCCTGCCTCGCTACTTTGCTTACTTTGGCTCTGCGCCGGTGCTCCTCCTTCAGCTTCTCCTGCTGGCCCTGAGCTTCTTTGGAGCTGGAATGAAAAACACAGAGATCAAAACAGGTTCAGATGCGATAAAGGCTTGATCAGTTTTGCTGTGGCCCGCCAGCCGCCAGCAGAGCTGGCAGTAGAGTCGGACAGTGAGGAGGCTGGGGAGGAACGTGGGCCAGTCCTGGAGTCTGGGGAAGGCTCAGACGAGGGCTCTGAGTCAGAGGCAGAGAGGGGGCCAAGGCCATCTGGTAGTTCTTTGCTGCCTCCGGAGTCTGACATCAGCAAGGCAGAAGAACAGCGGGAGCCTGTTCCCAGTGTGCGCATGCGCAGAGCTGCCAGGAGACAGAAACAATTAAGGAAACAGGGTCGACTTGGAAGTAAGGCTTGGAGTTGATTGGCCCCTCCCATAAGACATGCAAGAGAAGCAAACGGGACGTGAGCTTTTGCAGGAAGCAATTAGTTCATCTGGTTGATAAAAGCTCAGTTTGACTCTGTGCTAAGTTTGGCCTTGCCATGCATATGGCAATTAGTTCTCTGGCAGTGTTCCAAGGGAGATAAGGTGGGTGTTTATCAACACTCCCCTGAAAGACTGTTTGAGAAGCCTTTCGGACTGGGGATGACAATAATTCACAGCAGTATGAATGAAAGAGGTTTGCCGGGACTAAGATTGTGCTGTATGCTTTCTAAGGAAGCCTAGGTCAGAACAGGTTTCTCCAACAGGAGATGCCGCCAGATGCTCACCTGTTCTCAATCTCTTGCTGCAGGTGCTGGTAGTCCTGGTGTTGCTTCAGCTCCTTCATCTCATCGAAGCGCTTCAGCGACTCGCTGGCCTCCTCGGAGGCGGCCTTCACCGCCTGCTCCTGCTGTTCCAAGCGTTGCTTCAGCTGTTCCTGCAGGAAAAGAGAAGAGCCTTGGTAGTACAGTGGTCTAAAGCACCCTGTTATTAACACCAGCTGTCTGCAATTACTGCAGGTTCGAATCTCACCAGGCTCAAGGTTGACTCAGCCTTCCATCCTTTCTAAGGTAGGTTAAATGAGGACCCAGTTTGTGGGGGCAATAAGCTGACTTTGTATAAAATATACAAAAGTATGAAGGCTATTGCTTAGCGCATTGTAAGCCCCCCTGAGTCTCCGGAAAAGGGCGGCATATAAATCAAATTAAAAAATAATAATAATAATAGGAGGAGAGAAACCAGGTTGGATAAAAATAGATGATTTTAAAAAAACAAAAACAGATTTTTAAAAAATTTAGATCGGATTTGTTTGATCTTTATCAAATTTATTTTACTAAAACGCCTTTGGAGTAAAAATCTATCTAAAGATAGTTTTCTATTTAAGATATTGAATTTATTCAGCATGAAATGGAGCTTAGTTATGTAACATAACCCCCCCCCCCCCGAAATTCGTCCCCCCACAAATTTGTAAAATCTCTAATCTCCGTGTATTTCGCTGTGCCCTCAAAACCATGTTGTTCCGCCAGGCTGGGCTATCAATGTAAAAATTTTAATTGGTTTTAAATGGGATTTTAAATTTGGGGTTTTATAAATTGGGCCTATTATTTAATAATTTTAATTATTTTTAAATTTTGTCTGTCTTTGTGTTTTTAATTAGGCTGTATACCACCCTGAGTCCTTCGGGAGAAGGGCAGTATAGAAATAAAATAAATAAATAAATAAAATAAAATAAACATGAGGCTATATATTCTGCAATAGTTACATTTTGGGTAAACTCGTTCAATGAATCCCAAGCTCTGCAAGCTAATTAGGGAACCTTCATTTTGTTTGCAAATAATCATATTAAAGATTCTAACTGCCAGCCAAGAATGAGTCCTTACATCTAAAGAGCGCCTGTCGTTTCAGATCCATCATGGCAGCAGCGCCCATGAGTGGGCATCCACTCACCTGCTGCCCGCCACGTCCCTCACCTTGTTGTGTCCCTGCCGCATCACCAGCTGTCCCATTAAAGTGAATGGGACGGTCAGTGAGTCAACAGCGGGTCAGAGGAGGAGCCACTGCGGGACGAGACGATCGTTGCTCTTTCAAAATTATGATTTAAATCAAGCCTTTTTGCTAGTGATTTAAATTGTGGTTTAAATCGTGGTTTAAACCCTAGCAGAAACCTACAGGCTCCTGTCTTCACAAACACTGTAATGCAGGCAGGCATTTTGTTTTCAGTCCCTGCTCACTGGCTGCCATGATTCGAACATCTGGAAACAGAAAGCGAACACTGTTAAGAGCAATGCTCCCAGGTTTTCTCTCTATCTCTATTATGAACCACGGTGGCACAGTGGTTAAGGGTGCAGTACTGCAGGCTACTTCTGCTGACTGCCGGCTGCCTGCAATTTGGCAGTTCGAATCTCACCAGGCTCAAGGTTGACTCAGTCTTCCGTCCTTCTGAGGTGGGTCAAATGAGGACCCAGACAGTTGGGGGCAAGAGGCTGACTCTGTAAACCGCTTAGAGAGGGCTGGAAAGCACTGTGAAACAGCATATACCGTGTTTCCCTGAAAATAAGACCCTGTCTTATATTTTTTTGAACTTTGAAATTAGCGCTTGGCCTTATTGCCATGCGCTCAAAAGCCCGATTGGGCTTATTATCAGGGGAGGTCTCATTTTGGAGGAAACAGGGTAAGTCTAAGTGCTATTGCTATTGCTATCCAAACTTCATCAGTGATGGCGATACCCCAAGAACCAGTCTTAAACTACATATAAAAACAGCTTTGCCCACAATGGAAAGGATGTCTTGGGATTCCATGCCATACAGGGCAAGATAATAATAACAACAACAACAACAATAATTTCTTCCCATTAAAGAAATTTTCTTCACCAGAGTCGAAGAAAAAGAATTGGAAAAAAGTCACGAAATATCATGACCTGGCCATCGAAACTACACAATTATGGATGAAACATGCAACAGTGATACACATTGTCACTGGGGCACTTGGTACCATGCCCAAGAATTTTACAGAACACATCAAGAAATTGCAGCTTCCTGCAATAACACCAGCAGAACTGGAAAAAAACTGCACTACTCGGAATATCGTACATCTTAAGAAGGTACTTGGTTGATACCTAGGATGCTGGCAGCAACCTGTATCAACTATTAGCACCAATCAATGGTATTTGTGACACATTTTTAAATGTTCAGTTGACTGAGTTTCATGTTTAATGACTAAAAGAGATAATAATAATAATAATCTACCCAATTATGGATGAAACATGTAACAGTGTCATTGGGGCACTTGGTACCATGTCTAAGAATTTTACAAAACACATCAAGAAATTGCAGTTTCCTGCAATAACACCAGCGGAACTGCAAAAAAACTGTGCTACTTGGAACATCGTACATCTTAGAAGAAGAAGAAGAAGAAGAAGAAGAAGAAGAAGAAGAAGAAGAAGAAGAAGAGGAGGAGGAAGAAGAAGAGGAAGGAGAAGAGGAAGAAAAAGAGGAAGAAGAAGATACTTGGTTGATACCTAGGATGCTGGCAGCAACCCATATCAACCATCAGCGCCAGTCAATGGTATTTGTGATGCTCACCTTCCCTTTCAGCTTCTGGATCTCCTTGTGCAAATGGATGAGGCCTTCGACTCCGGTACTTTTGGACGGGGGGGTCCGGAGGGGTTCCTGGTTGCTCCCCGGGGTACTCCATTTCTTCCGGGCCCATGTGAAAAAGAAAAAGGGCAAGTAAGAGGTTGGACTCACCACTAGGTGCTGTGAACACACAGGATTCTTGAAGGCAGGTGAGGTCTAATGTCCTCTGATGTAGCTCTGATACGAGATCAATCTGCAAATTGAGAGCCGCCTTCTAGGACCGTAATGCAGAGCCCTCTCAGGGGACACGCCACCCATCGCCCCAGCCCAGCTCGGGTCTCTGCCGCATGTACGGGGGCGGAGCCTTCCCCAATTTCCGCAGTTTCCCCGCCAGCATGTGTTATGGCTCGCCAGCGGCCTGTGCGAATTGTAGCTGATTCCGACAGTGAGGAGGCTGGTGTGGTGCTGTGCCAACAGCCTGTGCAGCTGGCGCCCGAGTCAGACAATGAGGAGGCTGGAGAAGATGTGGTGCCAGAGGCGAGGATTCAGCCAGGGCCTTCAGAACCTCCAGAAGCTCCCGTAAGTAACGCGAGTTGCACTGGCTCCCGGTGATCTTCTGGGTGCAATTCAATGTGTTGGTTTCCACCTTTAAAGCGCTACATGGCTTAGCACTGCGGTATATACGAGATCGCCTTCTGCCACCGATAGTCTCCCACTGGCCAATACGCTCCCACAGGGAGGGGCTCCTCAGGGTGCCGTTGGCCAAACAATGTCGATTGGCGACACCCAGGTGAGAGCCTTCTCTGTGGGGGCACCAGCCCTCTGGAATGAACTGCTCCTAGAGGTCCGTATGATCCCCGACCTGCGTACCTTTCGCTGCGCCCTAAAGACTCTTTTATTCCAACAAGCTGGGCCGGCCTAATAGGAATTGTTAAACTGGGTGTTTGTTAGTTTTTAATTTCGTGGGCCAAATTTTATATATGTTTTTAAATTGTTCTTAAATTTTGTGGTTTATATGTGTTTTAATATGGCTGAACACTGCCCTGAGTCCTTTGGGAGAAGGGCGGTATAGAAGTTCAAGAAAATCTAAGTCTAAAATCTAAGTGAAGAGGACGAAGAGGAGGAGCCTCTTCTCCATGCACTGATGCACAGAGCTGCCAAAAGGCAGGAGTGGCTCCTCAGGAGGAGGTCTCCTCGAGAGTAAGGCTTGGGGCTAATTGGCCACTCCCTTAGCCTATTTAAGGAGGAACGCCAACTAAAGCAATTTGTAGGGAACAACTTTAGTTCATTCTCCTTCGCGTCTGGATTCTCTGCAAAATGCTTCTGGGCTTTCTGCCAATCTTAGTAAGATTGTGATTACCTTATCTTAGAATGCTTGTAGGCTGTTAAGGAAGTTTATTAACAGCCTTTGTTTGGAAAAGACTTGAGTTATTTTAGTAAATTTAAGTTTTGTACAAACTTTGTGTGTGCTGCATTCTTTGGGGTCCGTAGCTGGGGCAGAATGGCACACCCTACCTTTCTCCCCTCAGCGTGCCCTAGCTATCTCCTGCATTCGTGCCGCCCATGCCTTCCCCAATCTCTGCAGGTTCCACCCTCCACAGGTGCTTCTTCATGGCAGAAATAGAGGAGAAAGCCTGGATGTGCGGGGGAGAAACTGCAGAGATAGGGGAAGGCACGGGAGGCAGGAATGGAGGAGAAAGCTAGGGCACGCGGGGGGAGGGAGAGAAACTGCAGAGATCATGAGCCCCCCCCCATCGTGCCCCTTTTTGGGCCTGAAAAGCCTCCTACATCAACCTGGAAGCCAAAATGGGGGCCGGAGCACATGCGCAGGGGGCACTTGCATTGCATTTTGGGGATTGGGGCATGCACGTGTGCATTCGCTCGCGTGTGCGCTTCGGCCACCTGGCACCAAAAAGGCTAACCATCACTGTTCTAGGAGAATAATCCGTCTGTATCAGTTAAGACATCTCAGCGTCACTCAAAAACTGAACGAAAAAAATGACAAGAATGAAGTTACAAAGCTTTAGGACAGGGGTGTCAAACTCATGGCCCCGGGGCCCAGATCCGACTTGTGGGGTGATTAGATCTGGCCCGCAGTGCCACCCTGGAAACAGCAAAGGACCGGCCCATGGTGCTCGGGAGGGCCACATGCTCCATTTTCGCTGGCAGAGGATTGCAGGAGGCTGTTGCAGCCGTAAACGGAGCTCGGGAGCCTGTTTTCGCTGGCAGAGCGCTCGGGCCAGCACAGGTGCCCCAGACACGAGTGACATTGAGCTGGCCACACCCCCACACCCCCCGAGATCAAGCACAACCCTGATGCGGCCCTCAATGAAATCGAATTTGACACCCCTGCTTTAGAACAAACGCTCATGTTTTAAGATTATACAGGTACCGTATTTTCCGGAGTTTGAGACGCTCCGGACTATAAGACGCACCTACCTTTTTTGGTGAAGAAAACAAGAAAAAGAAATCTGCCTCTGCTTCTACCTCCCAGCAATTTTGCCTCGTTGCGGCAAACAGCCTGCTTTACTTTCATTTTCGTTTTCAGCATAGTTTGATTAGCACCAGGGGAAAAAATCTGCTCCAAGCAATTTACCTCCTTGCAGCAAGCAGCAGAGGCCCGCCCAGCAATAGGCAATGGTGATCCCTGCAGCCTGAAACAGCTGAGAGTCGGGAGGCTGATGGACAATCAACTTGTGCTAATTAGGCTGTGCTGAAGCTGAAATGGGATGTTTCTTCTTGCTGCTTGCTGCAAGGAGGTAAATTGCTGGGAGGCAGAGGCCAAAGGGTGGGGGCCAGTGGGCGGGCGGGGCTACATTCAGTGTATAAGACACACCCAAATTTTCATCCCCTTTTAGCAGGGAAAAAGGTGCATCTTATACTCCGAAAAATACAGTAGTTCCCATTTAAGATGGTTCAGTTACAATGGCACTGAAAAAGTGACTTATGACAGGTTTTCACACTTACAACAGTCGCAGCATCCCCACGGACACGTGATCAAAGTTCAGATGCTTGGCACAACTGACTCCTATTTATGACGGTTGCAGTGTTTGAAGGGGGGGAAGTCATGTGATCCCTCTTTTGTGACATTCTCGCAAGCAAAGTCAAGGGGGGGGGAGCCAGATTCATCGAATAACTTCACGTTACTAACTTAACAATTGTGGCGCGAAGATGGGGCAAAAGCCACTTAGCAAATGCTTCACTCAGCAACAAAAACTTGGGGCTCCCTTGCGGTCGTAACTCAAGGACCACCTGTGCTTATAATGTTAGGCAGCAGAAACTAGGATTGTAACACGCCGCATTTTTTAAAAAAAAATGAGGAAAATAGTTGTTGTAAAAGGCATTACCTGGGCATCAGCAGGGGCTTCTGTTAACAAGGGTAGGGGGCTCTGCTGGTTGGCAGGAGAGGCATTGGTCTTTAAAGATAAACCATGGAATAGAGATGCAACTTCAGGAGCAGATTTTGCCAAGAGGCGAGGATCGGATTTTGGAGAACACGAGATGATTTTTTCAAGCACCCAGCCTGTGTAGGAGGACAGCACCGGAGGGGATTTATCCTCTTCCAAGATGCCCTGAAAAAAAAAAGAAGAAAATGATATATATAAGACAAGGATGCGAGTGCTGCCCATACGCCAGAATCCACACCGCCTTTTGCCATTCTCCAGAAGGTGCAGCCATTCAAGATGTAGGAAGTAGGGAAGCAGATCTTGAATGGGGAACATTTAAATTTAAAGGAGAATATTTGTAGACTGAGGGGTCCTTTTGGTGGTTTTCTTGCAGACGTTTCAAGACCCAGTTGAGTAACAGCATCAGTGCTAGAAGGGAGTTGGGTTCGGAGGAGGAAAATCATCTCCGTGGGGTCCTTGGTGCTCTCTGAGCTTGCTTGTTTTCTTGCAGACGTTTCCTGACCCAACTAGGTAACATCATCAGTGCTAGAGGGGAGAGGGAGGGAGGGAAGAGAACAGTGACTGTGGGGTCCTTAGTGCTCTCTGAACTTGGTTTTCTCGCAGACCGTTCATTACCCAAACTAGGGAACGTCATCAGTGCAAAAAGGAAAAAGAGTCACGAGAATATAAACTGAAAGGACTCCTTACTAGCACTGATGATGTTACCTAGTTGGGTCATAAAACGTCTGCCAAGAAAACAAGCAAGCTGAGAGAGCACCAGACGCCACACTCCTCCTTCAAACCCCACTCCCTTCTAACTGATGATGTTACCTAGTTGGGTCAGGAAACGTCTGGAAGAAAACAACCAAGCTGAGAGAGCTCTAAGGATCCCACAGTCCTTTTCCTCCTCCCCGCAAACTCTCCCTCAAACATTTACATTTGCTTCCAAAACGGAACCCACAATAAAAATAACACCTTTTATTATTATTATTATTTAATTTTTAATTTGATTTATATGCCACCCTTCTCCGGAGACTCAGGGCGGCTTACAATGCGTTAAGCAATAGCCTTCATACTTCTGTATATTTTAAAAAGTCAACTGATTGCCTCCCACAAACTGGGTCCTCAATTTACCTACCTTAGAAAGGATGGAAGGCTGAGCCAACCTTGAGCCTGGTGAGATTCGAACTTACAGTAATTGCAGACAGCTGGTGTTAAATTACAATGCATTAGTCTGCTGAGCTATCCAGGCTCCTGGACAATAACACCTTAAACTGTCTACCGTGGACCTCACCCCATTCCTGAGAGGTCCGTAAAGGAGGCGTGCATAAGTCTACTGTCCCCATTTATCTGTATTTACTTTCTTCAGTCGTATTTATGTTCATACTTGCTACCTTGTACATGTTTGACAAACAAATAAACAAACAAACAAACAATGGAATAATAGGTCAAAGAGGCTCAAGCCAACACCTCCCTGATTTACATTCGCAGGAAGTCCATTTTATTAAATAATTTAAATAAAATGAATACATTTTGCGAATCAGACTGGCTAAAATGCGGTTTTATTAGGGACAATTTCAATGCAAAGGAATTTTAGCATTTCCGATGGGCGGGATTCCTGGGCTGGCCTACCTGGGGAGAAGGCCCCAACCTGTATAACAAAGCCTCACCTTTGCGAAATCTATAATTCTAATTCTAATTGGAAAAAGAATCAGGAATAGAATTCCTTATTGGCCAAATGTGATTGGACACACGCAAGGAATGTCCGTGGTACATAAACTCTCACTGTACATACAAGCAAGAAGTGATAATCATAATCCTAAAATACAATCATCCTAAATCACAGATACAAACCCTACAGCTAGTCCTCGACTTACATTTGGTTGTTCATTTAGTGACCGTTCAAAGTTACGACAGCACTGAAAAATGAGACTTTATGACCCTTTTCCCACCATTGGAGCATCCCCATGTTCCCTTGATCAAAATTTGAACCCCTGGCAACAGGTCCCTATTTATGATGGGTCGCAGTGTCCCGGGCGTTACAAGATTTTGCAAATCTTCTGACAAACCAAAGTCAGTAAAGGGAAGTCGGGTTACATTTAACGAACTGGGTGACTGACTTTAAAAACTGCAGTGATTCGCTTAAGGACCATGGCAAAAAAGGTCGCAAAATTGGGGGGGGGGGAACTCGTTTTAACATACGTTTCACTTAGTGGCATAAACTCCATTGTGATCGTAACTCAAGGACTATTAATAATAATAATTAAATATAATAAAAATAATATTTTAATATTTATTAAAATAAATATTAAAATATATTAAAATATTAAAATATAATATATATAATTAATTATATAGTTTATATATATATATATATAAATTTATATATTGAAATATCTTAATATCTATTATTAAATTATTATTAATAATAATACAATTTATATGCTGCCTGATTGTCGGCAATTCAAATAAGAAATGAAGGTGGGGGCTGCAAACACACACACACCTTTTTTTTGCAATTACAAGAAGAGGGGAAAGGGCGTCATCCCCCTGCCTGATCAAGGACTTTAATAATAATAATTAAATATAATACAGATAATAAATAAAAATATTTTAATATTTATTAAATACTAAAATATGTATTAATGTATTGAAATATTATATATATAATTATATATAGTTTATATATATATATATATATATATATAATATCTTGAAATATCTTAATATTATTACTTATTAATAATAATAATTAAATTTATATGACGCCTGATTGTCGGCAATTCCTCCCTGCCTGATGGACCACCCTGCCCATCATCCCCAGCTAGGACAAGAAGCAGCATCGTTCCCCGCAGCGAGGGGAGGGGGGAGCTCGAGGGCGGTTACCCCCGGGACCAGCTCCCCCCAAACATTGGGAGAGGAGGAATCCCAACTCCCATCACGCTCTTCCCCTCCAGGATGGAGGCGGATGGGAGTTGTAGTCCCCCAGCACGGTAAGAAAGAGAGAGAGGAGGGACGGCGAGGCGGCGCACCTCCTCGAGCGGGCTCCAGTCGCGGCAGTAGCGCAGCCGCCCTTTGCGGGTGTTCCGCAGGGCCTCGACGGTCTCCATCCGAAACTGCTCCGACGGCATCGCGCCGAAGGAAAAAGGTGGCTCCGATGAAGTGCCGGGCCCATCCTACGTCACTTCCGGCGAGGGAGGACGGAAAAGGAAAGGCGGCGCCCTCCAAGCTTTAAAAAGTGACCATAGAGCTACAAACTGTCACTTCCGCTGGGTAGAATGTAGACTTTTGAAGGTAGAGACAGACCCTCGCGTTAACAGTTCCGGGTCTCTTCTCTGTAGTTTCTCTATCATGGTTGTGCCGAAGGTGCTTTTTCCAAAAAGCAACTGGATTTTTTGTGCGGATTTTTTTCTTTTTTCCCCTTTTTTAAAATTATTTTTATTTTCTTTGACAACGTTTCGCTTCCCATCCATGAACCTTCATGTAAATCCTTCCCATGAATGACAAGAAACAATGGATGGAAACTAACCAAGGAGAGAAGCAACCTGGAATTGAGGAGAAACTTCCTGAACAGTGAGGACAATTAACCAGTGGAACAGCTTGCCACCAGAAATTCCTGGTGCTCCATCACTGGAGGTTTTTAAGAAGAGACTGGACAGTCGCTTGTCAGAAATGGTATGGGGTCTCCTGCTTGAGCAGGGGGCTGGACTAGAAGACCTCCAAGGCCCCTTCCAGCTCTGTGCTGATTCTGTTAATTCCAGTCCTCACCAGTTTAGTTCAGGTTAGAACTGAAGATTCTTGGAAAAGAAGCGAAATGTTTTCAATGAAAAACAAAAACAAAGCAAGATAGTCCAGTTGCTGACACTTTATTTATTTATCCTTTCTTTATATTTTTATTTATGTTTTGTTTTATTTATACTGAATTCATCCTTTTATATTTTTATTTGTTTTATTTATTTATATTGAATTCATCCTTTTTATTTTTTAGGTTTTGTTTTATTTATACTGAATTCATCCTTTATTTATATTTTTTATTTGTTTTATTTATACTGAATTCATCCTTTATATTTTTTATGTTTTATTTGTTTTATTTATACTGAATTCAACCTTTATTTATATTTTTATGTTTTATTTGTTTTATTTATACTGAATTCATCCTTTTTTTATATTCTTTGTTTTGTTTTATTTATACTAAATTCATCATTTATTTATATTTTTTGTTTTATTTGTTTTATTTATACTGAATTCATCCTTTATATTCTTTATTTGTTTTATTTGTTTTATTTATACTGAATTCATCCTTTATTTATATTTTTTGTTTTATTTCTTTTATTTATACTGAATTCACCTTTATTTATATATTTTTTTATTTCTGTTTTATTTATACTGAGTTCATCCAGCCTAACTCTGCAGAGGACTTAGCTTGATTCCACTTCATAGAGAAACATCCATCTAAGTAAGATCTGGCACTGACCCGCAGCCAGAAAGGGCGGAGCTGCAGAATCGAGCAGGGGGCGGGATCACAAGGCCGAAAGCCAATGGGATGGCTCAGAAGCCCCCCTCCCCATATGCAAATAGGAAGGGCGTGACGAGAATCGCAAACATTCGGAAACATCGAGATCTCAAGGAGGCGGGGCCTGGAGAGGAAAAGGCGGGGCTTCGCAGAAAATGGTGGCTGAAAAGTTTTTTTTCCCACTTTCGGAATCATAGAGAGCTGACGGAAAGAGCGGTAAGCTTTTGAGGCAAGTAGAATAAGTGAGGGGGAGCCGGAAGGCCCGCGTGAGGCGGAGTCTTGAGCCTGGGCCTCCCCTGCGGGGAAGGGGACGCAGCCGTGACCCTCTTCTCTTTCTCCCCTGCAAGGAGGACGGAGGATCCCGGCGGATGCAGGAAAGAAGCGCCGCCCGAGAGGGGACGGCGGCGATTGGCAGGAGGAGGTCCTTACACGCTAAAAGGGAGGAACTTCCGGAAAGAAAAAATAGCCAATGAGCGAGTTTCTTCAAACGGCGATAGAAGAGCCCGGATGAAGGCAGAGGCCAGGAGGAAGAGGCGGAGCTTGGCCAAAAAAACGGAGGAAGGCCGGTCTGGTTCTTACTTTCGGTATCAGAGAGGCGAGCTTGCGCACGCGGCCGAGGTCAGGTTTCACGCAGGGGACGCTGGGAGTTGCAGTCTGGGAGGGTCCTCCGGAGAAGGAAGGCCTGGGGCGGAGGAGAGGCCGGTGCGCCCGAGGCCTCGTCTGGCGCGGAGACGCTGGGAGGGAGGCCCGTGGGAGGCGGGGGCTTGGGCCTGGGCTTCCCTTGCGGGGAAGGGGAGGCAGCCGTGACCCTCTTCTCTCTCTCCCCTGCAGGAGGACGGAGGATGGCGGCGGATGCAGGAAAGAGGCACCGGCCGAGAGGAAGAGGAGGAGAGCGGGCCCCGCGGAGAAGACCTGCATGTCCTGGCGCGGCTTCCCCGGGAGACGGCGGGGATAGGCTGGGGGGCTCCGGGGCTGCAGGAGGGAGGAGCCCAGGGGGAGCCCGGGAAAGGCGGCTGCCTGGAGGGCGATGCGGGGAGGAGGAAACGGGCAGAGACCCCAAGACGGGCCTGGAGGGCGGAGGCTCCTTCAGAAGACCCCGAAAGCCCCAAAGGATCCAGGAAGGAGGAAAGGAACATCAGTGCCCAGAATGTTGGAAAACTTTCCAAAATAATGAAAATCTGGAAAACCATCTAAGGATCCACAAAGGAGAGGAGAAATATCAGTGCCCGGAATGTGGGAAAACCTTCAAAAGAAATAGAGAACTTGAAAACCATCTAAGAATCCACTCAGGAGAAAAAACATTTAAATGCACAGTGTGTGAAATATCCTTCCAAAGGAATGACCTCCTTAAAAGGCATCTAAGGATCCACAAAGGAGAGGAGAAATATCAATGCCCAGAGTGTGAAAAATCTTTCAAAAGAAACGACCGTCTTGAAAGCCACCTTAGGATCCACTCAGGAGAAAAACCTCACAAGTGCCTGGAGTGTGGAAAGAACTTCAGTCAGAGGAGCAACCTTTATAGACATCAAAGGATCCACTGGAGAGAGAAACTGAATAAATGCCTGGAAAGCGGATGGTCCTTCGGGAGGCCCCAAAGGATCCAGGAGGGAGGAGAGAAATATCAATGCACGGAATGCGAAAAATCCTTCAAAACAAACAAAAACCTCGAAAACCATTTGAGAATCCACACGGGAGAGAAACCGTTTCAATGCCTAGAATGTGGGAAATGTTTCACTCAGAGGGGAACTCTTAATGCCCATGAAAGAATCCACACTGGAGAAAAACCGTATAAATGCCTGGAATGTGGAAAAACCTTCCGTTTGAGTGGAAACCTTTATGCCCATCAAAGAATTCATTCAGGAGAAAAACCGTTTAAATGCCTACAGTGCGGAAAAAGCTTCAGGCTCAGTGGGAACCTTTATATACATACAAGAACCCACACTGGAGAAAAGCCATATAAGTGCTGGGAGTGTGGAAAAAGCTTCATTGTCAGCGGACATCTCCTTCGACATCAAAGAATTCACATTGGTGAAAAGCTGCATAAATGCCCAAAATGTGAGGAGACCTTTAGTGATAGGGAAAGCCTTTGTAAACATAAAAAAATCCACGCCAGAGAAAAACTGCATAAATGCCTGGAATGTGGAAAGAGCTTCGGTGAGAGGAGAAGCCTTTATAATCATCGAAGAATTCACACTAGAGAACAAATCTGGAAATGCCTAGAGTGTGGAGTGTCCTTCCCAACACTCAAAAGTCTGAGAAATCATCAAAGAATCCACAGGAGAGAAAAGGAATATAAATGCCCGGAGTGTGAAAAGAGCTTCAGTCAGAAGGGACATCTTTATAGACATCAAAGAATCCATTCAGGGGAGAAACCATACGAATGCCTGGAGTGTGGAAAGAGCTTTACAGAGAGCGCACATCTCCGTCAACATCAAAGAATCCACACAGGAGAGAAACCGTATGAATGTCTGGATTGTGGAAAGAGGTTCCGTCAAAATGGGAGCCTTTATATGCACCAAAGAATTCACACGGGAGAGAAGCCGTATAAATGCTTGGAGTGTGGAAAGAGCTTTACTGATGGCGGACACCTCAGTCAACATCAAAGAATCCACACGGGAGAGAAACCCTATCAGTGTCTGGATTGTGGAAAATCTTTCAGTCGGGTACAACACCTCCAGCGGCATGAAAGAATTCACACTGGACAGAAGCTATATCAATGTACAAAGTGTGGAAAGAGTTTCAGTCACAAGGCAAGCCTTTATACACATCAAAGAATCCACTCGGGAGAAAAACCCTTTAAATGCCTGGAGTGTGGAAAATGCTTTACTCAGGGTGGGCATCTCTGTCAACATCAAAGAATTCATACGGGAGAGAAACCCTATAAATGCCAGGAGTGTGGAAAAAGCTTCAGTCAGAGGGGAAACCTCCATATACATCAAAGAATCCATTCAGGTGAGAAATCCAATAAATGCCTGGCACTGGAAAGAAATGTACTTAGTGTGGATACCTTCACGAACTTCAAAGAGTTCGCACAGGAGTAAAACCGTGTCCATGCCTGGAGTGTGGAAAGAGCTTCAGTGACAATGTAGGTCTCCGTAAATATGGACTTCACCCAGAGAAGAAAGTTTACAGATGCACCGCGTGAAAAATCCTGTAAAACAAACGGAAATCTCCGAAATCATAGATTTGAGATTTCACGGAAGGATCTACAGAGAAACAAAATCATAGAAATTGACAGGTAACCGTTTCCCCTGTTCACTTGTATCTGAATCTAAGGACGCTACTCATCTCTGTTTCTTAGCCGAGGGAGCCAGCATTTTCCGAAGACATTCCCGTTATCACGTGGCCAGCGTGACTATACCCTGATGCACCTGGAATGCTGTTATCCTACCAAAAAAGTGCTACCTTGCACTTGCATTCCCAGGCTTTCAAATTACTAATTGGGCAGGACAAGAGATCACTCCATCACGCAACTCTTTGTCAAGCACAGGAGACACAAACAGTTCAAATGTGTATAAAGATTTATCGTGAACTTAAGCTCTCCACAAACTTAACTATTGAAATAACAGTCAAAAGAAATTAGTGGGAGTTAATAGAAAGGAATTCAAGGTGGGCTGGACTTTTGGGGTGAAGGGACTCATGACTGATGATGCATTTGACCTCTGCCTCCAGCTCAACTAGTTCTTGGGTCTCGAACCTGAGTTGACAAGGTCAGAGTCTTTAACCGCCGAGTCATCATTCCCCCTTGTAAGTAGAGTGTTGCTACAATGCTTCAGTACCCAGCAAAGTCAGTCTACCCCTGGTTATAATGCACAAGGCTTTTTTTAAGGACTAAGACACTCCTTGAACAAAACACATCTAATTGCCATTTTAAGGTACAGATGTAGATACTTAATCTTCATTGCCATCTCAACCTGTGTGTTTCAACTTGACTTATAATGTATGATCAGCCCGAAGCATTAAGCATCAAACTTTTAAACGGGACCGTTTTACTATTTCCTTTCTTGCTATGGTTCGTTTAATGGATGTGCTCTTTTCTGTGGCCTCATTTGATATTATAATTTCATCGTTCAAATTGTTAAATTTTCTCTGATCGCTCATAACACAAATTGATCCGCGTTTTACAAATAGCGCAAGGAGTACATCAACCTCTTAGTACGACTACATTGAATTATGCATACGGTAGTGTTTATCCTCACAAATTTATTTAGTCAATGGTGCCGTCATTTATATATTACTAAGCAAGCTTGACCAGGACGGTTCTTTTCTCTTTAGTAGCCGAGGCTCATGCTGGGAGTTGAGGCTGAGCTTCTGAAGAAACAACCCCTCTGTCTCTGCTTCTTGGAGCTGTCAGCAGGGGGTGGGCTGCTGGGGGTTCGCAGTGGTTCAGGAGAACCTCTAGCTAAGATTATGTGCAGTTCAGAAAACCCCCAAATCCCACTCCTGGCTGGCCCCTCCCATTTGGGGTGCAGGGTGCTCAGAGGGCGAAATACGGGCCTACCGAAGTATGGGAAGTACAGAAACAAGCCCATTTCCGGACTCCAGAGGGCCTCCAGAGCCTAGGGAGGCCGTTTTCATCCTCCTAGAGGCTTGAGGAAAGCCTCTGGAGCCCGGGGAAGGGAACCCACCCACCCCCATCGTGGTGCAGGAAGCCAAATAGTCCACGCCCACCATGGTCACACCTCCTAGCAACCAGGTAGAGAACCCCTTGCTAAAATTTTTCAAGCCCACCCCTGGCTGTCAGTACATCCAAACTTAAGTCGCTTGCCTGTCTCTTTTGGCTGGGACACATCTGCCCCAACGCAGCTGATGGACACCAAGCCGAGGATGTATTTTGCAGCATTCAAAGCTGCTTACTTTGAGGAGTGCCAAATGTAACGCCTCCCCAAAAACTCTAGAGATCTGGACAGGTTTTTTTCTATTGTTAATGCAATAGAAGAGGGAATGTTTGAACCAGGGGTCTTCAAACTTGGCAGCTTTAAGACTTGTGGACTTCAACTCCCAGAATTCTCCAGCCAGCTGGCTAGAGAATTCTGGGAGTTGAAGTCCACAAGCTGCCAAGTTTGAAGACCCCTGGTTTGAACACATGACAAAAGAGTCATTTTACTACCTGTGATTGACACAAAGCAGTGGCATGGCTCAGGAATTTAGAGTTAACCTTTGGAGAAAGAAACCACTGGAGGGATGTAAAGATGGGATCACAGATAATCTTTGACTGATGACCGCAGTGGAGTCCAAAATTTCGGTTGACAAGTGAGGCATTTATCTGACTTTTGCCCCATTTTATGACCTTTCTTGCCACAGCCGTTAAAGCGAATCACCTCAGTTGCGTTTTGTAAGTGAATCTGGATTCCACATTGACTTTTGCCTGTCAGAAGGTTGACCACATGACCTTGAGACAGCCATGGTCGTAAGTCTGAGCCCATTGCCAAGCATCTGAATTTTGATCACATGAGCTGTGATCATGAGAGGCTGCAAGGGTCGTCAGTGTAAAACAAAATGGTCGTAAGTCGCTTTTTTTTCAGTGCCGTTGTAACTTTTGGCCACTAAATTATTGTAAGTCGAGGACTACCTATATAACCATGTCAATAAAGAAGAATAATGGAACCTCAATGAAGTCAATAAAGAAGAATAATTGAATAATTGCAGATATTTCATGACCCAGCATTATCAGTGTAAGCATCACTAGCACTGATGATGTAACCTAGTCGGGTAATGAAACGTCCCACCAAAAACCCACCAAGTTCAGAGAGCACTTGGGACCCTACAGTAGTCCTCTGGTTCTCCTCCACCCTGTAACCGCCCCCCTTCTAACGGTAGCACTGATGATGTTCCCTAGTTTCAAGAAAGACATAAAACAGAGCTGGGAATAACTTAATTTGTCACATCTAAAGTTTTATTTGGAATCAATGTTTCCTGCTGTTCAAACTTCACAAGCAATCGGTGCCTTTTATTGTTTGTGTTTTCAATCTTTTATTAGTTTATCGTACATAAATTCAAAATATAAAGAAAAATACAAGTAAAGGTAAAATAGTGGAGGAAGAGAGGAGGAGAAAAAAGTGTAGGGCGCAGGGAAAAGCATTAATTTCCTTGACTCCTTTTGATCCAGTAGAATAACACTTCAGCTTTTTACTTTTATATAACACATACCTTCTGTAGCATCAAATCTAACTGGCAAAGCTCAAAATCGAAGATTTATTTATTTTTCCCCACCTTAAGCACGAAGTCCAAAAGTGGTTTCCAACTAGAAACACAATTATGTTCTTTTTTTAATCAGTCCGTTTAGCTGCCTCTGCTAACTCCCATCAAACTTTGCAGCCATTGTTGTCCAAAATTAACAGTTTGATCCTTTGCTTACCGATGTGTCACATGTACTGAATATTATATGCATCATATTTCTTTCTCCTGTTTAAAAAAAACACATCAACATTATCCCCCTTAACCAACGATTTTTGCTTTGCTTGAATTGCTTGACGGTATTTGCGTTTTCAGGTGGGCAAAGAAGCCCCTTTACAAAGATAAAAGTCTCCCACAGTGGAGGTAATTCAGCTCTTTTAAGGTTTAGAAGCAACAATCCCACTTGATTAAAAACTATCAAACACTAATTAAAAGGAACCAGGAAGGGAGCTGGGTGTTTTCTGGAGCACATCTTCAGCCAGCTTCCCTTTCCTAAGAAGGGAAATGGAGTGGAAGAATTGGTGTTTTCCCCCTTGGAATAAAAGTTTGATAAATTTCCTACAAGTGGAGGGAAGCTTCCCCAGAGTCCAGGAGCCCTTCTGAAATCCAACCTACCACTTGGATGGCATCTTCATCCTGGCAGTTTAGCCTCCATTCCTGAGATCATAAAGTCATCGTAATTCCAATGGAGATGACAGGTGCCTATCAAACCTCACCTGCTCCACCTTTTCTACAGGCACCAGTGCCAGGCAAACCAAACGAATCACGAAAGCTGCCCGTTTCTCACCTTTTTGCACGAAAGGCAGATTTTTGGAGGTAGACTGCCTCTGTCTAGGGAAGCTCCACTAAAGTCTCCTTGATGCAGTTCCTGGCCCACTTCCCACCCCCATTTTGCCATACTTCTGTTCCAACATGCCAGGTCAACAGAAGAAGGGCAGGGGGTGGGGGGGAGAAAAGGGGCCAAGGGGGCAGCAGAAGAAGGGCAGGGGGTGGGGGGAAGGAAAAGGAGGGGCAGGGGGTGGGGGGACCAGAGGAAGAGTTGGGGGCAGAGAAAGGTCAAGGTAGACCACCCCCCATTCCGCCCCCACCCCTCCTTAGGCGCTTCCACCCCCACTTCGGCCTCCCCACCGCACAACCCTGCGAGGTAGGCCTGGGGGAGGGAAGGCTGCACCCGCCTGTCAGAGCAGCCCCGCCTCGCAGAAGGACCAGATTGGGGGGGGGGAAGGGCGAAGGAGGGGCGGATAGGCCGCCTTGGAAGAGCCGCGGAGGGCGAAGGGAGCGGAGGGGAAGAGCCAGCAGCGGAGGGGCGGAGCCAAAGCGGGGGAGGAGCCCAGACGCCGAACGGCGGTAGCGCCACTCCAGAAAGGAGCGAGGGGCGGAGTCACAAAGCGGGCCCGCCAATGGGATGGCGTAGAAGGCGGCCGCATGCAAATATTCACCGGTCCCGCAGAGAAAGTTTTCTTCCCACGTCCCACAATCGGAGAAATATACGGGCGCTACAGGGGAGGAGAAGGCCCCGCCCACAGATGCGCAATCAGACAAGCGACGGAAGTAGGTCTATGGTTAGGCGACGGAAGTGTCAGAATGCAGGTAAAGCGCTGGGACGCGCACTCTGACGGGCTCTGCGAAAAAAGAGAGTCCTGGGAGGGAGGCCTAGTACGTGGGAGGCGGGGGGCTTGGGCCTGGGTCTCCTCTGAGGGGAAGGCAACGCAGCCGTGACCCTCTTCTCTTTCTCCCCTGCAGGAGGACGGAGGATGGCGGCGGATGCAGGAAAGAGGCACCGGCCGAGAGGAGGAGGAGGAGAGCGGCCTCTCCATAGCAGCAGCCTTTATACACATCAAAGAATCCACTCGGGAGAAAAACCATATCAATGCCTGGATTGTGGCAAACGTTTGTCTTCAAAGAAAACCCTTTATTCACATCAAAGAATCCACACTGGAGAAAAACCACATGCATGTCTAGAATGTGGAAAGAGCTTCATTCAGAGAGGAAATCTTTACATACATCAAAGAATCCACACTGGAGAGAAACCCTATAATCGCCCTAAAATTGTGTTTCCACCAAAATAAGCCCCAGTGATTATTTTGGGACCCAAAAGAAAATAAGGCCGGGTGTTACTTTTGGCGAATATGGATCTTGAGCCTGTAATTTAGGGTGTTGGCTATTCCTACCCTCTTAGTATCATCTGCAAATTTGATGAGGAGTCCTATTCCCTCATCTAAGTCGTTTATGAAGATATTGAAGGGTACTGGGCCTAAGACGCAACCTTCTGGTTCCCCACTGCTTCCTTCCCTCCATGTAGGTGTATTCCCATTAAGGATCACCCAATGTGTCAGCCAATTACAAATCAATCCATCCAACCCAGTCATGAGTTTCATCCCACCACATTTTAGTAATAGCAACTATATTATGTACCTTCGTGTATTAGCATTTCAACTTCACCCTGTTTCTTCCCTAAACTTTGAGCGTTCATATATAGGGATTTGAGTCCTTTATGGATCTTGGGTATGTTTCTTATATCTCCTACTTTGTATCTCGGTTTTCCATCCTTTCCATCACTCTCTACTTCACTGTGCTTTTCCTTTTTTTCCTTCTTCTTTCTCTTTACTCCCTGCCTCTTGTATGAATGGTTATCTAGCAGTTTTTGCTTGGAATCGGGTTCTAGAGGTCTTGAAGATTGGAGACCCTTCCCACTCCACTTTCTAACTTCAAAATAAAGAACTTTTTCAATCGTACATACTAGGCATTTCAACTGGCTGAAATTGTACCTTCTCAGAACAGTTTTATGTGATTCCTTTCCCCATGCAAACCTTCTCCTTTTAATACAATGCCCTTTTCAATGGTTATGCTTAATATGATAGGATGTTTAATTCACTGTCTCTGTCTCTGATGTAACTGTGAGGATTTCTTCCATCCAATCAACTGTTTTGTACTTTTCCTACTGAATGGAGTGTAAAATGAAACCTGAGTCTGCCCTGGGCTCCTTTTTTCATTAAGGGAAACCTCTTTGCTAGATTACTCTAAAGGTGCCTTTAAATGATCTGCCAACTCTGTGCCTAATTGAAACAAGTGTGCTGTGGTAGAATCCAGGTGTCAGACCTGTCCCAACCTGGTACCTTAAGAAAGACCCATCAGAATGAAGCAAAGAGTACAAACCGATTCCGGGTTTCTCTGCTCTTCATCGCCTTTCATTTCCCCCCTCCTTATTTCCCATCACATTCAATCATATTGTCCATTTGTCCACCTCCCCAATGCATCTCCAAATGGCAGGACCTAACACTAGGGTGTTTGATATAATCTATGTGGGTTGTCCAAATATCAATATCATGTAAGACCATCCCTAGACATCTGAACCTCTTGTCAATTGAATTCTCTCAATGGTCCCCTTGTCTTCCAGCAGAAACCGCTACAAGGGACTCTCATAGATGACTATTGGAATGCTGCCATTTTAGTGCGGGAGGGGCGTGGTCTGGGTACATTCCTCGCTGTATAACCTCTTTCTTTCCTATCCTGTACTTTTATTTTCCTTCTTGGGAATGAAAGGGGGGAGGGATTGAATTGAGGGCCATCTGTTAGACATGAGCCTCCAGCAAGGGACTCCTGAGAACTTATTGCTTTCTCTGCCTGCAGTTCTCAAAACAACTTGGCGCCTGCGGATTGGCTTATCCTACACCGGACTGAGGGTGAGATATCTCTTTTAATCTGAGGGAATTGCGTGGGAATCCTCAGATCCTGCTTTCTTTGTCTTGCTATCACTCTCTCAAGAGTTTCCTTTTGAAATGCCAATCGTCTCGAGAGTTGTACTTCCTTGAGCGGAAAGGAGATGCAAGTCCTTAAACTCTCTTAAGGCCAACAAAGCTTTGTGAGATACTATTCTCAGCACATAGGAGAAATATATCTGGGCCCAGGGATTGAGGCAGGTGTAAGTAGGAGATGGTCGGTTGACCTTGTCGAGGAGTGGAGGTGGAGATCCAAATACAGCCCTGCGAGACTTCTGAAGAGGAGGGTTAACACATTTCATACAATTGCTGAATGAGAAAAACCATCTGTACTGCATTTTCCAAGTTCCTCATAATGATTTCTTTGAAAATGGACTCAAATGTAGATTTAAAATCAACACAGGCTACATGCAGAAATTTTGTCCATACCATTTTATTTAGGTTAGTCATAAATCAAACTCTACACCCAGCACATTGTGCAAGAACTCCTTGTGGATGCCATTTAGTTCCGTCAGTTTTAATCAGTTCGACGGTAAATTGAGATTATTTGAATTTACTTATATAAAAAGGTACCCTTTTTGCTACAACAGGTGGATTCGATCATTCATCTCGTCCTTCTCTGAAACTTGTGAAATAGTGTTTGAGGGGCTCAAACCGGGCCCAGTATTTCTCATGGTGTTTGACTGGAGCAGGTGGAACAATTCTTGGCCTCTGGTTTGTGGCCACAATCTCTTTTTATGAGAGGGCAATTTCTGGTTCCATATTCTCCTTCAGGAAGGGTTTCAGCTGCAACCAGGATTGCCCCAGAGAGGGGGCAACTGATAGGCCAGCTTGGACTCAACCTGGAAGTAACGAAGGCTGAACTTAAGACGACAGACAAATCCCCAGAAATCCAGCTCTTCTCAACACACTTATATCTTTACGATTTATATTGTTTTGTTTCCTAATGTGATTTGATTGCTTATTTGATATCCAATGAATATCGCTAAGTGTTGTATCTTATCTCTTGAATGTATTTTTAACGTACTTGATGAATGTATTATTTATTATTATATTAATAATGGCATCAGTCGGAACCCTGACATTATTTACACTTGAGAGAATATGCACCAAAGACAAATTCCTTGTGTGTCCAATCACACTTGGCTAATAAAGAATTCTATTCTATTTTTTCTATTCTATTCTTAGGACATCTGAATGTGGGTGTTAGATCTTATGGAGTCAGTAGTGCTGTGTGTATCGAATCAAAATTTATAGGACTGGCCAACATACCTCATGTTCTAGAGCATCTTGGCCAGACTACCTGGGCTGGTTGTTGTGCGGCTCTAATTTGGGGAGAACCAGTGTCTCACCTGCTTGGCAGGAAGGCAGGCTAGGAGTGGCACTCCAAGAAAAGGCTTCGGCTGAGATTCGTGGTCATCCAAGAATCTCTTTTGGGGTTCAGGGGCTTCAGTCCCCACGTTTCTGATTGGGAGACCCTTCTTTCTTAAGCTGGGATAGCGTGGATACTACTGTACCATCTGCCCTGCTCTCCAGGCTCATGGTCCTGGGGGACTTCCGTTTGCCACCCCTGGCCTCAGAAACAATCTAAGAAATCACGACAGTCATGGGCCCATCCCAGATCGTCTCAGCCATGACTCAGAACAGTGGTCGTCAGACACTGGTTTAATCTTACCAGATCAATGGCAATGTGATCTGGCGGGGAATCCATTATTATCCCCCGTCAAGGTCACATCATGACTTGGTGCCTGTGAGATTCTCTTATGCCACTCTCCCCCTTCTGCAGGCCCATTCGAATGATCCTCCTCCAATGCCTGATGGACCCAATGGGATACAGAGGAAAACTGGGGAAAAGCCGGGAGAGGGGGGAAAGCTTGAAGGCATTTCACTTCTCATCCAAGAAGCTTCTTCAGTACTATAGAACTGAAGAAGCTTCTTGGATGAGAAGTGAAACATATTCAAAGAAAAGCAAATGAAACCCAGTTGCCTCTTGAAAAAGCACTTTTTGGATAAGCTCTCCTGCTTGAGCAGGGGGTCAGACTACAAGACCTCCAAGGCCCCTTCCAACTCAGTTGTTCTTATTCTGTTAGCTGACAGGGGAAACTCCTACATACACCTAAAAACACCTTGAGGACCTCACTGGGCTCCAGTATCACTTTACCCCAGGTATTTACTGCAAAAACAAGAACATTAAAATGTCAAATCTTAAAGGTTGCTTTTGGCGAGATGGCTGACATACAAGTTTAAAAACTTATGGGGTTGCTGGATCAGGATCACCTCCCAGCAGAGGAGAAGCTGCAGTGCAAGAGAGGAGCATTTAAATAGGAAAAGCCCCCCCCCACGAATCCAAGGCGGTGGGGGGGTCCTCCAGCTATGGTGCATTTAAGGGGAGGAGGGCAAAGCTGGGGGGGCTGAAGGGGGGTACCCGAGGGGCAATGGGGGGGAAGGTTCTCCTTCCTGGACGCTTCGACCTCAGGGGCTCAGCAGAGGCCGAGGGGGTCCACATATTAATGTGGGGGGGGTCCTGGAGGGGATTTTTCCCCCTGCAGATTTGCAAGGGGGTCTTTGGGTGGGGAGGAAGCGGGAAAACGGGGGTCAGGAGCTGCAGGGAGGAGCCCCCTCGGTCTCTCTGCCTGGAGGCCACGGAGGAGCCTGGCTGGCGCCCCCCAGGAGGAAGGGGAGACCCCACAGCCCCGCCTGCCTGGGTGCCCCCCCCATATTTCCACCCCCCCGCCTTGTCTAGGGAGGGACTCCGGTTGGGGGAAGGGAGGGAGTCAGAGCCGCAGAAGGGCCCCCCAACCTCCGCCTGCCTGGATTCAGGGGGGAGGGGGAGAAGAGGGACCCCAAAGATCAAAGGGAAAATCCCCCCCCCAGCGTCACCTCCGCCCGAGAACAGAAAGGGAAACGGCACCGCGCAGGCGCACTCTGCGTGACTGAAAATGGAGGACGCCGATTGGTCGCTCTGGGGACGGCAGCGATTGGCTGCAGGACTCCTTGGGGCGGTCCCTCCGAAGGAATGGTGTTTCCGCCCCCCCCACCCCTCCTTGCCTATGGGAAGAAAGCCTCAGCCCCAAAACGGCCCCCTGCTGGATGCGGGGAGACCCCAAAATTCAACGGGACCCCCTCGGCCCACCACCGCCCGGAACTCTCACAACTCTCGGCAACGCGCAGGCGCCATCTTGCTCGATAAAGGAAGGAAGACGCCGATTGGCCGTTCTGGAAACGGCGGTGATTGGCAGGAGGACCGCTTGGGACGGTCTCTCCACAGGAATAGGCGGAGCTTCGGCCTTCCTACGCGGAAGAGCGTAACCTCTACTTCCGGAAAACTAAACCGAGACCCGTGGAGCTGCCTGAGTCGCCGATAGAAGAGACATGATGATGCAGGTTCGGCGCAAGGGATGCTGGGAGTTGCAGTCCGGGAGGGCGTCTCCGGAAAGGGGAGGGAGGGAGGCGAGCAAGATGGGAAGGCCGAGGCCTCGTCTCGCTTGGGGATGCTGGGAAGGAGGCCGTGTCCGCCTGGAGAATGCCCGGGAGGCCCGTGGGAGGCGGGGGCTTGGGCCTGGGCCTCCCCTGCGGGGAAGGGGAAGCATCCGTGACCCTCTTCCCTTTCTCCCCTGCAGGAGGACGGAGGATGGCGGCGGATGCAGGAAAGAGGCGCCGCCCGAGAGGAGGAGGAGGAGGAGAGCGGGCCCCGCGGAGCTGTCCTGACCGGTCCTGGCGCGGCTTCTCCGGGAGACGGTGGGGAAAGGCCGGGAGGCTCTGGAGCTGCAGGACGGAGGAGCCCAGGGGGAGCCCGGGAAAGGCGGCTGCCTGGAGGGCGACGTGTGGAGGAGGAAAGGGGCAGAGACCCCAAGACGGGCCTGGAGGGCGGAGGCTTCTTCCGAAGACCCCCAAAGCCCCGAAGGATCCAGGAGGGAGGAAAGGAACATCAGTGCCCGGAATGCAAAAAATCCTTCAAAAGAAACGGAGATTTTCAAAGGCATCTAAGGATCCACATAGGAGAAAAACCTCATAAGTGCCTGGAGTGTGGAAAGAGCTTCAGTCAGAGGGGACATCTTTATACACATCAAAGGATCCACACAGGAGAAAAACCTCATAAATGCTTTCAGTGTGGAAAGAGCTTCAGTCAGAGGGGATATCTTTATATACATCAAAGGAGCCACTCAGGAGAAAAACCTCATAAATGCTTTCAGTGTGGAAAGAGCTTCAGTCAGAGGGGATATCTTTATACACATCAAAGGATCCACTCGGGAGAAAAACCTCATAAGTGCCTGGAGTGTGGAAAGAGCTTCAGTCAGAGGGGACATCTTTATACACATCAAAGGATCCACACAGGAGAAAAACCTCATAAATGCTTTCAGTGTGGAAAGAGCTTCAGTCAGAGGGGATATCTTTATATACATCAAAGGAGCCACTCAGGAGAAAAACCTCATAAATGCTTTCAGTGTGGAAAGAGCTTCAGTCAGAGGGGATATCTTTATACACATCAAAGGATCCACTCGGGAGAAAAACCTCATAAGTGCCTGGAGTGTGGAAAGAGCTTCAGTCAGAGGGGACATCTTTATACACATCAAAGGAGCCACTCAGGAGAAAAACCTCATAAGTGCCTGGAGTGTGGAAAGAGCTTCAGTCAGAGGGGACATCTTTATACACATCAAAGGAGCCACTCAGGAGAAAAACCTCATAAATGCCTGGAGTGTGGAAAGAGCTTTGGTCAAAGGAGCAGCCTCTATAAACATCAAAGAATCCACACAGGAGAGAAACCTCATAAATGCCTGGAATGTGGAAAGAGCTTCCGTCATACCAGCACCCTTTATAGACATCAAAGGATCCATTCAGGGGAGGAACCATATAAATGCCTGGAATGTGGAAAGAGTTTTAGATACAAGACAAGCCTTAATAGGCATCAAAGAATCCATTCATTAGGGGTACCAGATGAAGTTCTGATGTATGAAAAGACATTCAATCACAGTGGAAACTTTTATAAACATCAAAAAATCCTCACAGGAGAAAAACCTCATAAATGCCTGGAGTGTGGCAAGAGCTTTGGTCAAAGGAGCACCCTCAATAAACATCAAATAATCCACACAGGAGAAAAACCTCACAAGTGCCTGGAGTGTGGAAAGAGCTTCAGTCAGAGGAGCAACCTTTATATACATCAAAGGAGCCACTCAGGAGAAAAACCTCATAAGTGCCTGGAGTGTGGAAAGAGCTTCAGTCAGAGGAGCAGCCTCTATAAACATCAAAGGATCCACACAGGAGAAAAACCTCATAAATGCCTGGAATGTGGAAAGAGTTTTAGATACAAAACAAGCCTTAATAGGCATCAAAGGATCCATTCAGGGGAGGAACCATATAAATGCCTGGAATGTGGAAAGAGTTTTAGATACAAGACAAGCCTTAATAGGCATCAAAGAATCCATTCATTAGAGGTACCAGATGAAGTCCTGATGTATGAAAAGACATTCAATCACAGTGGAAACTTTTATAAACATCAAAGAATCCTCACAGGAGAAAAACCTCATAAATGCCTGGAGTGTGGAAAGAATTTTGGTCAAGGGAGCACCCTTTATAAACATCAAAGGATCCATTCTGGAGAGAAACTGAAGAAATGCCTGGAGGGCGGAGGGTCCTTCGGAAGACCTGGAGATCCCCAAAGGATCCAGGAGGGAGGAAAGAAACATCAGTGCCTGGAATGTGAAAAATCCTTCAGAACAAACTACCATCTTCAAAGCCACCTAAGAATCCACACAGGAGAAAAACCTCATAAATGCCTTGAGTGTGGAAAGAGCTTTGGTCATATCAGCACCCTCTATAAACATCAAAGAATCCACACAGGAGAAAAACCTCATAAGTGCCTGGAGTGTGGAAAGAGCTTCAGTCAGAGGGGACACCTTTATAGACATCAAAGAATCCACTCAGGAGAAAAACCACATAAATGCCTAGAATGTGGAAAGAGCTTCAGTCAGAGGGGACACCTTTATAGACATCAAAGAATCCACTCAGGAGAAAAACCACATAAATGCCTGGAGTGTGGAAAGAGCTTTGGTCGTATCAGTATCCTTTATACACATCAGAGGAGCCACACAGGAGAAAAACCACATAAATGCCTGGAGTGTGGAAAGAGCTTTGGTGATAGCAGTACCCTTTATAGACACCAAAGGATCCACACAGGAGAAAAGCCACATAAATGCCTAGAGTGTGGAAAGAGCTTCAGTCAGAGGGGACACCTTTATAGACATCAAAGAATCCACTCAGGAGAAAAACCACATAAATGCCTGGAGTGTGGAAAGAGCTTTGGTCGTATCAGTATCCTTTATACACATCAGAGGAGCCACACAGGAGAAAAACCACATAAATGCCTGGAATATGGAAAGAGCTTCAGTCATAGCAACAGCCTTTATACACATCAAAGGATCCACACAGGAGAAAAACCTCATAAATGCCTGGAATGTGGAAAGAGCTTCAGTCAAAGGCGCAGCCTTTATAGACATAAAAGGATCCACACAGGAGAGAAACCTCATAAATGCCTGGTAAGAAAGGTAATAAAATCCAATTAAAACTTTTAATAAATTTAATATATGTTTTTCTTTTAATAAATTCCTTTAATCTTCCAGGGCCATGCCCAGGCTCCCAGACCTGAGTTTGACTGTTGTCGGTCATTCTGATGGCAACTAGCAGAGCAGGCTGTCCTGGGAGGGGCGGGAGGCCTTGTATGAGTCTGGATGTCCATCTGTCAGTGGTTCAGGAATGTTGGATTCTCAACTGGGCAGCTGTGGACGAGATCCTGCCTGATCCCTGTCCAAGGGCTGCAGTTGAGGGCTGCTCCGATTGTTAGACTTTGAAGTTCAAAAATGGAATTCTGAGGCCTGCTCTCAAAAGAATATAGATATACCCATACATATGCTACATACACATTAATCACAGCCCATTTAGATTACATAACAAGAGACTTGGGAGTTCACAAGATGGATACTTCTTCATATGGAAGAAAACTGACTGAATCTAATGTGCTGCTTCAGATACCGCAGAGCCTCTTCCCAGCAGTTGTGGAGATGATGTGTTGTGTCCCAGACAATCATGCAGAACCTGGTCAGGCAACATTTCTAGCTGATTAGCTGATAATTTACAACGAAAGATTGTAACAGTGACCAATGCCTTTTCAGAAATAGTTATAGTGATGGATAAAAATATCAAGTTATTAGAGTCTAAAATGGAGGAAGTTGATGACAAGATTTATAATTTGGATAATAAAATACAAAGAATTGAAAATGATTTGATAAATATTCAAGACAATAGCTCAGAAGTAAAGTTTAAAAAGGAAGCTGATCACGAGACCTGCAATGCAGAAAATATAAAACACGGGATTGAAAAAGAAGTTATAATGATGCAATACAGGCTCACGGAATTTGCGGTTAGAATGAGAGGGTTACAGGAAAACAATAGAGATGATTTAAGAAAAATATCTGCTGAAGTTCTGGCTGGGATTTTAAAGGTTCATCCTGAGGAGGTATTTTGTAAGATTGACAAGGCCTATAGAGTAAACTCTTGGATTGCAAAGCAAAGGCAATTGCCTAGAGATGTGGTGATTTACTTTACAGATAAAGAAATAAGAAATAATATTGTGCAAAAATCCTTTAATTCTACTTTACAACTGTACGGAAGAAAGATTTGGATATATAAAGAGTTGCCGCCCAAGATGTTAAAAGATAGAAAGAAATTTGGATTCCTGGTGACTGAGCTAAAAAAACAAAACATCTCATTTAGGTGGAATGCTCCAATTGGTATAATATTGAGATATCAAGGAGAAAGATACCAATTAAATTCTGTTGAAAAAGCGGAAGAATTTTACTATAAGATTCTTAAAATGGGTTCAACATCTTCATGTATAATACATGAGTGGAATAAAGAAAAGCAAAATCAACAAGAGATAGAAATTCAGGATAAGCAGAAGGAGGTGGAAGTAATGGAAAAACAACAAGTTACAGAGGTCTTTGTAGATGAGCCGCTTCTGGATTCTTCAGAGGTCTCAGCTGGACTATTTATAAATACAAGAGAGGCGGCGTTGGATTCTAATGTGATGACTTATCAAGTCAAAGACCAGCATGGAAATCAATCAGTTGATATACAACTCATAGAAAAGAAACCAGAATGGAGATTTAAACCAGAAAAGCAAAACCAACAAGATCAAGTTATAGATCAGCATGAAAACCAAACAGTTGATATACAACTCATGGAAAGGAAATCAGGATGGAGATCTAACCCACAAAAAGTCAAGAAAAAAAGAAGTAGGTCTCATAAAAACAAAAACTTTTAAACTAAACAACAGTGTAATGCCAGTTATCTAAAAGATGATTGAATATATGAAAAGATAGCTGAGGCAAAGTATTGGTTTATATTATCTTGAGAGTGACAGACCTCTGCAGTGCTGTACTTTTGGGATGTGAAAAGGGCCTTAAACTGAATGGATTGGAATTATCTATTTTGGATTCTTTGATAAATGTATTACGTTTATGCTGAGCTACAAGGCAAGAGAGTTATGGGATCGGGGCACGCAGAAGATCTGGCTGTTACCCTATTACGGTGGTTGGAATTAATAATTTAGATGAAAGACACTACTATAGACACTATATGGAATACAAATATAAAGTCACTCGGGTGGTTGTTTTCCCTTTTTATATATATATATATATATATGAAGATATTTACTATTGATGGGGGCAGATGATAATTGAAGATTCCGAACATACTGTTGGAATTAGGATGTGATGTTACCCTAATATGGGTGATGGAGTTAACAATCCAGCTGAAAGACATTACAGAAGACATCATATGGATTACAAGCTTAAAGTCATTTGAGGATTTTATTTATATAAGGGAATACTTTTTAGTGGTGTGGGCAGAAGAATAAAGATATTAAGAATTGTTATGTATGGTAATTCTGTAGGAAATTGGGTGGAGACAGGTTAGCTTATTGATTGTTTAGTTTAAGAAAAGGGATATTATGTTTAAGAGATATACTTATGGGAGTGGAGGAAATGGATAGACCATGAGTTGAATAAATGTTAAATTAGGATTTATTATATAGTTTTATAGTGGAAGGTTGCTTTGAAATGTTATATTAATATACATAAAAGATTTGATTTAAGAGATATATGTATGGGGGAGGAGAAAAAGTGTAGATTAAATTGCTAAACTGGGAGATATAATAATATTACTATGCTAAACTAGGAGTTATTATACAATGTTATAGTAGAATGTTATTTTGAAATAAGGGGGATATAATAATATTAGAAAGAAAGGGTCAGCATATGGGGGATGGAGTAAAGGGATGGTAAAGTATTATATAATCTGTTATGAATTTGGGTTTTACTTTGAAGAAGCCACAGGGGGAGGGGAGGGCGAGGGGGAGTTAGGGAGGGGGGGGGGAAATTTGTATTTGAAAAACTTTTTCAATAAAAAAAAAAAAAGAAACCAGTTGAGTTTCTGGGATGGAAAGTTCTTCAGTGGGATGAGACATTTTATTTTGAATTTGAGAATTCCCATATTTATATCTTCTGAGTTTGCAGAACTTTATTGAACTTTATTGAGGATAACATCAGGGTAAAAATGAACAATGGCATTTTCTTTTCCTTGAAAAGCCAAACCGTATCTAGGAGGACAGTTTGGGGATTGAGTTGAAATGCGAGTTGGAAACAGTGTGGACACGTGAACAATTTTTCTACCAAATTGGGCTAGTTTTGCAGATTTGTTACAGGAAAAAGCCTTGATAGCACAGTGGTCTAGAGCACCCTGTTATTAACACAGCTGCCTGCAATTACTGCTGGTTCGAATCTCTCCAAGGCTCAAGGTTGACTCAGCCTTCCATCCTTTCTAAGGTAGGTAAATTGAGGGCCCAGTTTGTGGGGGCAATAAGCTGACTTTGTATAAATATACAAAGCTATGAAGGTTATTGCTTAATGCATTGTAAGCCGCCCTGAGTCTCCGGAGAAGGGTGGCATATAAATCAAATTAAAAAAAAAAAAAAAACCTTTATTGAGGATAACATCAGGGTAAAAATCAACAATGGCATTTTCTTTTCCTTGAAAATCCAAACCGTATCTAGGAGGACACTTTGGGGATTGAGTTGAAATGCGAGTTGGAAACAGTGTGGGCAGTTGAACAATTTTTCTACCAAATTGGGCTAGTTTTGCAGATTTGTTGCAGGAAAAAGTTTGACCTCTGTGGGTTCCAATTTGGGGGCTATTTTGGATTATTTTTAAAGCACTGTACAGATAGTCCTTGACCTACAACTATTTGCTTAGTGACTTAGTGAAGTTTGGGGGCAATATATCGAACCGTCATGAACGATAACCGCAAAATACATCCCAGAGACAGTAAAAGGATTAAGTCAGCCAGGCCCTCCCCCCAGCTGCCTTGCCAGCCCCTCCACAGAGCCCCCACACACATACACACACACACATGGATTCATCTTGTCCTTTCTCATCCCTACTCCTTTCTTTTTTTTTTTATTGAAAAAGTTTTACAAATACATTTTCTCCCCAGTTTCTCCCCCCAACCCTCCCTGACCCTCCCTAACTCTCCCCTCCCCCCATGACTTCCTCAAAATATAATCCAAATCAAAATCACATTTTATAAAACTTGAACCCCTCCACCCCCTGTATATTATTCAAATCTTGACAAAATTCAGTTATTCTGTCCCTATATAATACATTCAGTTAAAAGCTATCTGGTATTTCCTAGTTTGGTTTTTATTCTGCACATAATCTATCCACTTTTTCCACTCCCATACATAAGTCTCTTGAGTCCGATCTTTTAGATATGCTGAAATCTTCGCCATCTCTGCAAAACTGGCCATCTTCAAAGTCCATTCTTCAATAGTGGGCATAGCTTCATTTTTCCAATATTGACCTATCAGTAATCTCGCTGCTGTTACCATATACAATATCAGCTTTGTTTCACCCAATGTAAAACCCTTAACTATACCCAATAAAAACAATTGTGGAGAAAACTGAAGTTTTTTCTTCAAAACATTTTTCATAACCCACCAAATTTTTATCCAAAAAGCCTTCACTTTCTTACAAGTCCACCACATATGATAATTGTGGGAATGCAGTAGCCATAGTACATGTATAGACCAGTTTAACTGGTTGGACACTTGTATGGAGCTTAGCAATGAAATAATCAAACTATGAAAAGTGGGTTCATATGGATACTCTCTGAAGGGCCCAATTCATTCTTTCTTTGTTTATAACATAGGATGTGCCTGCAAAAGTAAAGATATCTCCTTGTATAAACATTCTTGAGAAACAAAGCAGACACATCTCTTATCTCTTTGTAAACACATTCCTGAGAATCAGATAACAGAGATGGGCCTCTCGCCTGGTAGTATCTGGTACCAAGCAGCCAGAGTTAGGTTTTGCTTTTTATCTTTACCATTGTTTTCCTATCTCTCGTATGTAATATGAGATGTGAGGCCATAATAACGCCTTCTGATGACGCTGTATTTGGGTAACTAATAAAAGAGATTGTAGCTTTTTGT